ACATCTTAATGGCTTCCAGTTGTTTTTTCACCTGAGGGGCGAAAAACATTGCCATCATGCAAAACGTGTTCCCGCACAAAACTGGAGTACATTTATTCGGTGCTTGGCCGTAAAGTACTCAAGACCAAATTTAACCTGTACCAATAAGTTTCGTAGATTTGGAACTTACGAAGAAACTGTTGATAAATTTCTTTCTTGTGTAAACAGTGTAGGCGTGAAATTGTCCTAATGGCATTGCCCTTTAACAAAAAGAGGAACACGAATTTCATTCGGACATAAAATAATACCTGAGTGCTCTTTCTGCAGAAACCTGAGCTTTGTTTGGAAGAAACCGGATTTCACTGTCAAGGTATTTTTATATGCGTTTGACGGTTATGGTAGTCTGTGCCAATTATCGCCGAATGTAATTGTCCTGGATCCAATCAATTGAACCAGTACGCTTTTTTTTTTTTTTTTTTGGCGTCCTGCCCGCAAAGTGTGTTGACAAGCGCTTCTGTCGGTCGGGAGAGACTCATAGCGCCGATAGTGCTATCAAAAAGCCGTCCTTGAGTGGCGAGAAAAAAAGAAGAAAAAAAGTTTATATAGAAGCGTAAAAAAAAAAAAAAAAAAAAAAAAAAAGATGGCCGCCTCCGAATGAAAAGCGACGGGCCTTTTAGTGCGAGGCTACGATGAATAACGCCCTGAAAATGGGCTAAAGGGTTCTGATGTTCCGCCTGTCTGTGCCGTCTGCTACTTTCGCGGCCTCCCGCGTCGTCGTCTGGATTTGAAAGCTGCTGATGATCGTCGCCGCAATCGCGTATGAGCGCTTGAATGTTAATTGCTTACAGTCACATTTGGGTACATATGTACATTTGCGTGAACTAACTTGGAGGACAAAGGGGGAGATTTCACCAAATAATAGAGAGATAGATATTCCGCTTTGCATTTGTTTGTGCGTGCGAAACGAGGGCGTGGATAACTTCAGCGCGTCGCCGCACGGGGAAGATCGTCTGCTCCGGCCCTCGGAGCAGAAGACCTCTCCCACCGCGATTCTTCAAGACCTTTTCGCTGGTTCTACTTTACAGCTGCTTAGCTGCACTCACACTGACGGCTGCCTCACGCTATCCTTTGTTTCCCAACGACTCTTAATGGGCAGAGACGCGAAGTAAACAGCAACCTCCCTCGTCTCTCTTCCTTTCGCTTCCGAGCTTGCCGTCGTCACGATCTTTCATCCTGCAAACCCCGCGGTGGCCATGACAGTCGATGTCAGCTCTACGTGACGTCTGCCGCCTCCGTTGGCGTGACTTGGCTGGCTAAACCGCCGTGGTGCCCTCGTGTCCTTTTCATTCCTTCCTTCCTCTCTTTGCTTGTAACGTTACTTTCTTTTTATCATTTTTGTGTTTGACACCGTTTTCTTTTTTGTTTTTCGATCGGTGCGATTGTAGAAAGCTCCGGTCTGCTTGCTTCCCCGTACAACTCGATTCACTCGTCCGTTGCGTCATCGCGCTCCGTTTAGTTTTATTTCTCCCGATTTTTCCTCTCATTATTATTTTTGGCGGCGTTTCGTCTCGTCTGGTGGGGACAGCGTAGCGTCGGCGCGCGCGTCGGCCCCGGTGCACTTTACGTCGCCGTCGTCGTCTGACCGCGCCCCATCGCGAGCAGAGAAAAGGGCGAGGCAGCGGGAGTGCTCGTTGCTCTGATCCCGAGCGGGCTTTTGGGCAACCTCCCTTTCCCTCTGTCCTGTCTGTGTAACGGGGCTAAATTAAATATTTCCGGGGAAGGGGGGATGCGAACGGAGGAGGAGGAGGGTGTGGCGGACGAGGAAGGGAGCGTTCCTTTGCTGGGGTTCTTGGGGCTGTGGCCGAGGTCTCGATGCTTGATGTTTCGCTTGATGTCGAGGGAGCTGGTCCTCTGCCTTGGTCTTCTTTTGTTGCTGATGTTCTTTCTGCCTTCCTTATTGCCCCTAGTTGCTGTCTGGATTAGATCTGTGTTCGCGTGGAAGGCGGTGTTTGTGGTGGGTGATGCGGCAAATCTGTTTGCTTTTAGCTTGGTTCGTTGCAGTGTTAATGACTGGAGTATCTTACCATCGGACACTTCTTCTTGAGTATACTGCGGTAGTTTTACTAATCCTTTCACTGTAAAGGCCGGTTGACACATACATCGCAGTGCTAAATCAACATAAGAAACAGTGCTCATGCAGCGCTGACTTGAACGTAACTTAGCACCGATGCAGTGCTGCAGCCTGCATCACTAATATAGTGTGAGGTAGGCACTGCATCAGCCAGGTCAGCACTGTTTACAGTGCTGACTATATAATAAAATTATGGGGATGAATGAACTCTACTTGATAGAATGAAACAGTTCACAAAGCCGCCAAAAGACTAAATCTTTGGCGGACCTGAGATTTCAACTCTGGGGCTCTTGATATCCCTTGTGGTCAGCTCTCCGTGGCAGTAGAGTCAAGACTATGAAGTTGAAGCGCTCTGTTTCACTGTGCAGCTGAATCTAGTTCGACCAAAATAACCTAACCCAGCATATTGAAGCTTGCCGACATTGGACAGATCTTACCCGACAGAAATATAGCAGTATGTGTCAGTTCGCTTGCACATACTGCTATGTGGCGGGCCCTAAATGACAAAGAATTATCAATGTATGTTGCTCATTACTATGACCTTTATTATTATTATTTAAATCTCTGAGTACATGAAACAAAAGCTTGATGCGGAACCCAGGGACCTTGAGTGCAATCCCTACCCCTGCTGCACATTAAAGACCCCAGGCTAGCAGTGGAACTGCTCTGGTTAAATTTCTCATATATAGCCGAGACACTAGATGCCCACTGGGACTGACTAACTGTCTGCTGTCTAAACCAATGCACAACACAATTTATTTAAAGTTTGTACATAGAAGTGGATGCCGAAATCATGATGGATGAGCTCCTGCGGCAGCAGCTATCACTCCACCGGTTATCAAGTTTCGATGCATTAACGCTTCTGCTTCGACGCTTAACGCTTCAAGCTTCTGCAATAAAATAGAAGTATTTGGTCATCAAACAAAGTCTAAGGTGTGTCTAGGGGCCGAGCAATGTTGCATGTACTGAATTTCATTACTGAAGTAAATTGCATGCTGCTAGAATGGGGAGTAAGATCGGTGTATTCTACCCAGTAGTAACCCGGTTGCTTGACAGATCTTTCAGTGAAAACTAGTTTGCAGAGTATGGCTGAGTTCTTTTTGACAAGGGTTGAGAGCTAAAGAGAATAGGCGTGCCGAGTTCCAAGAGCTCATTACACGGAGACGAGCACTGCGTCTTTAACGCATATTAGCGGTACGCGGTACAAGCCGAATGATCGCGGGTCTGTAATTGCGGCCCATTGCACAAAAGGTTCTCGGAAAGGTTGCGACGGATGGGTAGTTCAGCCACTGCACGCGAAGAAGTAAGTTCTGGGAAACAAATGTTCCGAGTTGCTTCACTGGCATGGTGAACAGGATGCAGTAACATTGTGGCACATGCTTCTCAGCAGTTCTTCGAGCTCAGAGCATTGACACGCACAGCGAGGATGCCCTTATCCACTATCTTCTCAATTTTGTCTCCCTCAGCTACAAATTCACTGTAGACAGATCTCTTAATTTCAATACTGTCTAAGCTCCAGCATCCATCAGCTACTAAAAGTGGTTCAAGTTAATCAGTCTATTGAATTCTCTTTATTACTTTGAGCTAACGTAACCTCGAGGTTTCATAAGCTGTCACCGATCCTCCCCTCTTTTTATCTTATTTTCGGGTACCTTATCTCATACATACCGCGTTCTCCTTTATATTTTATCATTGTCGGGCGTCCTCCCCTGGTAACGGTGACTTGCGCAACAATCAGCTGGGTTATTGCAAAAAGCCACTCTGCTCAACGTTCCTGCTCGTGCACCTTTCGCCCCCCCCCATCTTGAGTCCCGGGCAAATAACTTTTATTGGACGACGCCCCATGCTGTGGCAGGTTAATGCCTTCGGCGTGACAGGCGCCTCCGACCTTGCACAGCAGGGTGACGGGTTATTTTTAAATAGCAGAGGCTTGCCCATCACTTTTTGCTCTTCTTCAAAACCGGTGCGGTTTTCACAACGGTCTCTTCCTTTTTTGTTTCCTGCATTATTTGTAGAAACCAGAATTATCTTCTTGTTTTTGGTAGGAAGCCATTTTTGCCCACGTTAAAAAGGCAACGGGGACGAGACGACGAAATAATGTGTTGCACTCTTATCAGCGTCGTGACAGGCTAATTTTTTTGGGAGATGTTCAAAAAGGGGGCGGGGCAGCGGCTACACTGTTTCCTTCCATTTTGGGCACTCGTGATGTGCCTACAGGTTGATAGGGCTCCCCATCGTAACCGTGGTGTCAGCGCCGCATTGAGGAAATACTTGCTAGGGTGTCGTCGGCACGTTTCTGTCGTGTATACAAATCTTAAGAGACTGTCTGTTGGCTGCAGTGCCTTTTTCTTTTTCCCGTTTTGCTACTTCTGTGACTTTTATTTTTGCAGTTTGGTGCAAATTGCCTACCTTAAATAAATGTTTGTAATATGTTTTTTTGTTAATTAGTATGCAATGGTTTAAGAACTCTTGGCAACGCAGTTCTCCTAAGGTGCCCTACAAGTTGCTTGTCTTAAGACAAACAGCTTGCAGGGTGCCTCAAGACAAACAACTTGCAGGGTGCCTCAAGACACACGACTTGCAGGGTACCTCAAGACAGTCAACTTACACGGTGTGAGTTGATTGTCTTGAGGTACCCTGCGAGTAGTGTGTCTTGAGGGCACCCTGCAAGTTGTATGTCTTGAGGCACTCTGCCAGTTGTTTGTCTTGAGGCACTCTGCCGGTTGTTTGTCTTGAGGTGTGTATTGAGGTACCCTGCAAGTTGTTTATCTTGAGGCACCCTGCAAGTTGTTTCATCTTGAGACGTCCTGCAGGATGTTTATCTTGAGGCATTCTGCGAGTTGTTTGTCTTGAGGCACCCTGCAAGTTGTCTGTCCGTCTGTGTGTGCAGGCGGCGTAGGAGGAGGGCGGCAGCAGCAGCAGCGGCGGAGGCAGCGGAACTGCAGTCATCATGACCACGGACATCTCCGTGGGGATCCGCTGGGACCCCAGCACTGCCAACCAGCAGGAGATGGAGGACTATGACTATGATGGCGGAAACAGCTCCTCCCGACTCTTCGAACGATCACGAATCAAGGCCCTTGCAGGTGACTTTGCACACAACGTTTCTCCTTCCAGTGTTTTGAGCCTTGCCGCTTCGCATTGATGCCGCAGTAACAATTATTAAATTCGGGTTGATTTTTAATTTTTTTATTTCTTACATAACGAGGAATACTAATGAAAAAAGAACTCTGGGATTATTTCTTCACCCTTTTTACTGAAAGGAGTTTGTGGCAGTTTCTCTTAATCTGAAGCTGTATGAGTGACCTCTCTATCGACTCAACAAAGCAGAGAAACTCCACACTACACTAGGAAAGACTCTATAGCTGGTAAATGACACCCTCGGACTTGTTTTAGCAACATTTGGTGTTGTGGGCCTCTTGTCACTAGTGACAACAGTTATCTCGAGTGTCTTGCCGCTAGTTACAAGTCATTGCGACGTTATCCAGCTTTTGAAGACAGGTGTAGTAGCTCCGAGACAATGCGTCCGTCAGGGCGTCATCACGGATGTCTTGTCACTGGGCTAGCTATAAAGTGAAGTGTGAATTCTTGAGCGCTTAGTGAAGCACAGAACACGGATGCCTCTTCCGCACAGTCGAGCCTCCAGCAGGGGCCTGATAAAGTCCTCTCACCGGCACCGGGTGGCAGGGCCCATCAAGGACGCGTCCTTATCAGTAGGCAGAGGAAAGAGATTCCTTCTTCCTGCGAGCAAATAGAAGCTCCTGCCTTCTCCCTCACGCACTCCTCCTGAAGCTTGCATTTCTTGCCTCTCCGCGTCTTCAGCTCTCTTTTCGTGGCACAGACTTGGAGTCGATCAGAAACTCTGTCGTTTATGTTCTGAACCTCTTCAAACATTGGTTCTGAGTGGTCGTAGTGTGCGATTTAGTTTGTGGGGTGGGTAGTGTTGTTCTTTTGGTTTTGAAGAGTAGTGCAGTGAGCTTTTTTGGGGGAAGTGTGTTTCTCTAGTTTCTGATGGCTTTATCGCCTTCCCTGGAGGATGTTCCTTTCTCTCTATGTGAAGACGTCTCCTTCGAGACCAAGATTCGGAAGGGCAAAGGTATTGGATCGTTTCCGTTTGTTTCCAGGGCCATACCTTTTTTTTTTTTGCATTCTTGAGAAGTAGTGAAGTTTCCTACACGTGCAGGTTCACTCATGTCACTCATCGTTTTACAGTAATTGCAACAAGCTTGATACTAAGGCAGAGGTTGCTAACCTCTCGTTTCATTCTCTTTACGTCCTAGTTTTTTCATTCATATTGATGTAGCTTACATCGAACTCGAAAATGTGAAAGGAAGTGAGTGCAAATTTGTCTGGTATTGTAGAGTTGCAGCACTAAACTTAGACATGTACATGTTACCCCCCCCCCCCCCCCAAAAGTAACTAAATACGTTACTCGTTACCGATTCTCAAAAGGAACGCATTACTTTACATCAAATGTAATGAGTAACTTCTCGTTACTTTGACGACCAAACACACAACCGCTTTTGTTTCATGGCTTATTGTTTTCTTTTCAGTAGTCGTTGCACTTAAGCAGTAGCTGCCCCTCGAAGTTTTCAGCAGTTACGTTCTCTGCTTCCTTGAGAGTACATCTCCGGCAACGCTGAAAGGTCGTTCTACTGATGCGTTTAAAGGAACGGCAGTGTTGTGCTTCAGGAAGAGCTGGTGAACCTGGGATTCCCCTCTTCCTTCTGTTCCTTCTGCTTCTAAAGTTGAAATTGACTGTGGGCTCTGTGCCTTCTCGCGTTAGCAACCTCTCGGTTTACATTCCACCGGTATACGATTCTAAAAGGTTCAACCAACAAACCTTATTGTGTTCGCTGGGTAAAGGGCATTCCCAGCTGTAAAGGTTGACCGACGTGTTTAGTGATGTATGTGGATATACTGTCCTTCTGTTCAGTTGTTTTTCGAGTTACCCATCTGCTTTTGTCGCGGTAGATGCATACTCAGATTGGAATTAAAGCGAGGCTGTTTAAACGGTACTGCACGTGTTACTCCTCAAAGGTAACAAAATATTGTTACTTGGCCTTAAAAGTGCCATTCGTTTTTTTAGAAAGAGTAACTGATAGGTTACTTGTCGGTGAAAAAAGGAACTGTCGTAATATCCTGGGAGATGCCCCACTCCCAAAAGATAACTCACCCTTATTTTAAACTTAATCTGCTTTTTTTTTTTGAACACTGGAAGATTGTTCATTTTTAGTAATCGTGGTGTTTGGATCAACGATGGCCTATGCGTAAATGCGGATAGTTAGCTACGGTGGGATATAAGCGAACATTGCGGTCTGGGAAGTACAGTCATCTTTGCTTCATTGCCTTCTCGCCGCAATATCAAGTTTTTCAGGGACACATGGCCTAAAAATATAATTATTTAAATTTTTCTTGATTGCACACCAAAAGTTAAAACACTCCTAATGTTCACCCAATTTGCCCTTGATTTTAGATGGGATATCTCTCAGAATATTACGGTAGGTAGAAGTAACTCGGTGCATACATGTCTGACTAAAATTTGATATGTATTAACCTGTTTGTCACAAGGTGGAGGAATATAGAAGGCCATAGAGAGCAGTAAAACCTGTATCTTGAAGACTGCTAGAAGAAAAGAATATTTGCTTTGTATTAATCGATGCTCACAGTGACACTCCACCTGGAAGTGAAGGCCATGTCCCAAAGATATCAGGGCATTCTAACGATGGAAGAGATGAAAAGACATTTAAGTGAATGGTTTCTTACTGGTTCTGTTTTGAGAAATGACATGGTTGTCATTTATGTCCTTTGGTGTTTTTAGTAGAAAACCTTTTAATCCAAGTGTTACTAGATTCCCAGAACGTGACACTTGGGACTTTATGCTAGAGGTCTGCGCAGGTGTCGGTCAGCTTGTAGACTACAGGCCCGAGTGTCAGGGGCACTATTGTGCAGGATCTAACTTTGGTTTAGGCTTGTCAGTTACATCTTCAGCACAAGCTGCTGACTATTTTTCTCAAGACAAAAATACTTTGAAGGTTTGTTTAGGGAAGTGGAAGCACAAACAAAATGTGGGCATTGGCATACATTGACCGCCCACAGATGAAAAAGAAGAAAGGGAGAAGGAAGGAGCTCGGGACACGAGAGATCAACGGGCTCTCAAGCCGCGCGCTCGACCGTTCCGGCAAGCAGTGAACATCACCGACCCGTTTATCCTTGTAAATAATGTACATAAATATGTAGTGCCAAGACTTTGGTTCCTACATATTTGGTGACCCGGACGTGATTTGATTTATCCAAAAGTATTAACTGTCCCATGGAGCAAACCGGCGTTATCAGGTTTTGAAGCCGCGTGCTAAATGGTGCCTAAATTCCCCTGTCTCAATGGAGTGAAGCCCGTATTCTGTGGAAGTGATTTGATGGATAGGCTTCCATTGGCTGGCGCGCGACATAGTTTCAAGGAACGAGGCTTTCACTGGCTGGCGCGCATCATAGTTTCAAGGAACGCCACCCCATGGCGCTATGGGCCCCGCGCCGGCAGCGCGCCAGTAAAAGGAATACGGTGGCTTGCACTCAGTTGCTTTTACTCCTCTTGACGCCAATGAGCATGGTGGCGCCTCAAGCATCTACATCGGCGGTGACTGCAACCTCGGCAGTAGCAAAACCTGCCCGTCCACGCCATTACACCGCAGACGAACTAAGGGAGCGGAATAACGCAGCACAACGAGCGAGGAGGCAGGCAGCGAGATCCACCATCATTGTCAAGTCTCCGAATACACGGCGGGTTAACGAGCAGTGGCGCAATGCGCTAGGAGAAAGCCCTTAGAAAGTGTGAGGCGCAAGCAAATTGCGATTCAAAGTGTCTCGGGCGGCAAGAAGCCGAGACCCTTTGACAACGCGAGGCGGAAGCAATACGTTGCAGGCGGCATGCTTTCGCATTCACAACTCAAGAAGTGCTTAGGTGTCCTTGGCCTTTTTTTTTTCAATGCCTTTGTACTCCTGGGGCAGGTGTACAGATTTGTAATCACCGGGCAACACAATATCCTGTCTTGAATTCAGAAACAGACGTAACTGCTTGGAGGCTGTGATATGTTGTCATTTGAAATGCTCCATGATAACATATGCCCAAATTCGTTTCGAGCTTCAATGAGCAAAGTTGATGCCTGCTGTTCTTTTGATATATAAATACTAGATATACAAATAGATAATAAAAATCTAGAAACATACTACTGTAATCTTCAAGTATACCATTGGCAAGCCAGTCTGAACTAGGCTTCATATAATATTACGCAAAAATGAAGCTTGCCTCACTGTTACATGATGATGGGCTTGGCTTTAACCGTACCCAGTTGACAATCATGACTGGCAGGGCTGAGCTTGGCCTTGGAATACTGTTGAGACTGGTTATAACGAAGTCAACGGTAATCGGAAATCACTTCGCTATATACTCCATTTCGTTATAAACGACTAGGATTAACGAAGTGCAAAAGGGAATGGAAAATAGGAATTGTTTCGCTGTAGCCGCTATTTCGTTATAACCGACTTCGTTATAAGCGGTCTCGACAGTATTTACTTGTGCTTACCTCTAGAATGTATACACCAAATGCAGTGACAATTTTTGGTTTTATCCTTAGAACTAGTGCCTGGGGCTGGAGTTCTGGCGGTTCATCCTTGCAGTTATTAATTGAAAATTGGCTGTTGATGTTTGACCCAGAGTGCCTAATCCTTGAAGCCATGGCCCTTGAAGTCATAGACCTTGTGGTCATGACTCTCAGTATCATAGTTCTTGATCTGATTGTCTTCGAAGGTGGATCCTTTAGGTTGGGCTTAAAAGAGCACTGACACCCCAAAGGTCGAATTTTTTTTGTCTAAAACGATGCAAATTGTAATCATAGACACGTAAAAAAAAAACTGCATCGCAAAAAAAAAAAAAAAGTTCCCACGCACGCTTGCGCCTTTTTATTGTTGGCGTTTTTCTCTTCCACTTCTCACCTCCTCGCTTGTTTTGATTCGTGACGCCAAAAATTATGACATTTAGAGGCTTTTAGGCGACATTTCTTTAACATTTAATGATGTAAATCGTAAAACATGTTTTTTAACGCAATTGCGAACGCACTACGGCCCTTCTTCTTGAAATACCGAAAATCAGGTGTGACATCGCCTCCTGGATTTGTATCCTTCCTCAGAAAACATGCGGCGTTCGATGCACAAAATAAAACCGGTTTTTCCCGGTCCACCGGCGCCCATCTCACCCGCTCCTCATCTCTTCGCTTCGGGTCGCTGTGGCAACGTTTGGAGCGGATTGAGCGGAGGCGCAAAAGAAAGTCGACTCGCAGGTCTCCACAATATTTGACGTCACCTCACTGGCGCAGAGTGCGCGGAAACGTCAAATTCGGCATTTGGAAATTGTTGTTTTACTTCACAGATACTGAGTTCCCAAGTTTCGAATTTTGAAAGTAATGTCCCGGCATCGTTTTCAATCGTTTTGGATAATAAAAAAAAAATGATTTTGATGTGTCAATGCCCCTTTAAATGCTGATTGCAGGAAGATGTACCTATGTTTCCTGGAGGTCTATTGATGAAGATTTGTCGTAGAGACCTCGAACGCAGAAGTTGGCAATCCGGTCCAGGATCCCCATGTTTTGCGGAGTCTACGCCAGAAAGTCTGAACATGAGAGTTTGTTTTGTGCAACTTCCACCCGAACGTTCCTTGATAAAACTTTGGCTTTGGGGATGTGGGTCTGGTAGTTTGCCTTTGGTAAGATTGTGTCTGCCAGCCTCTCGCTGGATACCTGCGTACCCCTGGATTTCTCCGGGCGTCTAGTCATCCGTTGCATGCGTTGTTTTGCGTGTGCAGAGGAACGAGAGATGGTCCAGAAGAAGACCTTCTGCAAGTGGGTCAACTCTCACCTGGTGCGAGCCAACTGCCGCATCACGGACCTCACCATGGACATGCGAGACGGCAAGATGCTCATCAAGCTCCTGGAGATCCTGTCCGGAGAGAAACTGGTGAGCGGTTGCGGCCCTAAAGTCACGAAGAGCTTAAGAAACAAAGGGTGTGGCTTTTGTGTCCACGCTTCTAGCCTCTTGATTTGTCTTTGAGCGTTCTTATTTGCTAATGCCCCAATTTCATCAGTTGCAGCCGTTGTTTCCATCCCTATGTCGCTGTGATGTGGCCCGTAGCCCCCGACATTCGTAACTTTCGCAAGCGACCGGCTTAAATCTGCGTTAGGTCGTGCAACTGTATTCTTGTTGGAGGTGCAAAGCTTACGAGCTCGCCTAGGAGCGTCTGCTCGGTTTGAAAGATGAGAGATGGGACGTGCGACGGTGCACGTGTGCGGAGCGCCTCTGCATCCACGTTTGTGTGTGCCCCTCCCTCCCTTTAGCAAAAGCCGACCAAGGGCAAGATGAAGATCCACTGCCTGGAGAATGTGGACAAGGCCCTGACGTTCCTCAAGGAGCAGAGGGTCCATCTGGAGAACCTGGGCTCGCACGACATCGTGGACGGGAACTCCCGCCTCACTCTGGGACTCATCTGGACCATCATCCTGCGCTTCCAGGTACGGCCCATGAAAGAGCACGAATCGAGGGGGCGTCCAATGCTGCCCCTGGCGCACCCTTTCGATTCATCTGTTTATTTAATATGTTTGTTTCACGAGATCTGTCACTCTAACCCAGCACTTGGCCAAGCACTATTTTTAGAACCATCTTTTGTATCATTCCGCACCATTCGTCAGCTAAAAGTCCCCTTACTTTTAATGCCGCCTCCTTGCCCCAAACCTCTACTAGTTGGAATCGCCTTCCCGCAGTTGTAGTTGCAAATGCTAATACAGCTGATTTTAGAATTGAAATTGTTGATTGATTAAACAATGTTTCATACTAAATTTTATCTTTGTCTTTTCTCTATTTTTACTTTTATATGTGTTTACAGTGTCCCACTCCCCTCTGTAACGCCTTCGGGCAGCGAGAAAAAATAAACTAAATGGAATGAAATACCTCAAAGTGCTCTGATAGGACATTGTTTAAAAAAAAACTATTAATATTATTGAAAAAAAAAAAGCAGGTAAGGAAGGATTTTATGCACATAACATCATATATATAAGAAAAGCAATCAAACATTTAAAGAAAATGACAACATTTGCTTATGTACAACAAGTCACCGCTGTAACACTCATAAAAATACATCATTTCCACATGCAGAATTCATAACAAAAATGGTTACTTTAAGAAACGTAAAAACACAACCGCACACGTGCTTCGATTCGGAGCCAACTTAAATTTTGTTGTATCTGCGATTTCTACTATATTCGAGGGCAACGCGTTCCAGTCTGAAATGGCAATCTGCCTGCCGGGCACGCCTAGCACCTATGCAGGACACACCTTCTCTTTTTATGCGCATATGGGCAAAGATGGCGCTAGCTTTCATCTATTTCACGATAACTTGGCAAACTGTGGAGCTGTGGCCACTGTGACCCAATAAGAGCCTTGGAGCGAGGCACGTGACACTATGTCACGGGGCGTGTGTGTCACTGCACCAAATGCGAGGCCCAGAGAAACCGGCTGTCGTCTGCAAGCCAAGAGTCGTTTGCTGCAAAACCAACCAACTTCGGACGAACGTCCACCTCCGCAACATTTTTGTCCGCTAGAATTGCGATGTCTTTGGGAACAGTTTATGAGACAACCATACGCTCAAATTTGCCCTCGAATCTGTGAAGGGTGCTATTGCCCAGGCCCTGTGCAATGTTTTGAGCGGAGACAGTCAATTACACGGCTGCGTCGCCAACGGCCACGGCGCTACAAAGAGAAAAAAAACCGGGAGTGGATGCGGATGTGTTGTCGTTTTTTTAGTTTAAATATAATTAAAACTCGTAAATTTGTGATTATTTATTTTTTATTTTGCATATCTTCTCGATAGAGATGGAACCGCATGAGTTCAATTTACTTTTTGCCACAAACGGTGCTGTTGTTGTGGCAGTAACGAGGCCCCCGTGGCCTCGACCACGGCGGCCTCGATCGTGGAGTGTTGTCACATGCCTTGCTCCCGCGTTGTTATTGGGTCGTGGGGGGCTGCAGCCTCCACAGTTCGCCAAGTTATTGGGAATTTGAGTATAGTTGTCGTAACAGACGGGCAGGGAGGACGGCTCGTATATAAACGGGGCAATTAATTTTATCGTGCCATCTGTTTATTTGACCGCTCCAATTATTCACAGCAAAGGGGTGGACGAATAATCTTAAAATTGTAGTGTGCATGATTGCCTAGAAGCTAGGTGAAGAGGCAAGTGTGTGCCTCGGCGACCTAAAACTTTCTAGATTTGTGGGATGCAAGACTAGTGACACCTTTGTGGATGGAACGTCAGGTTTTTACAGTGAATTGCAGTTTGCTTCGTCAAGAAAGCGGTCTATTTCTTTCTTAAATCGAGGCAGCAATTTTGGTAACATTATTACTCGAGCCAAGATGATTCGTGAAACCAAATCGGCGATATGAAACAGAACCAAGCAGCAAGTATCCGGCGCTTTTAAGTTTATGTAATAACATTTTCTTTTCAATAATCCGCAGTCTACACCTTGTGGATAATGCTTGTTGCACCGGTAAAGAATGACAATGACATAAATACTCTAAATTTTGATTTTCTTTTTCCTCCCCGTGCGCACAGATCCAGGACATCACGATTGAGCAGGTGGACAATCAGGAGACCAAGTCTGCCAAGGATGCCCTGCTCCTCTGGTGCCAGATGAAAACCGCTGGCTACCCTAATGTAAATGTGCGCAACTTCACCACCAGTTGGAGGGACGGTCTCGCCTTCAATGCCCTCATCCACAAGCACAGGTGCGTGCCTTGGGGTTACACACCACCCCGATCCCGAAGGAGAGTACATTCCGTTCTCTGTTTACCCCCAAGCCGACACTGACTCTGCTCCCTGCTCGGGGGCAGAAGAAGCGTGAGCATGTGGCTGGCAATAGACGCATGAATGGTCCAACGAGCACGTAGCTTCCAGCGCACTGTCAGCTTAGGGGAGAATGGTGTATAGTAGGAGCCGTCTGACCGAGACCGGAATAAGTGGTGCTCCTCATGGTGTCGCGCCGTCTCCCTTCGCAGGCCTGACCTGATCCAGTACGAGAAACTGTCCAAGTCGAATGCGATCTACAACCTCAACAATGCCTTCAACACTGCCGAGCAGAAACTGGGGCTCACCCGGCTTCTGGACCCTGAAGGTGGGCGATTTGTTATGTGCCCTTGTTTCAGGGACCTTACAGGTGCCCCAAGAAAGAGCAGTCGATAAAAAAAATTCCCGACTCCTTGCCTCATCTCGCAAACGAGCCATGGCAACAGCCGAGGCACTTTGTCACGTAGACTACACATGACCACACCGCACACTAATCATGATGTCGCGTGACATCACGTGTCATGTCACGGTGTCCCATAACCAAGTCACGTGATGTCGCAGTGTCACGTGACATTGTAACGTTGGCCACAACGGCCTTATGGGAAACACCCTCGGGGATCTGCTGCGAAACTTGCCAATATCGGTTGTTGCCGTAAACGTGCGGACAGACGAACACACTCGTGCGAAGAAACATTAACATTGCAACCCGCATCTTGCACCTCGCAACCGAGCATGTCCCTGCCGTCATCTGCCAGCGGCGCCCTCATTCTGAAACGTGTCCCACCATGTTTTGCAGACGTGTTCGTGGACAACCCCGACGAGAAGTCCATCATCACCTACGTCGTCACTTACTACCACTACTTCTCCAAGATGAAGGCGGAGACGGTGCAGGGCAAGAGGATAGGAAAGGTGGGCTTTTCCGTCTGTCCTTTACGCATTCTTGCGGTGGATGTGTGTTTTGCTCTTTTGATGTCTGGTGATGTCGGCTTTTTGCAGTCGTGGGAAAGCTCGGTTAGCACGAGGCTAGCATCTCCAGGATGTAAATGTTTGCCGGTGGTGCTAGCGAGAGGAAAAAAGATACTTGCGCCCTTCAGAACAAGTGACAAACTGAAGCATCAGAACGCTTGCTGCTGACATTGGGAGCCAACCAGTCGGATCGCTTGGAGGACGTAACGAACGGACGTGAATTTTGAGAAGCCACTGTGAAGAAAGTCGACGCAGGTGCCTACCCCTTCGTCAAGCCCCACGGTCCCTTCGAAACGATGATGATTTGAAAAACCATCTACGCTTGAGATCTTTATAGGGTTATGCTACAGTGTAGACCGCATATAACGTATGTCGCGGGAGACGCAAAAATCCGCACTATACGCGGTACCGCGTTATAACCAAAACATCAATTTTTCAGGCCAAAATACATGCCATGAGACTACTTACCTTTGTAAAAGAATTTACTTTATGTTAGGTGAAAAATAAAGCTTAGTTTGAGGAAAGTCTTTATTTCACCAGACTAGAACAGTTCTGTCTCAAGTGTGTCACACATTTTGAAAGAAGTGAGCGACTTTTGCCTGGCGCAGCCTTTTAACAGCGTCGCGGGTTGCGGACGGACGTTGCGAGCGTTCAGGATTTCTTACCCTAATCACTTTTCTCCGGCGATGAAAACGCGTGAAAATTCGCATCCTTTATACGGTACGCGCCAGTAATACCTTCAACTTGAGCACAGGCATGAAATGCTCCAAATAAGAAATCCGGGCGATGTTCGAAAACACAGAAAGCACCACTCTAGTCGAAGTAAACAAACACGACGACACGGGCGTTTCTGCCGTCTTGAGAGCGCCGCCACGACATCGCCGCACGAGTAGGTGGATCTTCCCTTCTAGTACGTGCTGGGTTATCATAACGACACACAACGAAAATTCACAGTCAAGGGTAGCGCTTTTACGCGGAACGATGAGCCTCCATCACGCAATCTACGTCGACGATCAAAACCAACGCCATGTTTGCGGATAGACGCAGCCGGCCCGCGACCGGAGAGGAGGAGAAGCGTTGTAATAGAGGTTGGGGGGGAAAGGAGGGAGCCAATAGTGTGTACGCACTGCCGGCATGCAACGCGCTCGAACACTTCTCCTCGACCTGTGATTGGTCTGTTGTTGCGGTTGTTTCCAACCATCGCAGCGGAGGGACGCGCGCACGAGAACGACACGTGCATGCGTCCCTCCGTCGCTATGGCAACTGCAGCCTCTCTCTTCGCATCTCCCGGTTTCTTCGAGCAACCTCCTTGCCCCGCGAGGGCCGCTCGCGGCTCGCGCCGTTATCTAGCGCCGCAAAGGGAAGCATGCTCGCTGCGCCGGTCAGTCGGCACGGCCGCCGGGCTCTTCCAGAAACCGCACTATAACCGGTATTCCCCTTCGCGCGCCTGCATTTTAAGCGGTATGTAAATACATGGAGTTCTATGGGAGGCGAACCGGTGGTTTAAAAAAGCCGCGTTATACCCGGTCCTGCACTATAAGCGGTTACGTTGTAAGTGGTCTATACTGTATTACAAAATAATGAAACACCACAGGCTTTAAAAAAATTATCAACATTTTTCAAGATTTTTTTTTTTTTTAATCTTGTAATTTTTTGAATGTTTTTCTTTTTTGGTTTTGGAATAAACTATTGGTTTAGTACGGGAATTTTCGCGAAATATTGCGGGGGTCACGTTAGATCACAACTTGTAAGCACCTTCCTGCTTTGGTGCAAAGCGACATAATCACTACTGTGCATAACCATTGTTTCCTCGCCTTGGCCAGGTGGTGGGCTGTGCCATGGAAAACGACCGGTCGATCGAGGAGTACGACACGCTGACCTCGGACCTGCTCCGCTGGATCGAGCAGACCATCGAGGCGCTGTCGGACCGCAACTTTGCCAACTCGCTGGTCGGGGTGCAGCAGCAGCTGCTGGCCTTCAACACTTACCGCACTGCCGAGAAGCCCAAGAAGTGAGTGGCTGCTGCCATACCCGTCTTGCTTGCACATTCTTTTCTTTGCGGGAAGCCGTCCAGTGGGACTGGGGCTGACCATCCCTGTGTGACATGACTATATAGTTGGTGGCAAGTTAAGAGTGAGGTGAAAGATCCCCCCACCTCCTTCCACCATAGCAGAGCAAAGGCCAGAGAGGAGGCGACCCCCTGTCCAGCGTTCGCTCGGCTAAAGTGGAAAGAGGTGGGAGGAACTTCTCCGAACTCACCTTGTCACTGGCCATAGTGCAAGCACGGCATTGGCGCCTCTTCGCATTTTGCTCGGGCATTGATAGAGTTTTACCAGACAAGTTCTTGCCCGAGATGAGCCCTTTTCACCGTACAAGTTACACTGGGCCAGGCACACGGGCGTGAAATATCCCGACTGGACGAGTGACGAGGCACTTTTCATTGCTGCCCTTCCTTACCGGTCTGCCCTTGTGTTTCAGGTTTGAGGAGAAGGGGAACCTGGAGGTGCTCCTGTTTGCGCTGCAGAGCAAGATGCGTGCCAACAACCAGAAGCCCTACTTCCCCAGGGAGGGCAAGATGATCTCAGATATCAATCGGGCCTGGGAGCGCCTGGAGAAGGCCGAGCACGAGCGGGAGCTTGCACTGCGAGAGGAGCTTATACGGTGAGGCCGCCCGGGACCCTGGTCTTAAACATTTTTTTAGAGCCAAGCTGTTATACGCAAGGGTCTAGGAAAAAATGTGTCCTCTCATGTCGACAGAAAACTCCCCATTGGTTGTGGCAAGTATGAATAAATAATAACAAAAAGAGGGGCAACCAGCGCGAGTCAGCCTTCCTGTTCATTATTAGATAGTGAGGTCCTGATCCCTCGTTATCATCTCTAGGCATTGTCCTCGAGGTCATCCTAGAAGCTGTATTTGAGGTCGTCCTAGACATCGTCCGAGAGGTCGCCCTCGAGGTCGTCCTAGAAGTCTTCCTAGACGTCGTCCTCAAGGTCGTCCTAAAAGTCATCCTTGAGGTCGTCCTAGACGTCGTCCTCTAAGTGTCGTCCTCGAGGCCACCCTAGAAGTCGTCCTTGAGGTCGTCCTAGACGTCATCCTCTAGGCATTGTCCTAGAGGTCGTAATGGTAACAGCTTCGCTGGTCCTTCATCTTCATGTGAGGCCGAAGGGCTCTACAATTTTTTTTAATGTGAAACATTGTTTGGCTTGGTGTTTGGCATTTTGTGAATCCCAAAAGTGAAGCCTGGATAAAAGCATGGCCGCGATGCTCGACACTGATTGGTTGATGGGTGGGAGAGGAGGAGTGAGGTGCTCGGCGCTGATTGGGGAGGTTATGTGACTACAGGTGGAGTGAAGTGGGAGAAGAGGAGTGTGTTAGAAGGTTCTGGAAGGTCACCAGGTTTATCATTTCAGGTGTACACATGCCACACGTTAAATTATCTGATGAGGAGCACCATGCATCTGGCTGAACAGGCTAAACGCACTGCTAAACGGTGGTAGAAATGTTTGGGACGCTAGAACGTTTTCATGTACAGTCAAACCCGTTTATACCGAACAGCAGGAAACGCTACAATCAGTTCGATATAGCAAAAACCATTTACAACAAACTTCCATGATACATTCGTTGTGAAGCGAGAGCTTCTTTTTCTTTTTCATCCCTTCGTTTCCGCCTTGTAACAACGCGCTGAAAAGATTTCTTTTTTTGCATGCATGCAGTTTTTTTTTTTTTTTTTAGCTTATTTCCTATTTTGAATTGCTTCTCTTCGCTCAGTTTTGTTTGCAACTTCAGCTTTTAAACTTTTCTTTCTGTCCTACTTTTTTATTTGGGGGGGGGGGGGTTGAAGTTGAAGGGACAGGTTAGAAGACGATTGTTTGCGCGCTTTTGGAAACCTTCCCGGGGAGAAAAAGTTCAGTATGGCCAATATGTTGTTTGTTATAAAAAGTACTTTTTACATGCATTTTTATTTAAATTTTTCGTGAGTTCCGTACCGACAATAATTTCGCTGTACGTGGGTTCGTTCTAAACGGGTTTCACTGTATGCAATATAATTGCCTAGCAATTTGGCATACATTTTTTGTCCTGTTACAAGCAAATCTCAACTCTATTGCAAATGTTTCTGCCCAACTTAGTTTGTGATACCGCCATCAAAAAATAAGGCATGAAAAATATTGGAATGTTCTATAAAGTATAAAGAGTGCAACCAGATCATACTTATAAATTTAGAATAATCCTAAAGAAGCTATGGAAAATTAAAATTTTTTCGCTGATAATGAGACTCATTAAAGTTTTTGTGAGTTAAAAATTTTATAATGAACATATTCTAGAAAGATTATTCTTGTTGCACTCTGTGATTTATGAGGTATCAAATGCCGAAAAAAGTATTCAGATCAAAATTCTAGATAAAAGAGCCACAAGCAAAACTTTGTGTCGTGAGAAAATAGAATATAATTCTGAAAAAACAGGAATACCCTTCAAAAACATGCTTGCAAACAGCCTGAATATGAAACTTTGAATCGATGTAACTATATAAATATGCCGTTCCTGAGTGTAGTACTAAATAATATAGGTATTGATTGTACCTTAAAAATCAAGAAAAGCGTGTTTTTAAAATAAGTTGTATTGCAATTTCCGTTTTTCAAGACCAGGGTCTCTCTTTAATTGTATTTGAATGGCGCTTAATTTGAATACCAATTCAAATATTCCACTGTTTTTCCGAATTCCGAGTTTGATGACTGATTCGAATATTGAATAAGTGCATAAGGGTGAAGGATGGCTAGAGGTTGCCGGGTAGAGTGTTTAAACCTTCCTTACCTTCGAAGCTGTTAATTGTTGCTATGGCCCGTTACCTCCCTCTTCTCGTCTAGACAAGAAAAGCTGGAGCAGCTGGCAGCCCGGTTCGACCGCAAGGCCGGCATGAGGGAGACGTGGCTGAGTGAGAACCAGCGCCTGGTCTCCCAGGACAACTTCGGCACGGACCTGGCCTCGGCCGAGGCGGCCGCCAAGAAGCACGAGGCCATTGAAACCGACATCCTGGCCTACGAGGAGCGCGTCCAGGCCGTCGTGGCCGTGGCGCGCGAGCTCGAGGCCGAGGGCTACCACGACGTCGACCGCATCAATGCCAGGTGAGCACTCTCTTGGAACAATGGCAGAGCGCATTCGGCCAATCGCGATTGCACCAGGGGTCGTTTGATTGCGCTCCTCTCAGCCCGCTCTTTCTTGCCTTCGGTCGCTCTTTCCCTCGATGCTCTAAGCCTTTGCGCGCAAGGATGGGGTGGCCGAGGCATACGCCAGAGTGAGTAGCGGCTGCTCGATGGCATAAACGCGCCCGTGAGAGAGAACATCGTTTATCTGTATTTGCCGACGGTCTCACTCCGGGTGTTGGGATGGAACGCATTCGACGTCAAGGTCGTGCTGCGCGTGGACGGGACGCGGCACGTAGGAGGGAATGTTACAGAGTGAAGAATGGACAAGCTTATGCGATTGAGCAATTTGTACAGCACGTTCGCTAGAACGTGTTTGGTGCTAGCTGTTCCGGATGTGATCGGCTGTGATATACGCGAGACTCCGCACGATGCAACATCGCCGGAATTTCCGGTCAGTCATGATATAATATCATTGAAATGTCGCACTAGCCGACACCGTCCATTCGCTTCGCGTCGCGTGATCGTCTCCGCAATTTTCAAACAATGTTTTTGCGAGGAAAAAAGAGCCAGGCAATTAAGCATACGGGTTCTCAGTGCCTCCACTTGGTGGCGCAACCCGTGGTGCTGAAGTTTGACAGCGATAGGGGTATTGAGAATTCAGTTCGAAGCGTAACGAGGAACGAAGAATGATATTATTTTGGAGAGCGTTGCAGTACAGGTAGTTCGATCATTTGACTGAGCGTACACAGCTGAGAACACTTACACTAACGAAAAACGCTGTCAGCACGATCACTGCAGTCTGTTGGCGGCTCATTCAAAGTGGGTTCGAAATTCTGATACAGCTTTTCAGTTGCCAGACTCCAGTGGTGCCAGCTTAATCGACGGTACTTAACCACCTTGTCGAGGCTAGCGCCACGCGTGGTCGCGTACTGAGCTCTCCCATAGCGTTGCAGAGAACTTTCGTGACCAGCAGCGTACTGAAGGATTCTCGTAGGGTGACTCTCCATGTACCTTCCTTGTTCGGGCTGGTCACGCTGTGACAGTGACTGGAGGAAAGGAGAGCGTTAGTGCACCACTTACTCTCCTTCCCCCCATTTTCTTCTACGGTGTGACCAACACGAGCAAGCCCCATTCCATCAGCCCTATTACGTGCTATCGTACCTTCATCGCGACGTCCAGCAGCGTGACAGGCTGGATTCAGAGACGTTACTCGTTGCCAGCTAGGGACCCTTTTTGATGTATGGGCAGTGAGTGGGACAGGACGGTGAACACAGCGGTCGACGTTCCAGCCAAACGGTAAACAGAAGCTCACCAAAAAAAAAAAAAAGGCTTGAGGTACACCTAAGCAGTTCTTATGAGTTATAAATGCGAAAGCATGCATGCCTCTCTATGCTCCCTTCTTTCGTCTGCGGTGTACGGAGCACTGATTTTGGGCGTGGAACGTTGGAGCCGCTGCCTCGCGGACGCGCAACGCCGTCTGGGGAGCGATCGTCGAAACTGGCGCGCAGCGGCCAATGGGAGCCTCTTTGACGCGCGCTAACCAATCCGATTGAAGCCGAAAAATCATCAGCTTTATTTCGCTCCTTTGGGATCGGCGAAACTAGGTGCCATGTTTATTTAGGCTTTTCGCATGGTTCCATAGCTGGGAGCTGGCTACACTTGGAGAAAGGATTTAAGGTGTGCGCTTCAAACTGATGATGTTGGCTCGCTCCATGAGACCAGTTAATGCTTTCGCATTAAAAAGCTCACCGGAGATAAACTCACCTGAGGAAAGATCACCAGAGATAGGCTCACCTGAGCAAAGCTCACTGCAAACCGTTGGATCCGGAGAAAAACTCACCATTCTTTTGACTGACGTGAAGAAAAGCTCACCTACGAATCCCTGAATCACTCGATTGAAAACATTCATCGACCGAAGTATATATTTGAATGACAAATGGTGCATGGGATTATCCTGCACTTTACTATCAGAAAAATATTTTTAAGTATACCTCATTCATGTCATAGTGGTACGGAGAAAATAAATAAAACAAATTTTGCAGCAGTAAAAGACCTTATGCGAAATTGCTTGGTGGCCTGACAATACTGAGAGCGTCGCCATTTTAGTGTTAACAAGCGTCGTCGTTTACCGAAGCACGGTGGAGGCATCAGAGACAATTATGCGGGCAGTGTGCGATAGCGCGGCAGCTGCGTTTTCCGCTTTCCGATCTTGAATTGTGGACGAACACTTGAAACAACCTACTGCAACTGTTTGACGAAACACTCGGGGGGGCCTATGCACTCTGGCGACAACCTCTTCGAAGCAGCGAAGCAAGTCCTACGCCTTTGCTATGGAAGCTTAGACACTGCAGGCTGTCGTCAGCATGCACAGGCGTCCGAGAGTTTCGTCTGACAGTTGTGGTTGGGTGTTTAAACGGTTCGTCCACACTCCATGGTCGGAAGGCGGAAAACACAGTTGCCGTGCCATCGCACACTGCCAGTGCGGTTGTCTCCGATGCCTCCACCGTGCTTCGGTACTGACGACGCTTGCCAACATTAAAATGGTGACGCTTTCAGTGTTGTCAGACCACCAAGCAATTTCGCATAATGTCTGTTAAAAGACTGTCGGAAAAAATTTAGCCAGTGTAATGTGCTGCCTGTTGAGAGTCTGGATTTTTCTCTACTGAACTCATTTTCGTGAGTGGCCGGCATTGCATAAGCTATGTCCGATCACAGTGTTTCATCACAGTGTTTAATCATTTCACCAAAAGGCACTCTTTTTCCTTTGAAGTCCTTCCCATTGGCTAATTCGAAAAAAGTTGATATTTCTTCTACTCCGACTGCGTCGGAAATAAATATTGCTGCAGCAGTGCGAAAACGGACGACGTGAAGGCAGTGCGAGGGCTGCAGCAGACAGCGCTTGTTTGAAACGTAAACCACATGTCTAGGGGGTGCGTATAGCTGTGATTGCACTAGTGCTCTAAAATTATAACAGCTGCGTACCTTGCATATAAACTGAATTCGTGGTAAGCTTTTCTCGGGGTCTTTCAAAAGACAGGGGAGCTTTTATCTTGATCTGCCGAAAGGTGGCTGAGCTTTTCTCTGGTGAGCTTTCCTCCGGGATTCGTTCCAGGGAACCTTATCATAATTCAAATTCAGCTGAACTGATTTTCTTTTTGGTTAGCACCCTTTGAATGAGCCTTTCTCCGGTAATCTTGGGCGCATGCGTAAACCCTCTCTCCTGGCCTTGCCTCCCCCGCTGTCACCATGTCAGAGGGCACCGTCCCGCACGACCGACGTATTCAGTACCTATCTTTGCGGACATTTCGTTGGCCTGGGCGATTCATTTTTTTTAGTATTTCTAGTACGGGTCATAAAGAGCGATGAAAGCTGATGCACCTGCACGATGCCAGTGTGTTACGATTGCGATAGGCGGAGGAATGCTGGGCTGCCCCTCATTTGTAGTTCGCAGGCAACTCCCTAGACGGTGCTCGTCGTTCGAAAAAGGTTCGTTGCAGTTTCTCGCGTCGTTGCACATTCCCAACTCGTCTGCTTACCCCCCCATGTCCCCGGCGCCCTCCCTTCCGTCCGCAGGAAGGATAACGTCCTGCGCCTGTGGAACTACCTGCTGGAGCTGCTGCGTGCCCGGCGTGCTCGGCTGGAGGGCTGCCTCACCCTGCAGCAGACCTTCCAGGAGATGCTGTACATCGTGGACTGCATGGAGGAGCTCAAGGGGCGCCTGGCCTCCCCGGACCTGGGCAAGCACCTGATGGGAGTGGAGGACCTGCTCCAGAAGCACTCGCTGCTCGAGGCCGACGTCAACGTGCTCGGGGAGCGGGTGAAGGCGGTTGTGGGGCACGCCCAGGGCTTCCTCGGGGAGGAGCCGCAGGCCACCGGCGCCGTCGGTCCGGACGGCAGGCCCCTGCCGGGTGAGCTTCAGGCGTTGTGTCGGGACGTTTGTGCGGTGGGTAGTGTGGAGGGTCATGGGCATAGAGTTATTATAATGTACCCTAGGGGTTCAACTGGCGCTAGTGTCTATACGACTTCCGTGACTCAAATTGAAGCAGACAGCAACCAGTCTACTTTTGCGGTGCTCCTGTGCATTCCTATGGGAAAACGCGTGCGCATTTTGTCTCTTTGCCGGAAAACAACATGAATAACTTTGGTTATTTGGGTTGTACCGAATAGTATGTACCTTGATTAACAATGTAAAAGTGTAATTGCTTTAGTTAGCGCATTTTTCTTTATCGGTGAACAATGTTTAACTTCGCTACATTTCAGTCCCAAACGTGTGTTCCGCAGCAGGTGTGTAAAAACAAGCGACGATTCAAAGCAAAATTAAAATTGAAACGAACATAGAGTGTGTTCAAGGCTCGCCAGCATTCTGGTGATGCTTGTATATTGATAATATGCCAGTCCTGTCACTATATGAAAATGGTCCCGTCGAGCATGAGCGGATAAAAACCTTCAAAACGTAAAGAATGAAGCCCGTGGGCTATGAAAGGTGTCTCTTCGTGTTGTTTTCTCTGCTGGGCAGCTTTTATCGCGCACTTGTTCACAAAGATATCAAGCGCGCGGGTGATATTTTGAACGTAGAACAAGCAGCTTCGCTCAGGGAAGAAAATATAAAGCGTTACTTACTTATTTAAAATCGGAATAGATTACATGGCCTTCAATTTATTTTGATCGTACATGCACTGCGAGTTACTGACCCAGTGTTACTGCGTAGTTCTTGCCGCCGCTCTTGATTTTCCAGATCATTTGGCATGAATATCCCCCATGCTGGAAATCGCCGACGCTGCATTCACGCTGACAGTGTCCGACAGTGCACATGAATACACGTACGAAGCCGTTTTAGCACCGTTTTAATGCGACGAATTCGAAAGAAAAACGCCGTAAGTGACCAATTCTTTCGTCGGTTTGACTGAGAAATGTTCCAAGCTACCTAGTACGTACGAATTATTGGGGATATTTGCTCTTATGATCGAGCGCAGGGAGAAAATGCACTCACTTTTTTCCATAGAAATACATTATTGGAAGTCGATTTTGGACTGGTTGCTGTCTGCTTCAATTTGCGTCAGCACACTAGCGTCACTTGAACCTCTAACGTACATTCTAATAACTCTATGGTCACGGGAGATTGAATCGGCGTTGAACTGGGCGAGTCGGTAATGGTTTTAACGCGATGTAAATGAAGGCAGCAAAGAACAAGGACTACGAACACTTATGACAGTACAACAGCTGTACTCGCAACCAAACGATATTGGTTGGAAAGAAAAAAGGAAAACATATCTGTTACTCCCATCACGTTAAACACGCATTGAAGCCGTTAGTGTATGGGGTGCTATGCATACCGGGGCTTGTATTAAAATTGACCGAAAGAATCTCCACTTGTACGCATCAATCGCAAATATGCATCAAAGGTGTACTTTAGTCGCATGTTTTACTTTGCGCAATTCGAAGGCGTAGCTCCCTTTGTGAAAACTTAGGCCAACACAATGGCAGACGTCAAAGCAGGCAATGAAGCTGACCCAGGGTGCGGTACCATCTCTTATAGGCACTGTGAGCAGACAATGGCATCTTCTGCTTTTGACTACATCTAGTTAAAAGCAGGTGATGCCATCTGCTTTTGAAGACGTCTGAAGAAGCAAAGTCAGAGACTTGGCTTTTTCAGATGTTTCATTGCAAAGCTTGGCTAGTTTGGAGACCTGTAGTGGCTCTATCCCTTAGCTACGCATGGGTTTATATTTTCAGGCTTCCAGGAGGGCACTTTCTGCACCTTTCCTACCAGTTTAGACCACCTTGGTGTTTTGTTTGAATATACCCATTGCAGTGTGACTTTATGCGAGATTTCGGAGTGCCAGGTTTTTCAACCTCTTTGGTTTCTGCCTTGGCGTCTTCAGCGGACCAGCGGTCCGTGGATCCCCGGCTGGTGGCGGAGCGCACGCAGCAGCTGGAGGGAGCCTACTCGGAGCTGGTGCGGCTGGCCCTGGAGCGCCGCAAGCGCCTGGAGGACTCACGTCGCCTCTGGCAGTTCTACTGGGACATGGCCGAAGAGGAGGCCTGGATCCAGGAGAAGGACCGCATCCTCTCCTCCCTCGAGATCGGCCACGACCTCACCATGGTGCACCTGCTCATCTCCAAGAACAAGGTAAGTGCGCGGGGCCCTGCACATGGGGCTTGCCTTATTCTGCTGCTGCCACCGAAAGACCAATCTCATTACCATAATATCCCGAGTCATCGCCCCCCCCCCCCCCCCCCCCGCCCGCCTGAAATTCATAAAAAAAGTGGGATGGGCCATGTCTCAGTGGGTAAGCACAAAAGGTTTAGAAAAGGTTAAAAAAAACAAAAAAACTTTCAGCCTTTTCATTCCGGTGAGGAAGGAAGAGCAGCAGAGCTGTAGCTTCTGTTCTCGGCGGTGGTTTTCCAGGCTAGCGATCTGCCCTTCTTTCATAAGGGAATTTGAAGCGCTCGACGCAGTGGAACTTCAGGCGATAGCGGCCTCGCGGCGGTTGCTGAACCATTCGCGCTGCTGTGCACGTCGCCGTTCGTTCCATTTCCGCTCTTCTTCCTTTGAAGAAATGTTGCCGCCATCTATGAGCGACGGCAGCAATCAGTTGTCTGGTTGCCGAGGCTGGAAAGGTTGCCGTGACCTATGAGCGACCGCGACAAGCAGACAACCGGCAAACACAACACTCTGGACAGCTGCCGCCATCTGTGAGCGACATGGCAGCCAGAGTGTTGTGTCGACATTTGTTTAGTACCGGACACGTTCCTGGGGAAACTAGCCCTCAACAGCTCCGCTGTAAAATATGCCAATTGTTTTGTACGTATCTAGCGTGGCTGCACAAAGCTACATTAATCTGAAAACTTGAATTGGTTTCATTGTTTTTTGTGCAACAAATGCTCATGAAATAATGTTTTACCATTGCAAAGTCTGTTGCTTGCATACGCACAATGAACGTCACCGATCAGCATACAGCGCCAGTGTTGTTCCATTAAAGCATGTTTCTAACACCGCTATGTTTTCTTGATTAGAAAAAAGAAAAAAAAGTCAACAAGTAATTAGCGAAATTAATCATGTGCAACGAGCGAGGGAGCGAGCAAACGAAAGAAGCGACGAAGAGCTATGCTGTGATGCTGGGAAAGCAGGAAAGCCGGCTATTGCGTTGGCAAATGCTTTGGTGTCGAGCCAAGTCGGGCGCCTTCTCAATGGCAAGGAGCAGGCTCTTGCACAACTTTCTTGTTTGGTGCATACATGCATGCATCCATGCACGGCGTGGCGTGGACGGCACCACGAACATGGAGCTTGAAATGAGACGCTCTGCAAATGTCTTGTGTGCGGTGTTCCAGTCTTGAATATTGCACAGCCTTACCAGCCGTGGTCGTGAAGTTCCAAGAGACGGAGCGGGTTTGTGATAAAACCTTTCTTAGGTGGAGACGGACTTTGACCTTACACTCCATGGTTATGTTCCAGGATATGGAGCATTCGCTGACCTCGCCATCCCTGCATGGGTTGCTTCTTGTGCTATCTTTCCGACTTTGTTTTTTTTTGTCCAAAGAAACTTTTTTGTAAGCAAAACAAAGCTTCATTTTGTTACTCCATCATTTTCCTCTCATGCACATGTACTAAGACTCCAGGGCCTCGAAAATCAGGGAGGAAATGCATAAACAAAGAGAAGTGTTCTTCCCTTCTTGTTTTACTTTGTCACGGCTTATATTGCGACAAAGTCGGCAGAACACTGGCTGGAGACCAGGGCACCAATTTTGCTGACTGGAAGACCAGTCTATATCGGGACAAAGTCGGCATGACCTTGGCTTGAGGTTGGGGCATCACTCTATCATAAAATTGAAGACTGGATTAGGGAGGAAATCTCATGGGGTGGCTTAGGCCAGCTTTTTTTCCACCCTCCCAGGCATGGTTGTCTAAATAAACATGAATTAATTTGTTTATATCAGGACAAAGGTGGCATCATGTCGGCTTGACGTTGGGGCACCGCTCTTGCAGGCGATGGAGGATGAGCTTGCGGCCCACGAGCAACAGCTGATGGAGGTGGTCCGTGCGGGCGAGTCTCTGGTAGCGGAGGGCCAGCCCGGCTCTGAGCGCGTGTCCCAGCGCACGGCAGAGGTTCTGTCCGCCTGGGACCACCTGCGTGAGCTGCAAGCCCTGAGGGCACAGCGCCTGGCCCAGGCGCTGGACTTCCACCAGTTCTTTGCGGACGCGGATGACGTGGACACCTGGATGCTGGACACCCTGATGCTGGTGTCCAGCGACGACGTGGGACGGGACGAGGCGAACGTTCAGTCCCTGCTCAAGAAGCACAAGGTACTCTTCTGAACAGGCAGTGGTTGCTGTCATTGTGTTACCCTTGCTAATGAAGCTCAAATTGTTTTGTAGAGCATATTGGTATAACTGGTGCTTAGTGCCACCAATCAATCGGTGAATGAATGAACGAGTCAGTCAGTAAATGGTTTACATTCATTCAATCAAAACCAATAAATTGGTCTCAATCAGACAATGAATGAAGGGGTCAATCAATCCATGTACAGTGTAGACCGCATATAACGTATGTCGCGGGAGTCGCGAAAACCGCACTATAAGCGGTACCGCGGTATAACCAAAACATCAATTTTTCAGGCCAAAATACATGCCATGAGACAACTTACCTTTGTAAAAGAACTTATTTTATGTTAGATGAAAAATAAAGCTTAGTTTGAGGAAAGTCTTTATTTCACCACACTAGTACAGTTCTGTCTCAAGTGTGTCACACATTCTGAAAGAAATGAGCGGCTTTTGCCTGGCGCAGCCTTTTAACGGCGTCGCGGGTTGCGGACGGATGTTGCGAGCGTTCAGGATTGTTAACCCTAATCACTTTTCTCCGGAGATGAAAACATGTGAAAATTCGCATCCTTCATACAGTACGCGCCAGTAATACCTTGAACTTGAGCACACGCATGAAATGCGCCAAATAAGAAATCCGGGCGATGTTCGAGGACACTGTAGAAGAGACCAAGAGATGGCGCCAGGAGCGCATCGTGATCTAGATAAGCGTGTGCGCCGCGAGACGCGGGGTACTTTTCGCCACTTGATGCTAGGGTAATAAACGTTGTGGGTCTGCTTCGTCTACCCTCGTCTGCTTCGTCTGCCCGGCTGGCGCGTCGCGCCCAGAGCACACAAGCTCTGAACATGGTGTCAGAAGTGGGGTACACCTGCTCGTAGTCAGCGCTACCGCCATGCCGGACGAAGAAAAGAGCGTCCACCTCGGGGCCACGGGGCTTCAACCGCCGTCACCGTTCGTCTTCACGAGCCCAGGCGAATGGACAACGTGGATTCAAACGTACGAGGACTACGCCTTCGCCACCGGTCTACGTTCTGCAAGCGACGAAACGCAAGTAAGAACGTTGCTTTATTGCATGGGTCCGCAAGCTCGTACCGTACTAGCTTCGCTTGGCGTGCCAACCCCGGAGACGCAACCGTTTGCCGCCGTCAAGGAGAGGCTGACTCAACACTTCGTTCATCCGGTGAACGAAATTTACGAAAGCCGAAGATTTCACCGCAGGACTCAGCAGCCTGGGGAAACAGTCGACGCGTTTTTCACGGAGCTTCGAACCCTAATCAGACGCTGCAACTACAACAGCCCCGAGATAGAAGACCGCCTAGTGCGTGACAAGTTCGTAGTCGGCTTATTGGACGAGAAGCTATCGGACCAGCTGTGCCGTTGCACACGGCTCACCGCTGACGAAGCACTTTTACAAGCCCGCCAGCACGAAGATGCTGAGAGGGAGCGCGCTTCTCGTTCGGCGCAAGCTGCAGCGGCCTTGAACGTCGACGCGACGAAGAAAAAGACTGCGTCATCCGCTCCGTCGTCGCGCGCACGTAACCGGCAGCAGCGTTTGGACAACGCAGTTTGTGGCAATTGTGGGCGTTCTGCGCATGACCGCAAGGACTGTCCAGCACGGAAGGCAACTTGCAATTTCTGTAAAAAGCAAGGTCATTTTGCAGAAGTTTGTCGCGCGAAGAAGCGCAAGAAGTTGGGCTCCGTCGAACTCTGCTCTGTTCGTACGCAACGGGCAAGATACGTCGAAGTGAGCGTCAACGGCCACATGACAAGGTTCAAGGTGGACTCGGGAGCAGACGTCACCGTCGTTCCGCCGTCGCTTCCAGGCGTTCCTCGCAAGCTCGACGCAGTGGAAGGAGAGCTTATCGGCCCGGGGAACCAGCCACTGCCTGTTTTGGGCACTTTCCAAGCTACTCTGGCGTGGAAGGACAAGCGCACCGTCCAACAGCTTTACGTCATGCGGGCTCAAACTACACCGCTTCTAGGGTTACCTGCGATAGAAGCTCTCGGCGTGGTCAAGTTTGTGAACACCACCTCCGCCGAGTCCGGAAAAACGGATGGACGTGTCCCGCCTTCCGACGCTCGTGTCAGCTGTGTTCCATCTTCTGACGCCCATATCTTTAAGGGACTGGGCGAACTCCAAGAAAAGTACACCATTCGTCTGAAGTCAGGGGCTCAGCCGTACTCGTTGAGCGTTCCAAGACGAATACCTCTGCCGCTCTTCGACGTCGTCAAGAGAGAACTTGATGCCATGGAAGCTCAAGGTGTCATCAGAAGGGTTGACAAGCCGACAGCATGGTGCTCCGGACTTGTCGTCGTCCCCAAGTCGTCGGGTGGGTACAGGCTGTGCGTCGACCTGACCAAGTTAAACCAAGTCATCGAGCGGGAGCGATACGTCCTGCCGACGGTTGACCAGATCCTGGGGCAGCTAGGCGACGCCAAAGTGTTTTCAAAACTCGACGCGACCTCCAGTTTCCACCAAATCAAGCTCAGCGACGCAAGCGAAGAATTAACGACGTTCATCACGCCGTTTGGTCGCTACTGCTACCGTCGTCTGCCATTTGGTCTGGCGTCTGCACCCGAATATTTTCAACGTCAAATGTCACGGGTCCTGGAGGGGTTGCCTGGCGTCGTGAATATGATCGACGATGTCCTTGTTTACGGTAGAGACCTTGAACAGCACGATCAACGCCTTGCTGAGGTACTCCGACGACTTGAGCAAGCCGGGGTCAAGCTCAACGACCAGAAGTGTGAATTCCGGGTTCCCTCGGTCAAGTTCCTCGGAGTCGTCGTCGATGGAGATGGTATCTCGCCGGATCCCGACAAGCTTCGAGCCATTCGGGAGCTACCTCCGCCAACGGACGTTGCAGGCGTTCGTCGTCTACTGGGGATGGTGAACCACATTGGACGCTTCCTGCCGCACCTTTCGGACGTAACTGCCCCCATCCGTTCACTTCTCAACAAGTCAAGCGCATGGTCCTGGGGCGCAAGCCAAGATGACGCGTTCAAGCGGTTGAAGTCTATGCTGAGCTCGGAAACCTGCATGGCAAAGTACCATCCACGCTATCCTACGATACTTTCCGCAGATGCAAGCTCATTTGGCCTGGGAGCGGTACTGCTGCAAGATCAGCCGTCCGGAGCTCGTCGTGCTGTGGCCTTCGCTTCAAGGTCCTTGACTCCGACTGAAGCACGCTACAGTCAGACAGAAAAGGAAGCTCTCGCCGTGACCTGGGCTGTTCTTCGGTTCGACCAGTATCTGCGTGGGCTTAGTTTTACCGTGGAATCAGATCACCTGCCTCTCGTCGCCCTGCTGGGGAAAAAGGAGCTGGAGTTGTTGCCACCGCGAATTCAGCGAATGCGCATAAAGCTGATGCGCTACCAATTCGACGTTCGGCACGTACCAGGGAGACTTCTTGCCACGGCGGACACGCTGTCACGTGCCCCTTGCGATGTCCGGTCTTCTTCTACAGTATTCTCCGTCGAAATTTTCGCTAGCGAGATATTTAAAGGTCTTCCACCTCCCCTCGCTAACAGGCTGGAAGAGGTTCGTCGTCGACAAGCTGAAGATGGAGAATGTTCTCTCATCGTCCGCTACTGCCAAGAGGGATGGCCAGACAAGAGGAAGCTGCCTCCCAACTTGGTGCCGTATTGGAAAGAGAGAGGAAGGTTGACAGTCTCGGAGGACCTTCTTCTGCTGGACTGCCGCCTCGTTATTCCTGCTGCTCTGCGTAGCAACGTCCTGGCCCTTCTGCACGACGGCCATCAAGGACTTCGCCGCTGTAAGGAGAGAGCCAGAGAAAGCGTCTGGTGGCCTAACTGCAACAGCCACATCGAACATTTGGTCACCAGCTGTGACAAGTGTGCGGAAACAAGGGTTGTACACTCGGAGCCCTTGATGTCAACGCCTACACCAGATCGGCCGTGGCAACGCCTAGCCATTGACTTGTTTCAGCTGAAAGGCCGTGATTATGTTCTCATGGTGGACTATTACTCTCGGTTTCCGGAAGTCGTCTCCTTGAGCTCTACGTCAGCCTCAGCGGTTATCGCGGCTATCAAGAGCTGCTTTTCCCGACATGGGATACCGGACGTTGTACGGACAGACAATGGTCCGCAGTTTGCTTCACAGGAATTCGCAAACTTTGCTCTGTCATACGGTTTCCAGCATGAGACCAGTAGCCCTCGGTACCCGCAGAGTAATGGCGCAGTAGAGCGCATGGTGCGCACGGTGAAGGATCTTTTGTACAAGTCCGAAGACCCATACCTAGCGCTTCTCACCTACCGGGACACTCCGGGCGTCGCGGGAGTCTCTCCTGCCATGTTGCTGATGGGTCGGCGGTTACAGACGCGTCTTCCTGCTCTGCCGCAGCGACTCGCACCAGTTCAACCAAGCCACGAGAGGTTCCGGGCTCAAGACTCCAGGAATAAGGTCAGGCAGGCGAGAGACTTCAATCGCCGGCACAACGCTCGCTCTCTTAATCCTCTCAAGCCAGGTGACAGCGTCTGGGTCACGGATGCCAGCTGTCAAGCACGCGTCCTGAGCCCTGCCCAACGACCACGGTCGTACGTCGTAGAGACTCCCAAGGGAATCCTACAGCGAAACCGCCGGCACCTGGTGCCCTTCTCGCCGACCGTTACTGCGAGGGAGTCTGTCGAGCTTCCTGCTGCCGAAGAGCCTCCAGGACAACCACCCGAAGAAGGTCAGCCTGGGGAGTTGCCCACTGCGGGCTGCTCTTCACCCTCTCTGGATCGTGCATCTTCCCCACAAGGTGTTACAAGATCACGCTATGGACGTGCCATCAAGCCACCAAGACGGTTGGACTTGTAAACATCGCTTTCTTTCGAACTGTGTAACTAGAGTGCAGTAACGAGCTCCGGGGGGAGATGTAGAGGAGACCAAGAGATGGCGCCAGGAGCGCATCGTGATCTAGATAAGCGTGTGCGCCGCGAGACGCGGGGTACTTTTCGCCACTTGATGCTAGGGTAATAAACGTTGTGGGTCTGCTTCGTCTACCCTCGTCTGCTTCGTCTGCCCGGCTGGCGCGTCGCGCCCAGAGCACACAAGCTCTGAACAGACACAAATGCTTAGAAATCATCACTGTCGTCAAAGTAAACAAACATGACGACACGGGCGTTTCTGCCGTCTTGAGAGCGCCGCCACGACATCGCCGCACGAGTAGGTGGATCTTCCCTTCTAGTTCGTGCTGGGTTATCATAGTGACACACAACGAGAATTCACAGTCAAGGATAGCGCTTTTACGCGGAACGATGAGATGAACGCCGTCTACGACGACGGTCACAACCGACGCCATGTTTGCGGATAGAAGCCGGCCCGCGACCGGCATGCAACGCGCGCGCGCGAACACTTCTCCTTGACCTGCGATTGGTCTGTCGTTGCAGTTGTTTGTTTCCAATGCAGCGGAAGGACGCACGCACGTGAACGATACGTGCGTGCGTCCCTCCGTCGCTGTGGCAACTGAAGCCTCTCTTTACGCTTCTCCCCGCTTCTTCGAGCTATCTCCTTGCCCCGCGAATGCTGCTTGCGGATCGCGCCGTCAGCGCCGTTATCTAGTGTCGCACAGGGAAGCGTGCTCGCTGCTCCCGTCGTCGGCGCGGTCGGCGGGCTGTGCCAGAAACTGCACTATAACCGGTATTTCCCTTCGCGCACCTGCATTTTAAGCGGTATGTAATTACATGGAGTTCTATGGAAGGCGAACCGGTGGTTTAAAAAAAACGCGTTATACCCGGTCCTGCACTATAAGCGGTTACGTTGTAAGTGGTCTATACTGTGTCAGCCAATTAAATAACAATTAAATGAATGAGTCAATCAATGAACATAACAATGAAGTATTGAATCAGTCAATCATTCAATGGATCATAATATCTCGGCCAATGATTGAACGAATGAGTCACCGAATCAACTGATCACAGTCCATTTATTAGTCAGCAAAAGGAGTGACTTGAAATAGGTCACCTGACTCCAGTCAATCAATCAGCCGTGCAACCTGCCCCCACCATACAGGATGTGATGGAGGAGCTGAAGAGCTACACGGGGGCCATCGACGCCCTGCACGCGCAAGCAGACGCTCTGGGCCCGGCGGACCGGGAGAGCCCCGCGGTACTGGAGCGACTGGCGTCCATCGACCACCGCTACAAGGACCTGCTCGACCTGGCCCGGCTGCGGAAGCAGCGCCTCCTCGACGCCCTCTCGCTGCACAAGCTGTTCAACGAGGCTGACGGGGTACACCAGTGGATCCAAGAGAAGGTGTGTGTGGGGCACGGGGCACGCACTTCCGCAGCCATTGCTTCTGGATTCTGAAAAATGTCGAAGCGTGTCAACTCTCCTCGTCGTGAACCCGCGGGAACTCGTTGGTGGCACGTTGTTAATCGTTCCATCGTCCATTTGCAGGACAAGATGCTGGAGAGCATGGTGCTGACGAGGGACGCGGAGGACACGGAGGTGATGCGGCACCGCTTCGAGGGCTTTGAGCAGGAGATGAACGGCAGCGCGTCGCGGGTGGCGGTGGTGAACCAGCTGGCCCGGCAGCTGCTGCACGTGGAGCACCCCAACTCGGAGCAGGTGCTTGAGAAGCAGAACGCCCTCAACCAGAGCTGGGCCGCCCTCAGGGACGCCGCCGAGAAGAAGCGGGAAAACATCTCCTCGGCCCATGGGGTGCAGACCTTCCACGTCGAGTGTAGGGAGACTATCGTAAGTAGGGGCCCCCGTCTTTGGGTCCGGACGCTCTTTTTTGACAACGGCGGACACTCTTGTCGCAACGCGGGATGCTCTGCTTGCGATATGGGACCTTTCCATCGTGACATGGGGCACTCAGTTTGCTAGGTGGGACACACTAGGGGTGACGGGGGACGCACTTGTTGTGACATGGGACATCGTCGTGACGTGTGACACTGCAGCTGTGATGGGGACACTCGTGACATGTGACATCCTTGTCTGACAGGGACGCAGTTGTGATAGAGTGCACTGTCGTGACATTGGACACACTAGTTGCGACATGGAACATCTGGAGGTAATGAGGGAGTCTAGTTGTGATGTGGGACGCTCCAGTTCTGACACAGGACACAGGACACTAGAGGGGACACAAGATGTTCATCATATGGGACACTCTTGTTGTGACGGGGGACACGGGACACTTTAGAGGTGATGCAGGACATTCTTGTCATGATAGGGTACACTCTTGTGACATGGGACACTTTTCGTGACACTGAACACTCGTGACATAAAATACTTTCTTTGTGACATGGTACACATTCTGGTTGTGTGACGAGACATTTTCTTGCGAATCGAGATACTCTTGTTATAACCTTTGTCATTTTCGCAACTTGCAAAGATAGACTAAAAGAAGACTTTTCCATAGAAAAGCCCGATTTGCCTAACTTTATAATGACTGTAAAGTGGCCGTTGCAAGGCTGCCCTTCGTACGATCTCCCCGTTTTATGCCCCAGCCAAAGCAGCAGTTCGTTGCCTGACGAAAGGACTGCAGACTCTCCGCATCTCTCGACTCTATAACGATGTTACTGTTGTTGTTGTGCAGACGTGGATTGAAGAGAAGACGAAGCTTCTTCAAGCGACGGAGGACCTGGGCGACGACCTCACGGGCATTATGACCCTTCAGAGGCGCCTCAGCGGCATGGAGCGCGACCTGGCTGCCATTCAGGCCAAGGTCCGCAGCTTCTCTCCTTTCTTTCCATTTTTGAAAGTGTCCGAAGGTGTCTCCGACCCTTGGCACAGGTTGACCTTGAAATGACACCACACCTCCGTCCGTCTCTCATCTTGTACGATAATCTAAACTAGCAGTTCTCAAATGGTGGTCTAGGGACCCTTTGGGGTCTCTGAAGGCCTTCTTGGGATCTCTGAAGCCTTAAACAATCAGTGGAGCCGAGCACTAAGATTTTTTTTTTTTCCTTTTGATGCTCGTTGTTTTGCAAAGCTAAATAGTTAAAACCATGCGCACTGAGTGAGTAGGGTTGATTATTCTCTATTTCAGGGCTGCAAAGTTTGTTTGTATGCATTTAGTTTCCTTCATTTACCATTTGGGTCTAGTAAACATTGGTGGTTGAGAACCACGGATCTACACTCTTAGACATGGAAAGATCTTCTTTGTGATTTTATTTTTTCATGTCTTGGTGTTTAGATTGTCATGTTTCCTAATCAGCTCGCCTGCACACTTTCACTTCTTGTAAAATCGCTCACAATTTTAAACTTTCTAATGGCCGAGTTAGACAAAACATTAGTTAAGGGAATGTTGTACAAGCATCGGAAGACGGCAATTTCCTCTAACCTCAAAGTTGGATACCTTGAAACACCGATTAACTTGATAGTATTTCGGACCTCGAGTCTACGTAGGCACAGGTATTTCTTATTTCAAACATTTGTCCAGTACAACTTCAAGCTCATGGCACGTTGCAATTTCATTTGGTCGTAGATAGAATAACTAAGGTCGTTAAAAAAATGCGCTGAGGGCCCTTTTGCTTTTGATGGGGTGCTTGAAGCCACTGTATGTTTGCTGAATGAGCCAAAAGGATGCAAAGCTTTGCCTGGACAGAAAAAAAAGTTATGTCTGCGAGCAGTTTTTATCGTCTTCGATTATTGAATGTCGCAACGTTAGTATGTCTGGTTAAGAGTGGCCCGGCACTAATGGAACGCTGTGCTCGTGTTGCAGTTGGATGCCTTGGACAAGGAGGCGGAAAGAATCAAGCAGGAACATCCAGAGGTAGGTTGGGACGTTCCGAGGGGCAGCAAAACTTTGTTGTTTGCCGGTTTTCATGATTGCTGACATTGACGAGTTTGCATCGCTCATCTTGGTTACTTGCAGGAGGCAGACGCCATTCAAGAGCGGATCTTGCAGATCAAGACGGTCTGGGAACAGCTGACCCAACTGGTACGCCGTCTCCGGCCATTCTTTTGTCTCGGGGTGTCTAGAATCGTCCATCAGTTTCGTACGACGCGTCGACATTCCTGCATTTCGACATGCCTTGCCCGCACCTGGATTGGCTGCAGACGTGATGTCTCTTTCCGTCTGCGTAAAGTGATTCGCGGTTACCTTTTTGTTCTTTCTAGCGCTTTTACTATGCAGGTAACAAAGTCATAAAGACTTTCATAATATTTTAATGTCTTGCACCGTATGCACTGTCACAAGTGCAGTTAGCATTTGTATGCGAGGATGTCATTTTGTTTGCGACGGTGGGCGTCTTAACGATTGCGACGGTTCCTAGGAACCCCGAGGTTAATCAGAATAGCCTCCTGGCTTCCCCAAATTATCTCAACCGTTTCTGCCCCCAAGTAAAGCGTTCTTCCAGTTTGAGCACTGTTTTTGGCAGATCTAAGTCACTCTTGGGTGCATAACCAAGTGCCAAATATTCCCTAGTGCAGTATATGTCCATAATTTTTGCAAGATCTGTAGGTTTCTTCGCGACCTCGTTCAGTGCCTCTAAACTCTGAAGAGTTTCTCGGCTGCCATCAAAAGCGGTTAGAGATTCCTCGAGTTTGAAATGTCCGAGAACTAGGGGTGTGCGAATACCGAATAGTAGTTTTCGAATCGAATACCGAATCGTATCAAGAAAAAAAAGCCGAATATTGAATCGAATATTGAATAGTGATTTTATTTGTAGGAATTTTTCAAAGTGTGCTGCGAATGAGATTATTATATGTCCAGAGTATGCGCCTGTTGCAGAATATGCATCTTGTACAGAACAAAAGCTGAAATGTAAAAAAATTCTGGTGAAAAAAAAAAATAAAATCAGTTGTTGGATATTGGGCACTAAAGATCCAATTTTATGGCACAAATATAATTTATCTACCCTAAACGTCACAAAAAAAAAAAGAAACCACCAAGGTTACATTCACGCATGCCTTTTTTTTCTTGTTAAAAACACAACCTAACACCGCGACTTTTTTTTTTCTTTTTGTAAATATTTGTATATCTCGGAAAAGGGGCATTTTGCGATATTTGGTTTCCATTTTAAGGAAGAAAAAGGGCACCTGGAATTTTATCTCACATAAATAAACAGATAGGTGTTAAATTTGAGTAAACAAGCTTAAACAATATAATCTAAAGTAAGAAAGAAAAAAACGTGGTTAGGTAGCGCAAGACACCGTCAAACTGCTGCTATGCGTCCATTTTTCCGTCTATCTATTCTGTTTTAGAGAGGCTTGATTTAAAAGAGGAACCAAGCGAAACCGAAACCACTGAAACCATGGACGCCACGGAGACGGCTTCAGCGCAGATTGGTCGCGTACGCATTTGTTGTGTTGTCGCGTGGGAAAAGGCGAGCAAACGTGAAGGGCGACGACGCCTGCCGTCCCTGCCCTGCCTGCCCGATCCCGATCGACGCTTTCGTCTTTTCGTCACCTTCTCGCAGTTCGCAATTCAAACGCGGCTATCGAACGGTTGGAAACCCTCTCAAATCTAGGCACACTATTTTTCCCCTCCGTTTCGTTCCGAATCAGAATTTGCGGCTTGCGGTCCCAAAGGAACGACGACGATAACAACGATAACTCGGCTGGTTTCGTGGCTAACGTGATTATCTTTCTGTGATCGTGCAGTTGCCGATTTCTGTGAGTGCGGCAAGTGTGTTTTACATCGGTGCTTCAATTTGAAACGAGGGGCTTTACTCGTGAAAAGAATTAGGCATTGCGCGGGATTCCGGCCTTCCAACAATTTCTCTCTGGAAGCGGCACAAACGGGATGTTTCGGTTGTGATTCAAGGGTAGATTGTGTCACGATCGTGAGTAAATCTGCGTGGCGTTCATTAGTTTTCTTTTTTTTTCTAATTTGTGCGTTAGATTTTTGTGGAATGGTAGGACCAAGAGCTGTTTTTCGCATGGTCTGTGCAACATCACGGCGCTTATATCGGGAGAAAAAACGGCTTTTTTTGTCAGCTACTCGCCGACCGCGCGTCTTTGGCCGAATATATCGAATATTCGAGTGACCGAATACTAGGAATTCGATTCGCGAATCGAATCGTTCGGGAACTTTCTATTCGATTCGAATTCGTATATTCGAGTATTCGCACACCCCTACCGAGAACCCCCGGGCTACCCGTATGTTCCTAAGGAAAATAAACGTGCAGGCAAAATTGAGTAATTCCGGTAATCAGTTCCGTTGTGCCGTGTACTATTTTGGGGCCTCTTTGTCTTCGCTTCAGAGTAAGGCAGCGTTACTGTGTCATCTCGGTTACAGTCGTGCCCATAGACGAGCAGTACCCCTCTTTCCCCCCCCACGGCTTGCCTTCCGTCGTTCGACGCACCACCATTTTGGGGACCACCAATACGGTATGTTTTGAAGCGCAGCATCTAGACGGCGCTTCGCCGTAATCTACGAAATACACACTTTCTAAACGGAAATCTAGACGGCGCTGCAAACGACGGGAGGCGGACCGAAAGGGAAGAGGAACTCCCCTTTTCCGCGGGGGTTTCGCAACCGAGCTAATCTAGTGACGGAGAAAGGAGCGTTATCTACGAAAGTTGGGTTGCATTCCTGGAGCCTCACTCTGGCGTCGTTTGCCCATGTGCAGCTGAAGGAGCGGGATGCGAAGCTGGAGGAGGCAGGGGACCTGCATCGCTTCCTGCGGGACCTGGACCACTTCCAGGCGTGGCTGACCAAGACCCAGACGGAGATTGCATCCGAGGACGAGCCCACCTCCCTGCAGGAGGCCGAGAGGCTGCTTGAGCAGCACCGCCTCATTCGGCAGGAGGTGCGACCGCGGACTCACTCGCGCATTTTTGTTTTTAAGAGGAAACGAGAGGCTTCAAATAAGAAAAAAAAGTGACAAAATTGTTGATTTTGTTTTTTAAAACATTATACTTTTGAAATTTTGACAACCTAGAGTATCCGCCACGAAATATGATTGCTTAATTCGATCTAGCTATTCTAAAAACAGCACGTTTCAATTCTCAACAGCTAAAGTGTAAAAAAAGCTTAAAAAATGACTTCTTAATTTTTTTTTTGTTGTTTTACAGGGACTTTTACAATGCTTTCATGAATGGATTTCAAGAAACTTATCTTTTTCTTTTTTTTCTGTATCTGAACTGCATCCTAAAGCTTTACTTTTGTCCCTATAATCAGTAGATAAATAGTAATTAGCGGTTAAGGTTACTATTGTGCCATTAATTTCCTTTTCACAGTTTTGACTGGTTTATAACCATATGCAGTTAGAAGAAAGGCCATTTTAGAGAGAAATCACCCTACCAAACCATGAGAATGACCTAACGAGGATTATATATTTTGTCTCGTTTGAGAAAAGATACAGTAAACTTTCGTTAGTTCGACCTCGGTTAATTCGACTTTGTGTTTAATTCGATCATGTTCAAAAGTCCCGGCGAGTGCCTTTACATTTTTATAAGAGAAAAAGTTTGGTAGTTCGAATTCGGGAAGACTCCGCTTCGGATAATTCGTCCCGAGCGAATGCGTGCGGGCTCACTTTGCACGGCACCTTGGCAGAAAAAGCACCAACGTACAGCGAAACACGGGCCCTTCACTGCAAAGCCGAACGTGCGAAAATATGCGCCTGCTCCTCTACGCTGTTGAGATCAACTGTAGCAAATGACACGAGCGAGCGCAACCAATCTGGCGTGGACTAGAGCGGAGAACATAGCACGTGGTCGGGCGCGGAGACAGCGCGCGCTATCAAAGCTCCTTCTGTAGCATCGTGTGTGGTCCATCTTGCGTGCCGGAAAGCGCGGGTTCTTTTTAATTTTTTTCTTCTGTTTCTTTTTTTTTTTGTTTTTTTTTTGTCGCCAATAGTTTGGCTGCTTGGCGCCAAAGTCGGCTCATAGAGCTTTCTCTGCGCGCGCTCTTGGAGCGCTTTTCTGTAGCATCATACATGATCCATCTTGCGTGCCGGAAAGCACAAATTTTTTTTTTGTTGTTATTTTTCTTTGTCGCTGACGGTTTGGCTGCCCGGCGCCAAAGTCGGCTCAAAAAACTTTCTTTTTTTTTTCTTTTTTTTAGGGCACAATTTTTTGGGGCTTAGTTATGCTGCTCTTTGGAGCATGCCTTTGGACACGCGTTTTAACTTTTAAGCGCAGATGGCAGCAGACCATCCGTGAGTACTTCGAACAGTAAAAGAAAGTGTAATTTTAACCGTTTTTCTGCCCTTTTTTTAAATTCAATCATTTAAATAATTCAACCAAATTTCAAGGTCCCGTCGAGGTTAAAATAACAAAAGTTTACTGTATTTCAGATCTTGTTGCAGATTCAAAACCAGCTTAAAGAGATACATCATGTGCAGTACGTAGCATACCGAGCATCCGCCCATTCCACATTAAGCGGCCCGCCCCTCAATTTTGTGTTGAAAAAAATTTACGAGGGACATATCTTTACATATTGTTGACCTAAGGGGCGCCCATCCCCCACGATTATCCCCAAATTTTGAGTGGGCGCTTGCTCGGATTTCATGGTATAGATATATCTTACACCGTTGCCTTGGCATAGCATCGGCGTATCATATTATCTTATGCATAGCGTTGGCAGGCGACACCGGCATGGGTGTGCCATCTGTAGTCGGGACGGCATACAACGTACCTCGCTCGTTCTCGACAACGACCAGGTGGACAACTACACGGACGACTACGCCAAGATGATGGAGTACGGGGAGCGGATCACGGCGGACGCAGCAGACGAGGACCCCCAGTACATGTTCCTGCGAGAGCGCCTTCGGGCCCTGCGGGACGGCTGGGCGGAGCTGACCCAGATGTGGGAGAACCGGCAGGCCCTGCTGTCCCAGTCCCTCAACCTGCAGCTGTTCCAGCGCGACGCCAAGCAGGCCGAGGTGCTGCTCAGCCGCCAGGAGCACCACCTGTCCAAGGACGAGACACCCGTGAGTGGACCCCCCCCCCCCCCCCCCCCCCCCCCCACTGTCTTTGGAACCTTTTCTTTTTGATCTGGAACCTTTACTCGTGAGCGTCTCACGTCTGGGGAACCTTTTACTTTTTCATCTGGAACCTTTACTTGGAGAACTGGAATCTTTCCTCGTAGAACTGGAACCTTTCCTCGTAAGACTAAAACCCTTGCTGTTTGGTCTGGAACGTTTTCTTTTTGATTTGGAACCTTTACTCATAAAACTTGAATACTTATTTTTTTTTTTAGTGTCCTGGAACCCTTTTTTATAAAACTAGAACCTTCTTTATTTGGTCTGAAATGTTTTCTCTTTGGACTAAAATTTCGTCATAGAACTGGATTTCAGTTTCCTTAGAACCGAAATCTCGTGAATATCCCAAGAACATTTTCTCACGGAACTGAAAGCTTTACTTGTAGAACTGGAATATTTTCTCTTTTAAAATACTTTTCTTGTGGGCATCCTGCGTCCTCACTCGATCAGTTCGCATCGGGTTGTGCATTAAGCCTTAGAGGTCTTGAGATTCACAGAGCAGAACCTCTTATTCGATCGTCTTGGATCGTTTAGTCTTGCCTCATATCGTTTTGGCTCGTCCAGTGGTCATTGGTTCTTTTACGAGGCTTTTTAAACAGGAACCTTTTCTCGTGAGCTTTCCGTGACCTCGTCGGAACAATTTGCACGAGAGCCGCTCATAGGCTACGCTTCTTGGCCCCAATCTTTAGAGTCTGCTGTGTTTGAGCGCTTATGATACAGTGGAACCTTGTTGATACATTCCCGGTTTTTGCGTTTTCCTGGCTTTTACGTTCAGGAGCGCCGGTCCCATTGCTCCCGTAGGAACACACACATTAATTTCTTGCTCAGTGCATTTGCTTTCCCGGTTCTTATGTCCAAAAAGCCGCCAACACAGCACTGACGGCGCTGGCCGATTCACTAGATGAACCGATCTGCGGACGGATTGATCACCTGATGACAATTCAGGTGATCAGCGCATTCGCACGGAGGGGGAGACGAGGGACAGCAAGGATCAACCAAATCGCTTTGCGACAACACAGCGCCGCAAGATGCCGACATCGTATTGTGGCACCGTCGTGTGAGAGCTAATGTGATATGTCGGTACGGTCCAAGGCCGTCGCATTAAGATGAAAAAGAATTGTGCGTTGCTGTCACGCGCCGAGCAGAACTGAACACCGTGAAAGGCTTAGCGCGAAACGCCGCTATATTTACTAACCCGAGGCGTGACAGAAGTGCGGTCTTGCTCAAGGAAGCTCGGAGTAGAAGCAACGGGGTTCTGGGCTCGCGAAGGGGCATTGGCCCGTCTCTTCGTTCTTGCACACTTGCGCACAACACTTCGATACACTACAGGTGCAAAAAGGTCTTGTCTGATGAGAGGCTGGACTGATGTGCAGGACAGAGCATGACTTGCTAGACAAGTTTTGACAGAAGCTTCTTGACGCGGACCCGGTAGAGTACCGGAACCGGCGCGCCAGCCGGGAACAGTTCCTGTAACTTTTTTTTTGCGCATGGAACCAAGAGTCGCAGGACAAGATGAACCTGTGAACGGACGAAGCAGACGAAATGAAACAATGCACTATCTTGGGTTTGCTTGTCAGAAAGGTGTTGTTGCCAGACAAAACACTTTTCAGGTCAACCCCTGCCAAAACCCGCAAGCAAAAAGTGCGGACCGAAAAGGCTGAGTGCCTTTTCACTCGCGGACTTTTACTTAAAACACGTCTAAGTCTGGACGAGCGATATGAGGATGGCGCATTGTTGTGTCTTGTTTTGTTTTGTTTGCTTCTTCTGGTACTTTTCAGAGTCTGTGTAAAGAAGCTTCTGTCAAAACTCGTGTAGCAGGCCGCAATCTTTCCTGCATGTTTGCCACAGCATTTTCTTGAGTGAGACCTTTTTTGCTGCTTTAATGCACTGAAGTGTTGCTCACGATTAGAACTGGCGAGGATGTCGTCAGACGCCCCTCCGCAAGCCCGGGGCTCCGTCGCCCACCCGCGTTTCACTTGCCCGAAGTGCCAGGTGAAAATTACTAGCTTTTTTTTAACGTAATCCAAGTTCGCACCAACGAACGTTTACAAACATTTTCTGGGCGTATTTGAGATCATGCCCACAAACTTTTACAGTACTTTAAAGGAGCCCTGCAAGGACTTTTTTTTTACTGTTTCTTAGTTTTCCTCGAACCTGAGCGCAGTGAACGAAGTAACTTAATGAAACTTTTCTTTCCGAATTTCGCTTTATTTTAAAAGTTATAGGCAAATTAAAATTACAAAAACAAGCAAAAAATAATCTCCTTCATGATGTCTTTGGCTTAAGTGGCCGTGAATTAGGGGAGGGGTAGTGAGCTCAGCGAGCGGTCACGGCTGCCTCACTCCGTGTCCACGGCTCGAGAGGGCGCCACTAAAGCATGTTCTGGACAGGAAGTGGGCAGCCAGGGCGGCTCGCATTGCATTTGCTGCGCGATTAAACACTAATTCGGCATGACACTTCATTGGCCACAAACGACAGCAAGCATAGGGTAAAGATCAGTTCAGAACGGGAGCCACTTCGCGCTGCCATACTGCCAAACGGCCAACAGCAAGCCAAACCTGCGCCGAATGCCTTCGGAACGCTCGGAATCGGTTGGATCCTCGAGTCCATAAACGACCACAGCGCCGCCGTGAACATCCGGAACCTTTCTACGCTCGCTGCTGTCTAATCCCACTACCCCTTTCTAGTATGCGCCGCCTTTTTTACCGCTTAATGGCGGGTATGTCAACGGGTCATTTCTGGTTTCTGGACTTTATAAACTGCATTTGTTTCTTTTCTGATCTAAAATACTGAACAAAAACTACTTTCATAAATAATTGAAATGGTTCGCGCCACTTATATTTTGTATTTTGACTAAAAAGAAGCTTTTAGCGACTCTGACCAGTAGTAAGCCCTGGACCAAAGACCTCACATTTCGCACGCTTTCGGCACCGTGGGTCGCCCTCGTAGGTGGAGGAGGTTTCCACGTCTTCCGGTTAAAATATGACGCACTGATATTTAGTTACTCTCTCCGTGCCCGCTGGTTTGTCCGAACCCCAAGAGACGTGGAAACCGCAAAAAAGGTAGACGCTTAAATAGGATTGCAGGGCCCCTTCAATTTCAGTTTGCACCAACGAATGTTTACAAACTTTTTCTGGGCCACTTTTAATTCACACCTACGTATTACTATTGCGTAAAATAAATTGTTTCATGACAGTTGCTATATTTCACATCTCTAGCATCCCCAATGATGCACTCGTTTCTTACATTTTCCTAAATTGTATATTTTTATTTTCCCAGCCCCCTGAAAAACGTATCAACGAGGATTTACCGTACTTAGCTGTATGAGGGCTGTGTGATGTAATTCGAGCTACGATGTTGTCCTATACTTTTAATTGGCTACAATTCCAATGGCTTAACACACTGCTTGTCTGTCAAGTCTGGTTAGCTGGTTGTAGCAGTCGAGCTTACAGGGTCCCCTCTCTTTGGCGCAGACGAGTCTGGAGCAGGTGGAGGACCTCATGAAGCGCCACGAGGCCTTCCTGACAACGATGGAGGCCAACGACGAGAAGATCAATGCCGTGGTGCAGTACGCCCAGAGGCTCTGCAACGAGGGCCACTTCGCCTCCGACAAGATCCGCAAGAAGGCCGACAGCATCCTTGAGAGGTGTGTGCACCCTCTGTCTGATTGTTCTCCCGTTCAAAGAATTTTTGTTTCATCCATTGCATGGGTTTTTAGTTTGAAGTGAATAGTGGTTTTGGCCGAAGATTTTTGAATCAACTTAGTACTTTCTTCAAGCTTTTCATTACTGCATCTTGCCTAAACGAAAACCAAGCTGAACTCATGTGGATTGCTCCCAAGCTTCCACTGGTCCATTTCTAGGTTGCTTAAGTTAATTTTAATGAAACTGTATTTGTGAACTGCGGCTATAAAGAAGCAACGACCGCAGAAGCGAGCTCCGCAAATGTTGCTTCTCCGCAGTGCATTGGTGCATAGTATGAGGTGCGCTCAATGGGGCCAACCCGCTGCGAGGAACACTTGGAAAAATATAAATCTTGCGGTTCATCTCGAAGCGAATGTTGGGAAGCTACTATTCGAAAATTCAAATATTTGCACAATTCTACCATTTTGTGATGATGGGGGGGGGGTCACACAAAAAAAAGTTGGACGTCAATTAAGAAGGATTGCGGAGGATACGCACAGTAATGGTATAAGTTAGCTCGTACGATTTCTTATATTTGGATTCCCAGAGGTGCCGATTAGACTGCTTTATTTTGCTCATGTAATATTCGAGAGATGCATTCTCACAAAGTTTGACAGAAATGTTAGTGTTTGCTCTTACAAGTGAAGTGGATAGCAGACTTATTTAGAAGTTCCGCTTTTGAACTTGCCTTGTCTGCAGTATTTATCAAAACATGCAGTTATGTGCAGAGATCAGTGTTTTTCAGGAAAATAAGTGTGGCTCTGTCTGGGGAAACTGTGATAGTGAATGTAACTGGACGATGCACGTACAAAGTCCTTGTATATTGAAGATTTGTAGGAGTTATCTTTTCATCTTTTTCTTAGCTGCCAAAACAATTTTCTTTAAGCTTTTTTGTTTTTTCTTGTGATGTCAAGAATGACTACATTGCAACTTTTTAGAAACAAATAGAAAGTTTGGCACAAAAACGATGGTAGGTCTTTTTGCGGTGACTTGGTCTTTGCAGATTCTGCGAATGGACTTGTCTTAACAATGAATCTTTCATTTAGAACACTGTAAAATTTTGTTCCCTAGAGGGATATGAGAAAGCAGCACTTTGGAAACTTTGTGCGAAATGTCAAGCGTACGAGTAAACATTTGTCTCAGTGTTCTCGGTCATTAACGATACCATGGTAAAAGGTAGCCGTGACAACCATACGGGAACAGCAGACCTCGGAGCTGGAGCCTGAACAATCTTATTTTATTATTTGCAGACGAGATGCCAACCGCAACCAGGCTAACGACCAGATGGCCAAGCTGGCTGACCAACACGCACTGCATCAGTTCCTGCAGGACTGCGACCAGGTGGGTCCCTCAGCCATTTGTTGTCAGGACCGAGTCTCCCCCGGACACAACAGAAGAACTGAGTAAACGACCATGGGGTGCTTTGGAATCGCCAATCGGCTACAGACCAAGATTGATATATCGATGACCTGTACTGCAAGTTAAGTATTTTAGAGCGCGGCTCTTAGGCACCCGTTTCCGGCTTGAGCGGCGTCGGCGTAGCCATGAGGTCACGTGACACCCCCCCCTTGAGAACACGTGACCCTGAGTGCCCTGCCCTCCTCCTCCTCAAGAGCTGCGCTCTGATTTGGCGTTACAGGGAGTTGTAAACGGCTTTCACTTTTTTTTACCAACAGTTGGCGAACTCCCCCCTGGACAATGGACAATGTATGTTGATGAACCATACTGCTAGTCAAGGTGTTTTTATGATTGTCCGCCCGGAGTTTAACCAACGGTTGGCAGACTTATTCCCGTGGACACAACAGAGAAGCGAACTATGTGATACTTTGGTTGTGCTGGTAGGCCGAAGACGTAAGCACGGCACTGCCGACAGAGGTGTTTTGTGAGTGTTTGCCGACATGGTTGGCCAATTGTAGATTTAATGGGACACACGTTTGGTACTTGGACCAGGTTTGGTTTCTTGCAGTTTGTTGCGCAACTCCTAGCGAAGGTGCGCTTTAATTTTTATAATACAAAGTAACGTTTTGCCAAGTAATGCCTGCAAACTTGCACACTACTGCTCCATTCACTTTTTAATATTTGCTCGTAGCCGTTGAAAGATTGCAGCCGAAGGAACAGACGTTGCTGTTTTCTGCGTAAACATTTTTTTTCTTTCCGTTTCGTAACGACCTGCTGCATGTCGCAAAAGACTCGAGGTTCCAACGAAGTTGTCTCGCTCCTTTCGAGACGGTCGTCCATCACAATCTGAGAGCAGAGCATTAGAATGGCTTCAGAACGTACCAATCGGATCGCCCTATACTTACAATCCACCACATCGCATCACAAAGTTCGTCGTCCCAATTTGCATTTGTCATGCACCGTAGCACGAGTTGCAAGAATCTGCGACGTTTAATTTCCCACTCATCCGGTTGTTCCTCGGAAAGTTTGACGCACTCCGAACAAAGCGGTGTTCCGCTCGGGCTATTCCGTTCCGCTCGTGTCGTGAATGCGGGGAGGCGTGACAGAGGGCATCGTCTCTTCACAGCCCGCCGACTTTGCTCGGCGCTCCGTGTCAGACTGTCGCTTTTATTTTAAAGCGATGACTTCATGCGGGAGCCCTACACAAATCTTTCTCACTTGTGTTGTTACGACTGGATGTGAGGTGACATCCATGTGACATCTAGTGCCACATGACATTATAGTGTCTCATGTCACAACGTCCCACGACGTCATAGTTTCACGTGATGTCATGTGACGTCGCACGTGACGTCAGAATTTTCCTACTGAATTTAGTGGGGAAACATACCACCCGAATTGTGATAGAGAATGCTGCTCATTAAAAACTCTGTCAAGCACCATTACACCTCCGTTGCATTGGACGGAATGTCCGGGCCGAGCGACTCACCCTACTGCCTGTTCTGCCTGCAGCTGAACGAGTGGGTGCAGGAGAAGAGCATCATTGCCCAGGACGAGACGTACCGCAGTGCCAAGACGGTGCACTCCAAGTGGACCAGGCACCAGGCCTTTGAGGCCGAGGTGCAGTCCAACAAGGACCGCCTCTACCAGGTCCAGCAGGTGAGATATATTTCTCTTTCCTAAATAACTAAATGGAACAGCGCGGAACATAGGACAGAAAGAACAGCACAACACGAGCGCTGCTTGATGGGCTAGTTGGTTCATGACTAAATGGAACAGCGCGGAACATAGGACAGCGCTCGTGTTGTCCTGTTCTTTCTGTCCTATGTTCCGCGCTGTTCCATTTAGTCATGAACCAACTAGCCCATCAAAGCACACTGCTCAAGTTGATTTCTCTTTCCTATCCCGGCTTGTTTTCCTTGTTTTCTTTTTTGCTTGTTTCTCTTTCTATGTTTCTGTTTCTCCTTTGCCAAGTGCTTTCTAACTTCTTTTGTGGCTTCATTTTGTTTTAGTTACTTTTTTTTTTGTTACGTCTTCATTTTTGGATTGACTTTTACCTCCATTGTTTCTCTCAATCTTCATTTTAAATTTATTAGCACTGTTTTCAGTCACAACTTGTGCTCTCCAACACTTTTTGATGCTTGCTTCTGCTCTCCATATCGACCCTTCACTCTCATCTATTCGTTCTTTGGCTTTCTCTCTCTTTCCTTTCTTTTCCACTGTGATTCTTTCTTATTACTCTCCTTGCTCTATGTGATTAATTTTTTACTGTCCATTTTCAAACTTTTTTGTGATTCTCTTGTTATAGTATCTTTCCAGTATCTCCCAAGCCCTAAAAGAAAAATATGATGTATCCCAATCATAGCGATGAAGTCCGGCGACACAGAATGTGCGGTGTGTTTCTGAGCTCGCCATACCTGTTCCACGTACAGCATGTGCAACAGGTCTAACTTAGTTTTTCTGTTAATTTTAACTGGGAGGTTGTGTTGTACCTTTTGCAATTGTGTTACTCTTTTTGTGGACATATTGTGAAATCCTAGCTCTATGCTTGTTATGCGTAACGTGTATAATACATTATGCGTAACATGTTGTGCGTAGCGTGTTATGCCTAATGTGTAAAACATCCCAAACGAGCGCCCGATCACGCCTTCCCAGGCCGGCCGCGCTCTCGTGGCGGAGAAGCCCGAGATGGCACAACTGGTAGAGCCCAAGCTGGCGGAGCTGGGCCAGCAGTTTGCCGCCCTGGAGGACACGACCAAGGAGAAGGGCCTGAAGCTCTTCGACGCCAACCGCCAAGTGCTGTACGAACAGACCTGCGACGACATCGACTCATGGATCGACGAGCTCGAGTCTCAGGTGCTGGTCTCTGAGACGGGCCAGGACCTGACCTCGGTGAACCTGATCCTCCAACGCCAGAAGGACGTCGAGACGCAGATGGCCCAGAAGGCACGCCAGGTGGACGAGCTGCAGAACCAGGTGAGGCATCTCCTCTTGAACCGTCTTGCATGGTCTGTAGTCTCGTCTCATCGTGTCTACTGGACCGTGTGCCTTGATACCTCTGAAAATCTCTTACAACATAGCGAATACACTGGCGCCACCTGTCGGGTAGCATGGAACACTTGGCAACCCCATACATTTCCTTTTTTTTTTTTTTTTTCGCATATTATTTTTTTTGCTCGTAATACATTTGTTTACATTATAAACGACCATTTCTTATGGTTAGTACGTACATTTGATCTCGAAAATGCCGCAAAACCTCCGCTCTAGTGGAACGCAGTTCCAGGGTCATTGCACGGATGGTGCCAGCGTGCCAGTGTTCTCTTGTCGTAAAATATATTGAGAGGTTTTAAGGGGGGACATGGCCTCGGAATTCAAAATTTTCAGAAAAAAACGTTTTTTTCAAAAATGATATGTTTATGCTTATTAACTTCCAAAGAATGGTTTCAGAAACTTTCATTTAAAAACATGCAGGATTTATCTCAGAATAAATTATTTTCGACATGTCGGCAGCCCTCCAAGTCAGCAGGAAGCAAGTTTTTTGTGTTTTTTATTTAGCACTGCTTCATACTCGTTTAACCTAGCCAGAACATCTCACCCTCATTGGAAGTGCCATTTACTCTAGATCTAGCTCGTAGAAGCTTTCGAAGTTTACAAGTATCAAGGGCCAGGGGGACCCAATACATCCAAAAAGAAAAAATCCTGAAAATTTGGTATGAGCAATTTTATTGGTTGACACCTGAAACAGGGTTTATGGTTGGTCCCTCCCGGTGACGTCATATTTTGTCGTCGTCATTAACGCCCCTTTACAGTACCTTCCACTTCAGATCCTATTCCTGCTTTGCTGCTCTTTCTCAGTGTGATTTTCCTCTTAGTTCCTCTCAGCTTATCTGTCAGGGAATGCCTGCTACAAAAGTTAGCATGCCTACAAACAACACAAACTGGTAGCTATTGCCAGGGGAACAACAGATGCTCAAAGACGAAGGTGCTAACAATGCTCCAGGTGAATTTTGCCTACCTCGGACTCATAAAAAATAAAGAAACCTAAAGTTGAAACTTCAAATGCATTTTTCTCAGTTTCACTTTTTGGCAGGAAATGTGGTATGAGGAAATGTATCATTGGACATTTTGAAAGTGTAAAGATTTCATTCAGTGTTGTCCTTGACTCAAATTTCCTGAGGAACAAGTTAAGGTACTCATAATCTGAAAATGCTAAATTCTTCATGACAAAAACTGAATATTTTAAAACTCACAAATTTGTTAAAATCGTTCGCTCTTTTTGGGTGTTATTGTTTTTCGCTAGAATCACATTTTCTACAGTTAATTTTTACCTTAACTTGCACTATGGGTATTCTACTTCACATTAAACTAAACATTTTGTGGATTTCAATTATTATTTTTCTTAAATACATTTCCTAATAAAGTAACTTTTTTCTGGAGCTTGCTAAGCATAGTATGCAGTAGAATTGGCCTATAAGGCTGAAACTTTAGATGTCATCAATCCTAATGGGGTTCAATTCACCCTGAAAGTTTGAATCACTTTGAGACAATGGTTCAAAAGTTGACCCTTCCAGGCCATGTCCCCCCTTAAGGCATTCGGTCCTAAGGATTAAATTCTTGTAGAACTAGAACCTTGTAGAATTGTTACTTAGAAACTGGAACCTTGTAAAACTGGTGCCTCTCTCTCAAAGACACAGAAAAATTTCTTGTAGAACTGGAACCTTTTCTTTGGATCTGGAACCTTTTCTCGTAGAACCGGACCTTTTCTCATAGAACTGCAACCTTTTCTCGTGGGTATGGTGCTTATATACTCCGAGAACTGGAACATTTTCTTGCAGAAACGCAACCTTTTCTCGTAGCGGCCCTAGCCGAGCCGCTTTTCCCACATGCAGTGCCGCTGATCAGAAGCCGAAATAAAACGGGCGGGAGAGAGAGGGGATCGGCGTTGGGCATTCACATCTGCTCTAGTTCTCTTCCTACCCTCTCCCTTTCACGAGCATCCTTACGCCCATTGTCATGTCTCCATTTCAAAGCCTGCCCTCTCCCTTATTGTTCCCTCCATTTCTCGTTTCATCGAAGGCCTCATAATTGCCGCTCAGTTCGAGGAACCTTTCTTTCTTGCGAAGGGGCATGGGCTGCTGTTGTACGAGGCACACTCCAATGCCTAGCGGCGGGTTTAAGAGGCAGGGCTGGCTTTTCTTCCATGTTTTGTGTCCCGCTCGCCCCAGGGAGTTGCCCAAGGAGAACTGTGTTGTGAGCACGCTTGTTGAAACATATCGTGATGCGGCCATTGTGATCCAATGCCCTGGCCTGGGTGTCGTTCATAAAATAGTCCTTTTGGGAACAAGGCACAACCTGTAGCTGGAGAGACACCTTTGGCTGAATTTGTATTAGACACAGTTGATATCGAACTGCAGTTCTTTATTGAACCTGCTTGGCTCTGGGGGTAACGCTCGTTTATGGTGTCGTTACTTATCATTGACGCTCTTCTGTGCCCATGTATTTTTCGTAGGCTGGCTCGAAGGACGGCAACTTGGTAGCTGCTGCATTTTGAATTCGTTACTGGAGATCACACGTAACCGCATTGCAGTTTGCACGGATCTCTGGTTTTCTGAAGAAATTCCTGCTAAACGAAAGGTGCTTCTGCTTCGGAATATTGCAAACAAAGCGTTAGCTGTGCACTTCCAGTACCGGCATTATGAAATTGATTAGAATAGAGGTCAGGAAAAGCTGTATCAGGTCATGCCAGGACGTATGCCTGGCCATGACCAGGCCAGGCTTCGTTAGACCATGTCAGGTCAGGTTAGGTGAGATCGGGTTCGTTTAGGTGAGGTGAAGAAGAGCGGTTGGGTTAGGTCACATTTGGTTAGGCTAGATTGGGTTAACTCAGAATAGGTTGTGTTGAGTTAGGTTATGCTGGAGGGCTCGATTCGGCCTAGTTATGCAATACTTCGTCAAGTAACTTGATTCAATCGTGTATAGTGACTGATTTTTAGGCTTCTTTACTGTACAGGTGTAGTGGTTTGGCGCCGGTTTCATGCACCACTTACGGCACGCGTCGTGCTGAAGGGCGCTGACACACTGTGTGACACATCTGTGCAGGCGACGTACCTGCAGAAGCTGGACCCCCAGAAGACGGAGGACATCATCGCCAAGCGGTCGGTGGTGGAGCAGCGCTTCGAGCGGCTGCAGGCTCCGTTGATGGAGCGGCGCAACCAGCTGCTCAAGAAGAAGGAGGCCTACCAGTTCCGCCGGGACGTAGAGGACGAGAAGCTCTGGGTCCGGGAGAAGATGCCCCTGGCCCAGTCGCCCGACCGGGGCGCGTCGCTCTTTGGGGTTCAGATGCTGCGCAAGAAGGAACAGTCGCTCCGCAACGAGGTGACCGCCTTAGCGTAGCGGCAACGGTTGAAATGTTGCAGTTTTTCTTTCCGATTTAGTGGATCCACGCAGTGTCGCTCAGCTTGCGTTAGCCCGTCTCGTAGCGTCTTACGCCGAACGCGACGCCGGCACGTGGCGATGCCAAGATTGACGCGTTTGCAGCTTTGTGCTGACTCTCCTCGATGCCGCTTTGACGCCACCAACAATGACGTTAGGCTCAGGCTTTATCTTCTAGGCGTTACTGGTTCAGCTTTGAAGCAGGGTCGTCGCAAACCAAACCTCAGTCGTTTGTTTTCGAGAAAATTCAACCGATCTCTCGCCGTAACCCACATGCGTCCTATAGGCCTTTTTTTGGCGTGGTCTCTTCGGTGTGGCCTGCTACGTCTGGAAGGCATGCTTTGTTTTTGCTTGCATTTTTAATGTTCCGTGCAGACGGAGTACTGCGGAGGAGCTTTGTCGACGACGGCGGGACACGGGCCCATTTGGTTTGTTCGAATTCGCACACCATGCAAGTTCATGTGCTGGGTTATGTCACGGTCCCTCGACACCGCGCTCGAGGACAAACGATGCTTAAGCATACCGTCTGCAAGTTTCGAGGTTATTTTTCGAAACTTGGGGACAGAGGGGTCGCGCCGGGCATCACAATATCCAAAGTGAAACAGAGCCACCAGAAATGTGCCGCCCGTCAGAATTAGAACCTGTGGTCATTGCTTTTGACCAGTCTAAGATTCCCGTTGCAATCGCGTGTCTGCTTTTAACACGGATGGTAAACGCAGAGTCGAGCTGCTTTACCCAGTTGCTTCCTCGGCAACTCCTCTGTTAGGGCTGCACGATCCTGAGGCCGCACCTGCGGGAGAGGGAGACGGGGGGGATCCAGCGGCCGCGGATATATTCACGATGCAACGTTTTCGGCGCAAACACAGCGTCGCTGATTGGTCACATTTTGCCAAGGAAAGATAATGATGAGTGCCAAATTTGAGCTGCTTAGAACAGTGCTCTGAATAGGGACGTTTTGCCATACCGACTGATTTTCATCACATTATTCTAATTTCAATAGAAATGCAGGAAAAATCTGGAAATCACTTGTTTGTGCTGACTGTTTTGCACCTTGTGTGCCTGGTGCCTATTTTATTTTTATTTATTTAACGAAACCGTGACTCTTCGCTAACAACAAAAGCGCCGTTAATAAAAGAAAAAAAAAAAAAGAAGATCAACACACAAAATGTGGATTAAGCAACTTTGTCAAATGAAGCAGCGAAACTTTCTTTTGATGAAAGCATTAACATATCAGTTTTGACTGAATTCCTGTCGTGGCTGCCCAAAGAAAAAACAAATATTTGAAAAAACAAATTGCATTTGAATGTGTATTGCTCTATCTCCTTTGCACCAGTGCGGAGAGGAGGGCGTCAATCGAACGGGTCTGTCGTGTTCCCTCGCAGGTGGACAACCACGAGCCCCGCATCGTGTCCATCTGCGAGAACGGGCGCAAGCTGGTGGCTGAGGGCCACGAGGATGCGGCGGAATTCGACCGGCTGGTCAAGGAGCTGGAAGACCTGTGGGCCAAGTTGAGGGATGCCCTGGACGCCCGCCGCAGGGACCTGCTCGTCTCCGAGAAGGCACACCAGGTTTGTCATCCCCCACGGCAGCCAGGAGTTGGGACGACGGCGACACTCGCATTCGCTCGTACTTTTTGCCGAAACTCTCGCGACCGACTGCCGGGACTGCGACGTCCGACAGCACGACACGGCCGCTCCTGCGACGCAATTTGTTGCCACTGCGGCATGTTTCGGCAAAACTCGCCCACAAGTGCACTCTCTCACCTCACTCACCCTCACCGGTCGGGCGTGAGGTGAGGGTGAGTGCATTTGTAAGCCTTGAAAACACGTGAGTTTGAGGTTGAGTGAGGTGCGCAAATTCGGTGAGTTTGTGAGTTTGGTGAGGTGCGTGAGTTTTATGATTTGGGTGAGGGACGCAAGTTTGTGAGTGAGGACTTGAAAATGAGCGTGATCGTGAGGGTGAGTGAGTTTTGAACTTTTTATTTAGATCTGGCTGTGTGTGAGTTAACCAAAAATGCGGACTTTTGCACTGTTGGACCACTTCTGACGTACGGGTGGTACAGGGCACTAAACACCCCACTCGACGACGCGTCCCAGTCACCGTAATAGAAGGGGATAATTCAAAGTTGCCGAGTTTGATATAATCGGACTGACCGTAGAACTCTATACCCCCTTTCGGACCGCCAGACCTCTATACTCCGTTTCACATTATATCCAACCATAGCCAATGCTCCGATCCGATGGAGCCAATTGGCTAGTGCCAAAAGTGCGTCGTCGTGACGCTCATTCTTCTTGTGCGTCTGCTATTACTGGGTAAACCAGTCGTGTGCAGAAAAGGTTGGCTGCACGTTTGGTCATTCTGCCGAATGCGTTGAAATGCAGTAACTTTATAGGGCCATCGTTGGCAGAAAGCGTTTTAAAACAAAATTTTATTGAAATACTTTTAATGTTCCACAAGCCTTTCAGCTTTAGGGTTTTTACTGAGGTGATTACGCGATTTCTCCGCACGCGAACACAGTGTGGCGATAGTTGGTAGCACTGCAGTGGCTGTCGCAGTCGTGGTAGCTGTTTTTGTTGTTCTTCATGGTGTTGCCATTGTCTTCTGATTTGGACGTTACACAGAGAAACTGTTCCTGTACCGGGAAGTAAGCTACGAAGTCCATGCAATATAGTCCGGGAACGCCTCGCACGAAGACGCAATCGATGGTGGTCGTTTCTGCTCCCAATTGTCAGGATCCCGATCTTGAGGCAGGCGCTCTTGTTTTGGTGGCATTGTGAAGGCTAGGGGTTAAATGGCACGCAGAGAGAGAAGCTGGGTTTTGCATGAAAACAGATTACGTCACACCGTCCTCTCTTTGCGATGCTGCATGCACTTCCCGTTTAGCACCTCCCAGATACAAATCCTTTGCACTGATTTTTCTGGGTCACCAAAAGAGGAGAACGCACTTTCCTGCCCTTTTCACTCCTTGTCCGTGTTTTAATTGTACACCACCTGTCTTTGCTCTTTTTTCTTGCCCTTTTAAACCCTTCGCTTTGTGCGTTCTCACACCACCAAAGTCTGCTCCTTGCATTCCTGCGTGCTGGGTTCGTGGCTCAGACAGCTGTGTGCTCAGCTTAACTGCCAGTGACCAAGATTCTATCCCTGGCACTGTTTCTTTTTTTTCCCAATACTGTTTAGTGGTTACGAATCGACTGACCTACAGATTTCGTGCTTACACGGCTCCAGGTGCTGGTTGGTCCTGTAAAGCTATCGCTTTAAAACTGTAGAATAGGACACATTCACTGTGCATGGTTGATTTAGCAAGCGATAGCGAGCGCACGAGGACGACGAGCGCCGTGACGACACACTTTTTGGCACCACTCCCTTGTCTCCGTCAGATCCTGGTGTTTGTTGCAGTCGAACTTAAAGGGCAACTCCGCTCAATTCCGAAAAATTTAGGCTTACATGTGATTCCATTTCACAAAGCACTACTAAACAGCTCGACGTCTTTGAATTCGTGAAATGTGGAATATTATTTTTGTAATCTTAATTTAAACATCAGCTGATACCGAAACCAAAACTTTAGTTGCATCAAGCAACATTGGTCTCGGGGCGTCAGAGTCATGGCCACGTCACGTCGAACCACGTGGTCTTGTGACATTCGGGAGTGAGCGAGGGACAGGACACGTGACGCAGGTGGGTCGCTTCGCATGGCGTGGACGGTGATGGCCCGGGGGAGAGGGGGAGCGGAGAAACAGACCGATAAGCGCGCAAACTAGCGCATCCGCGTTACGGTGATTACGTGGACGCCGCTGAGCCAACATCAGGAGGAGAAACTCATGACGTCATCGTTCAATTTCGCTCTGAGAAGTAAAAACAAACAAAACATGAGAATGATGTAGACATGCCTCTGACGTAGCAGCACAACGTTGGCCGCTCCAAATCCGTCGCATTGACTGCGCTGACGATTACGCCTCACGTCTCACGCTAGAGCTGGCAGATTTCGGCGACTTGGCTCATTTGAAAGTTTGCTGGCCAGTTTAATAAATAGATTGTAATATTTGACATGGGGTTTTCTAAATATCAAAAATGAAGCGGAGTTGCCCTTTAACGTGTAACGGAGAACCAAGCATGCTAAAGAGAGGTGTGGCGTCGTCCGGCGGCATCCTCTTTCTGTAACGCAGTACTACTTCGACGCGAGCGAAGCGGAGGCTTGGATGAGCGAGCAGGAGCTGTACATGATGGTGGAGGACCGCGGGCGGGACGAGATCTCCGCCCAGAACCTGCGCAAGAAGCACCAGAACCTGGAGGGGGCCGTGGACGACTACGCCGACACCGTGCGGCAGCTGGGAGACACTGCGCGCCGCCTGGTGCAGGAGGAGCACCCCGACAGGTGGGGAGCCCCTCTCGCTCGTCGGTCTGGGAGCGAGCAAATGCCTCGTTTGGTCGCTTTTGCAAAAACTGCAAAAAAGCCATGTCTATTTTAGGGAAAAGAAGTAGTGTGAGATGATTTTGTTAATTGATGTATTTATGTATTTATTATAAATCAAGTAAAACTTCAGTCAATACCACCAATTTGGTACAGCCAAAGCAGGAGTGAATGATGGCAGTACAATTGGCATTTCTTCACCAACATGAAAGAACAAAATTTGTATACACGTCCTTTTGCACGATAAATATAACTGCGTACAGCAATAACTTTTCTTTTTTTTTTAAATTTGAGAATACACATTTTATTTATACGCTCATATCATTATACATGCGTACAGTAGTACCCTGTACAACATGGCGGCTATAGACATATCAAAACGTTTCACCACTGCAAAATGACCTCTGGAGCATTTTCAAAGAACAGAATGTGATTTATTGGCACGAAACGGGCGCATAAGCGGCACCATGCCGGGCGGAACAGGCAGGTAAAAACACTAAATAAGTAATCTGTGCGAACAATGTTGCTGGGAAGCTTGTTCCAAAGGTGAAGCGTGGTCGTCATCGTCCCGTCAGTGGCTCTAGCAGTAGGTCACACGGTGTGGCGCCCCCCGGTGCGCAGTGACCAGATCACGGTGCGGCAGTCGCAAGTGGACAAGCTGTACGCCGGCCTGAAGGACCTTGCCCTGGAGCGGAGGCAGAAGCTGGAGGAGGCCCTGCGCCTGTTCGGCCTCAACCGGGAGGTCGACGACCTCATGCAGTGGATCGCAGAGAGGGAGGTGGGTGACACCTCGCTTGGGATGTTGGCGTTTGCGACGGGACACCTTAGCAAAGGGCACACTTATTCCTCGTTGGCGTGCTTCCTGTCTGTGTGCCCCACCGAGCACGCCTGCTGGCTGACAACAATATTTTAAGATGATCAACTCAGTCACAGCTATATTGAGCTATATTGAAACGTAGCTCGGTGTATAGGACGTTTGTCGTAACCAGATTTTGACCACGGGGTGACTTTGAACGGCCGTAGTACGGCGACTAGGGACGGCTACAACTAAATCGAGACCGTAATCGACGCGACCTTACAACCAAACGCAGCCCGGTGTCTATGTTTGGCCATAACTTGGCAAAGAGCGAATGTTCTGGCCCCTTCAAGCCAATTGAAGCAAAGTCGCTTTTGATTACCCCGTCACTCAAAATTTGTTCAAAAGCGGCTTTCCTCTCTCGGCGTGCGCAACTAGTGAGACAGAGCGTAGTCACGTGTCTTAGTTCAACATGCCGATTATTTCTCCCGGTCCGCACGCATCCTTCGCCGTTTGCCAAGTTAGGGTGAGACGGCGCATACAATAAACCTATTCCGACTGTGTGGCGATTTCCAAATGACGAAGCCCCATAACTAAGCAACCAAGGGTGGCAACGTTTCTCAACTGGATTGACACCGCCTCTCGTGTGACCTTGGAGGCAAACGCAGCTCAGCATTGTCTAGGACAAACGTATTCCGACCGTGTGGCGATTTCGAGGGGCAAGGTTCTGTAGCTATATATAACCAGAGATGGCAGTCTCGCGAAACCAGGCGGAGACAGTAGCTGACGCGGCCTCGCGCGTTCCCCCTCGGCACAGGTGGTGGCGAGCTCGCAGGAGCTGGGCCAGGACTACGAGCATGTGACGCTGTTGCGCGAGCGCTTCAACGCCTTCCGGGACGACACCAAGGCGGTCGGGGAGGAGCGGGTGCAACGGGCGTGCGCCCAGGCGGATGCCCTGATGAGCCAGCAGCAGGGCACGGGAGGCGATGCGGCCACGGCGGCCCAGTGGAAGGACACCCTGCAAGATGCCTGGGCAGACCTGCTCGAGCTCATGGACACCCGGGCACAGGTGCTGGCCGCCTCCTGGGACCTGCATCGCTTCTTCCACGACTGCAAGGACGTCCACCAACGCATACTGGTGAGACACAGGGTGTGGGCCCCCCCGGGCGTCTGGGCAGAAAGACGGGCAGGAATCGAGCTCTGCGTTTTTGTTTGCTAATCGGAAACTTGCTAAAAGGGGTGTTTGGGCTGGTTGGTTATGTGACACCTTGAAGTAAAAACGGCGTAACTGGACAAAGTTTGAAAAAAAGAAAAAGATCCGTCGCCCTCTCAGATATGGAATTGTACTATTTGACTTAGTCATGTTAAAATAAGCAACGCTCTTGTAACAAACTGTCTTTATCTGGTTTCAAAGATGACGGGATCGCTCGCGATTTCTTTTTCCTTCATACTTTGGTTTGTTTTGGCGTCGCCTAAGTGTATATGTACTGGGTGAAAACAAAATTAACAATCGGTTGATAGTCAGCGCAGAGTCCAGTCTCTTCTTGTTCTTTGTCCTTGTCCAGTTGTGCTGTTTTTAACTCAAGATGTAGTTATAAAGCCCATGTGTAAAAAGAGGTTTGGAAGAAAAGACATTTGCTGAAAGGACATGCACCAGCACATCCTAGAGTTCCTCGGTATGCTCCCCCGAAGGGGGGGCAGAGTTGGGCATTTGTTTTCCCTGCGCCGCCACGCCGCTATTCGCCGAGATCCATCGGGTGAGGAGCAAAGCATCCGGCGCCATGTGAGAAAGCCACCTTTACGGTCGCTTCGCCGACGTTGCTCGTGCCCCGGCGTATGTTCCCCTGCTTTTGCCCTCCTCCTCCTCTCCTGTTTTCCATGAGCGGCGGCGCGCGCGGCGCCGCTATTCGCCAAATTTAGTCACGTGAGGAGCAAAGCATCCAAGGCGTGCAAAAAAGCCGGCGCTACGGCCACCCGCCGAGGCTGAATGCGCAACTCTGCTACTGTAGGTAGCTACGGTATTTATTTGAATATAAGGCGAGGTTTTTTTCCAAAATCCGTTGTCTCAAAGTCATACCCCGCCTTATATTCGAAGCTCAGTATAGCAATATGGCGATTTTTTTTTTCTTTTTCTTGGGTCCTTCAACTGCCCCCTTGCCTTATAAACGTGACTGCCTTATATTCAAATAAATGTGGTATATACAGGAACTCTAGCGCATCCTGGTGAGCGAGGGTGTCGTGGTGTTTAAGAGACAGGGAGAGGAACGGCAACGAGCAGGAATGGAGCTCGTCATTTTTGTTGGCCAGTATAAAACCTTGTCTATAAAAAGAAAAATTTTGAATGACATTGAACAAAATATGTTTGTTATATGCTTGAGTAGGACACATTAGTCACAAAGTAAACTTGCCCCAAAAGAAAAACATGTTTAGTGCAATATCTATGTCACTATAGACACGTATTGAGTTGGGAGCGTTTCTGATATTTTAGCACGTCGACTGGAAATAGAAGCATGTTTCGGAATATTTCCTAAAAACAATTAACTCCCCACAATTTTTTTTAAGGGGAAAGCATTAGCTGTTTTATGGAGCGAGCCGACGTTATCGGCTTCAAACGACCGCTTAAATCCTTTCTTCAAGTGCAGCCAGCTCCCAGCTATGAAACCACGCGAAAAGCCTGACCATGACTCCTAGTTTCCCTGCTTCAATCCCTTTGGCTGGCGCGCGTCGACGAGGCTCCCATTGGCCGCTGCGCGTCAGTTTCAATGACTGCTCACCCCATGACCGTTGCGTGTCCGTCTGCGTACCGTTAACATAGAGTGTCCAAGTTTAGCGTGCCCAGGAGAGCGCGCGTGCTGACCGGTAGCGAAAAGTATGCAGCAGACGAAATAAGGGAGCAGACGAGCCGCTTGCATGTTTTCACATTCACAACTCATCAGAGGTGCTTAGGTGTACCTCGATTCTTTTTTTTCTAAATTGCTAAACACTGATTTTTGAGGAAAGGATGCTGGACAAAGCACACCCCATAGTTCAGTTTCCTCGCCAATAGTGTTGATAGCAAGCTCAAGCATGGTTATGATGCCAGTTTTCCTAGATCTGCGTTGCTTGGAGCATGCTTTGATCCTTGTCCATGTCCACGTCATCCGTGCAGGAGAAGCAAAACAGCATGTCGGACGAGCTGGGGCGTGATGCAGTGAGCGTGCAGAACCTGCAGCGGAGGCAGGCCAACTTCGAGAACGACCTGCAGACCCTGGGCTCGGCCGTGGAAGCCATCCAGGGACAGGCGGCGCAGCTGGGGGCCGCCTATGCGGGCGACAAGGCTAGAGAGATACAGGCAAGTGCCCATTCCCCTGATTGTGATTGACTGCCTGGCCAATCAACTCATTCATTGGCTGACCAGTGATCAAATATACCATTGACGAGTCACTCAATTGTCTTGGAAAGGTGCAAGCAAGTGCCTGACCCTGATGATGGGCTAGATAGCTGGCTGATCAACTTATTGATTGGCTGACATGCTGATTGATTAACTAATATAGTAAATCAATCCTGTTAGGGAGATACAGGTGGGTGCTGCTCTACAGTGGTGGACTGATTAATTGATTGATTGACTGACTGACTGACATGCTGATTGATTGACTAGTAATCAGATGCACCTGCAAATTGTTGACCAAGAATCAAATTTACAATAAATGAGCCAACCAATCATTTTTCGTGTGTGTTTGCCAGCATATTGATTTATCATTTAGCTGATACAGCGAATTACTTATTGATTGGCCAGTTGGCTTGGTGTATGATTGACTATTCTGTGAATCACGAATATTCACATTAAACAGCCAATTAACTGATTTAGTGTCCATGTGTTTTGGCTGACTGGTAGATTGTTTGACTGATATGCTGATTCACGGACCAATAACTGAAGATACATGTTTTGGTATGTTTTGGCTTCCTGGTGTATTTATGGATCAGCCGACACTGAATGACCTGGACATTGATTGGCCAATATGTTCAGTGTGTGATTGACTGCTTAGTAAATCACACCTATGTATGCCGATCACTTCGTTAGCTGATTAGTGGTAATTTGTTTTAAGCTGGCTGATGGATTGAGTGACCGACACGCCTGCTGAACGCTTCATAATTTCCCAGTCAAGCGTAGGATGGATCAATAAATTAATCGCTTTGCACACTAATATCATTCAAATAATTTAGTGCACAGGCACGTGCCTGTGGGTCAACAGGCATGTCTTCATTTAAGATTCTGCAATAGTGTCACATGAGCCTTTGTTTCTTTAGTTCAATGATGTGTTGTATACAATGAGACGTTCGTGCTAGGCTCATATTTGAGTCAAGATGCTGCAAAGATGGATGTGCCAACCCCACGCCTTCTCACCATTGCCCGTTCCTCCCGCCTCCTCCAGAGCCGTGAGTCCGAAGTTGTGGCGGCCTGGCAGCGCCTCCTGGGGGCCTGTGACGGGCGCAGGGCACGGCTGGCGGACACGGGCGACCTGTTCCGCTTCCTGTGCATGGTGCGCGACCTCCTGCTCTGGATGGAGGACGTCGTGCGCCAGATGAACACCTCCGAAAAGCCCAGGTGAGCGGCGGTGGATGCGGGAGGTTTCCAGACCCTTTTTGAATCCAGGGGAACGTGCCTGGCAGTTATTTTGTGAGGCGATTTCGGTCAATTTTTGTTGTAGTGAAAACAAAACTTGAATTTCGGTTCCGTGTCAATTATCCCTTTGTGGTCCGACTTATTCCTTGGTGGGGTATGCTTAGACTAGCATGAGCCGCACAGTGTCGCCACTGGATCTTGGTTTAACGGTTTAACCCAACGTCGTTTGATCAACTGGTTGCAAAGCTCTGCTCAGAAAAGGAGGGGGTTTGCTTTACATGTGTCTCTGGGAGGGCACGCACACCTCATCACAAGCTATTATCATCGTCATTGCCTGCTCTCTCTGCTGCTTTGCTGGTGGCAAACAACTTCTCAGTATCTTCAGCTGTTTTCTTGTAATGGCGCAAAAAATATTTGTTGTGCTTTCTTATCAAGTAAAAACATTAGAGAGTTTTAGAATAGCATAAAGACTTTTGCGTTAGCACTGCATGTGTACAACGCGTGGAAGCTTTTTTAGTACGGCGGAACGCAACTGCATGCGCCAGCAGTTGCAGTGCCATCTAGGTGTGCCCACGCAAACCACCCTCATCGCGCTGTCCCACTCGTGACGAGAGCAGAACCCATTGTGCCACCTTCTGGGTCGTAGAACTAGCGACCCGTGAAATCTGTCGGGAAGGTTTCGTTAGCAGACAGAGGTATCGTATTGTGCTCGCCGCAGGTTCGGACACAGTTTTGTACGGCCTCTATCGATTGTACATCATCTGTGAGCCAACTGAGCGCGTCTAACAACGGCATGGACGAGTTTGGCCGACCCGTGTCCGTCTCTGCTCCCATCCTACAGGGATGTGTCTGGGGTCGAGCTGCTGATGAACAACCACCAGAGCCTGAAGGCGGAAGTGGACGCCCGGGAGGACAACCTGTCCTCGTGCGTGGCCCTGGGCAAGGAGCTGCTCGCCCGGGGCCACTACGCCTCGGGGGAGATCAAGGAGAAGCTGCTCGCCCTCACCACCCAGCGAAGCGCCATGATGGCCCGCTGGGACGAGCGCTGGGAGCACCTCCAGCTCATCCTGGAGGTCTACCAGTTCGCCAGGTACCGCTTCCCCTTTTCTTGGGCACTTTCCTCGCGCGAAGACACCTAGGCTCTGTAGCTGCGCCAGACTGTGCCTGGAACGACTTTGTGCTGCATTGTAGCATGATGTGTACGTACAATGGGCAAAGGTGTTCCTCATGTGGATGCGTGGTTTAGGGCATTTCGTTAATAGCGTTGTGCGAATATTAAAATTTTTGAACAGTAGTTTCGAATAATACGTTATTCGAAATTTGCTTCGAGATGATCTGTGACGTTCGCATTTTTCGAAGTGTTGATTGCGGCAGGTTAGCCCCAACATCTGCGGAAGCGAGCTCCACAGATGTTGCTTTTCTGCAGTGCACCGGTGCTCGTCAAGAAGCACACGCGACTGGGATATCCCCGCCGAAATGAACATTTCAAAAAGTGCAAATATCGCAGTCAGTGCATAGGAGAAAAACTCACTTTCAGAGCGGCATGGTGCATGTGTGCTCCTGGCGCATTTAAAAAGAAACAAAAAATTTGTAAGTTTTAGTACCTGCATCACACTAAAATTTTCAAAATTGCGCTGTGGCTATTATGCGATTGTGTATGTTGGCAGAGATGCCCTGACAACCTGTGCTCATCATTTAAGATTTCTTATTACTTTTTTTTAATATGAAATTGAAGAAAGGATATTTGCATATAGAAAGATTTATAAATCCCCTCGATTAGGTATAGCTGGCTATCTCTATAGATGTAATTTTATGTAAAATATTTCTTTTTTCTTTTTCCCCATCACAATGTTGGTATTAAACTTTCTGAGGCCACCGCCCATAAATATGGTTAGACTAAAATTAAGTAAGCTTAGAAATAGACAAGTGGAAGCTTGCTAACAACCCTCATAAACTTAGCTGTGTTCTTGTTTAAGCATGGTGCAGCAGTAGTGAAAGGCTTGGAGAAACTATTTGTTATTCAATTCAACAATATTTGGCCAAAACCACTATTCACTTCGAATTCGCTTCGAACTAAAGTCCATAATATGCACATGACTACTCTCTGATATGGACACCTTCGTTTCCCTCCAGAAGTCATCTATAATGCAAGCTGTCCACATTATCCCTTTGCCTACTGCAAAAATTTTGAAAAAAAAAACGATTTGAAAATTTAGTTTTTTTTTATGTTCCCTATAAATGCCAAAATATTTATTATATGAGAAATCTTTGAACACACTGCAAAAGAAAAAAGGACTAAAGTTCCTCTTCACTGCATTACCGCAGACAGTTCGCATCACCTTGCGCATGGACGTTCAGGCCGGGCGTAGCAGTACTGCTGACAGTTCACATCACATTGCACGCAAAGTGAACGCAAGACATGGAGGGGCTGGAGGGGGATTTTCTACATTGATTCTAGTCCATGCCGACACCGCGACACGATGTCCTCATCGAAATCGGAGTCGTCTGGGCTCAAATTCAATAACTCGGTTGCATTGCTCTCGCTTCGATGAAAGATTCATTTCCTCATCTTTCGAGTCTGAAAAGACGTCACAATATCTTTGTTTTCGCCCCAATTTTGAGGCAAGATTGTCACTACGAACGCAGCGACCAGAAGTTGACGTCGACATTTTTAAATCCCCTGTTGCCCGCGTTCGAACAATTTTCTGCCAAATTTAGAAATTTACCACGTTTTTGTTCTCCATGAAGCGCCCTCTATCCACGGCAAAGCTCACTAGAAACACATGGGCTAGCCCAGTTCGTCCACGGCAGCGTATGAGAGCCCGAATCACCGTGGACGAGCCCAGCTCGTCTTCGGGGGGAGCGGTAGAAACAGTGTGGACGATCTCAGGTCGTGCATGGTAGGGAAAGGGTTAAGTAAGGACTTGTTTTCCTTACTTGAACTGAACAAAACCCCTAGCCGGTGGTGAAGCAAAGTCTATTTCACCTTAATCAGTCCTTAGCCAAAATTGACTGGTCATTTCATTCTACCGCCAAGTCGACCTTGCGACGACCTTGGACTGACCTTGCCGCCTTCCCCACAGAGATGTGGCTCACATCACGCTCCTCTGATCTTTATTCGTCAAATGAGCCATCAAGGCCTTTGTCATTGGTCATGTTTGTGTGACCTTCGGAATCATTTGACGAGCTCGTTCGTAAGGACCACGAGTTCGACCTTGAACTGACCTTGACGCCTCTCTTGCAGAAATATGGCTCGTATCACGCTCGATTGATATTTGACCGTTAAGTGGGTCGTCGAGGTGCCGGTCAAGTCTGTTTTGTCCTTTGGGTTGCATTTGACAAGCTCGCTTGTAACGACCGCAAGTTCGACCTTGGACTGACCTCGATGACCCCCCTCGCAGGGACGCGGCCGTGGCGGAGCACTGGCTGGTGGCCCAGGAGCCCTACCTGCTCAGCCAGGAGCTGGGGCACGCCATCGACGAAGTGGAGCAGCTCATCAAGAAGCACGAGGCCTTCGAGAAGTCGGCCGCTGCTCAGGAGGAGCGCTTTGCAGCCCTCGAACGTCTCACCACGGTGAGTGCTTGGTGCTCCGTGCGGTGCAGTCTTCTCCCCGCAGGTGGCGCGAGCTTCTCGCGAATGGAGCCTGCAATTCTGCTTTCCTGTCGGGCACGGGGAAGCCGACTGTCGCGGTTTACATGAGGAGGGTGTCGAGCGGTGACGCGCCGGTGACGGGGGGCTTGAAGATGCGATTTGCGTCGGAAGCCGCAGCATGTTGCTCGGTGTCCCAGGGTGCATTTATGGGTGTAAATGTTACCAACGCCTCGTCATTCGCTGAAGTCCTCTCACAAACGTAACGCGTGATTCGGGGTCCTGAAGAGTTTGCCCCCTTTTGCTCTAGGGGGGCAAACGACAGAAAAGGGTCGTGTGTTGTTGTGGGACTTCTAAAATGGCGAAGGGTTTACGATGGCTGCTGTGGGGTCGAATGTAAAGCTGTAAAGAGCTGTATTAGTTTTAGGGAGGTTGTAACATTTTTTGCTTTCAGTGTGTTTTTGGGTTTGTTGAGAGCTTGTCGACCCTTCGACATCAAATGGTACCCAAAAGCTATGATACAGAAAAAAAAAGAACATTTGCTGTTCGTGTTGCTAATGGTGACTTAGAAGCTTGCTTAGGTGCATCGGAAAAGTCCAAAGCCACGGATGGGGTTGTTCAGGGTTTCTGTTGCTCCGTATTCTTGCAATTCTTTGAAAAGTATACATTTGTTGAGTATTGTGGCTATTGTTTTCTGATGAAATGGCAGGAGTGCAGGCAACATTTTCGAAAGTTACAGCCAAGACTTGGGAAATACGAACCTTGTTCATTGATTTTCGGCTTAACTCGGGCACGGTTCTTAAAAAGGTTTTTAACAGCCAATGTTTGAACATTTTTTTACCTGTCTTATTGGAATTTAACATGTTTTAGAAAGACGGTGACGAGTGGTTTGTGACATGCGTTATCTGCAAGCAAAGCAAGTTTCAGTACTTTGTGTGCTCGCTGTTTCTTGGGACAATAATTACCGTATTTACACGATTGTAAATCTACTCGATCGTAAGTCAACCCCCTTACATTTCGCGTCGGCAAAAAAAGAAAAAAAACGAAGAAAAAAACAACTTTAGGGGACGCATTTTATCGCAAACACCTGAGAAAGGCAGGGCCTGGCCTCCAGGACCCGCTCGATGCCTCCTGGCTTGCTTTTGCTGCACAAGCACGTGCAAAGTGCCCGAGATGCCGAACTGTTATCGAAACTATGAAGCTCATGCTGGAGGCGGGACAACCGAAGCTGCTCCCTGTCATTCTCGCTCGGTCTGCGACTAGAGACTACGATTTGTCTGCACTAGTGCTGTCGTTCCTTTCGTCATCACTGCTACATTCTCGAAGCAAGTCGTCGGCATCGTCCAACGATATCTCACACTTCGTAAACGACAGCATCAACTGCATCTTCTGTGCTTGCTCGGTGATTTTGTCGCACGTCGGGACCGATCGCGCACTTTTGCGACATACTTTGCAAGCCTAACCTCCAATTCCGGAAGGCATCCAGACCTATCCGGACTTTGGCCTGTCAAAGCCTCTTCGTTTGCCGTCACGGTTAAGAACTAGAGATCCTGCGCCCTCGCGGACGCCACTGGAGCACCACCCGCTCCCACGAATCGAACTTGCATCCAGCAGCGCGGTTGTTGGTTGCTTTTGGATGAAGAATGACCGTAAACGAACTTCGAAAACCTAGACTGCCCGGATCACGCGTGTCAATCACGCATATCAATACAGAGAAACGTAGTTGGCACTCCAGCACGATTGCAACACTCTATCAAACGAAGTGCGACCGTGAATCGTGTGAAAAGAAACAGCGGGGAGTGAAGCTGGTGTGGCTGTTCCAGCGGTCATTCCGGGGTGGCTCTTACGTCGAGTGCCGCCACTCCCGGAAGTCAGGCATGCCGTGCACCGTTCACCCAACGAGCATTCACCGCCGTGCATTTGGGCTAATTTGCAAATTGCTCTTAATAATTTTGTTCATGCAAATTAAAAGAAAAAAAGAATAGAACTTGTAACATGAGCGCACAGAATAGTGCAGTGTTACAGCCGGCTGAACTCAACAAGCCTAGGTGTTCTTGATATTGCGATTGTCTTGGTAGGCAGTGGAATGCTTTGGTTCAATTGTAAATCAACTGAGAATGTGAGGTTCCCCCATGAAGCTGAGGTTCCGCACCCATTTTAGATTTTCAAAAATTGAAAAATGGGTCGACCTGCATTTGTGTAAATACGGTAGTGCAGTATAGACCACTTACAACGTAACCGCTTATAGCGCAGGACCGGGTATAACGCGGCTTTTTTAAACCACCGGTTCGCCTCCCATAGAACTCCATACAATTACATACCGCTTAAAATGCAGGCGCGCGAAGGGAAATACCGGTTATAGTGGGTTTCTGGAGCAGCGCGCCGACCGGCGCAGCGAGCACGCTTCCCTGTGCAACACCAGATAACGGCGCTAGCCGCAAGCTGCACTCGCGGGGGCAAGGATGGCAAGGAGGTTGCTCGAAGAAGCGGGGAGAAGCGAAGAGAGAGGCTTCAGTTGCTATAGCGACAGAGGGACGCACACACGTGTCATTCATGGCGCAAGGCGTTGGCAAGCCAAACCAGCCGTTCGCGCGCGTTGCATGCCGGTCGCGTGTCGGCTTCTTCTATCCGCAATCATGCCTTTTTTGGAGCATTTCATGCGCGTACCGTATAAAGGATGCGAATTTTCACGCTTTTTCATCACCGGAGAAAAGTGGTTAGGGCTAGCAATCCTGAACGCTCGCAACATCCGTCCGCAACCCACGACGCCGCTAAAAGGCTGCGCCAGACGAAAGTCATTCTTTCTTTCAAAATGTGTGACACACTTGAGAGAGAAGTGTACTAGTCTGATGAAATAAAGGCTTTCTTCAAACTAAGCTTTATTTTTCATCAAACATAATATAAATTGTTTTACAAAGGTAAGTTACCTCATGGCATGTATTTTGGCCTGAAAAATTGATGTCTTGGTTATAGTGCGGTACCGCTTATAGTGCGGATTTTCGCGACTCCCGCGACATACGTTATATGCGGTCTACACTGTACCATCAAATGTTCTCCTTCCGCCATTCGGGGTTGAAAATTGAGTGGAGAATATGAATTTGTGGCAAATACTCTGTAGGCTTAATCCAGTAGTACCCCGTTCTGTGGAAGTTCCCAGAGGGAACAAAATATATTAGATCAGGGGTTCTCAAATATTTCACCCCAGGGAATCCCAGCAACCCTCAAAAAGTCCCAAGGACCCCCCCCCCCCCTTTGTTGTCAACTGATAATAATAGGCATTAAAGGCGCTTAGATAAGGAACAAACTATTGCACTGACAAAATAAGACAAAATGGAGGACTACAGACAGAATAAAAAGGCAGAAGGGTTAACGTTGGTTACAATGTAAGTAATTTATATATATCCATAATAGTCCGAAAGTGAGGTTCCTTTGCCCGCAACGCCACCTCAATTCATGGCTCAGTCCGTGGAAGGTTAAATTAGGGGGAGGGGGGGCACTGCAATTTGGGTGCTCGCAGAACCTATGAGACTAGCGCAAGGAACCCAGTTTAAGAACCCCTGTCTTAGATGAAAGGTAGCTGATTGTATTGATTATGTTTTCTTAACACCACACTTTTAGCTAATCAGAAAATTAAGGCAGTGTGAATAAAGAGAAGTTTGTTGAACTGTCAGTATTGTGATGTGGCCTGGGTAGGAAAGGGACCGACCTTGGGGGCGCGCGCTTTGCAGCATGCACTTGCGAGATTGCTGTGGTGAACTCTGGGTAGGAACAGAGAGGGTGGTGATCTCTTGAGCCAACGTGTCTTCTGGGTGTGGTGCTTCCTTCCCTTCCGATCGCGATCAGCTGGAGCTGAAAGAGCAAGAGAGCGCGGGCCTTCAGGAGTACAAGGAACGCAGGAAGGCCATGCGCAGGCTAGACGACCACCTTCGCAATTCGGGCATCTACGAGCCGGTGACTTTTGCACGACGGAAACCGATACCCTCTTTTAGCCCTTTCTAATCGACATCTTTTACCCCTTGTTTAGCTTGGCCATCCCCAACCCCTAATGTGTATGTACCTACCTACGTGTGCTTTGGTCAGCTGTTTGGATGCCGAAGAAATAACCTGTAGTGCATCACATGGAAAGGATAAGGAGAAAAAAACTGCTGTAGGCTTTATGAAGAAGGTTTTATTTATTTAGTTATTTATTAATAGTGCCTGCCCATTTGACCCAAAGCAGGAGTGAGTGGCTAAAATACAATAGGCACATTTTTTACTAAGACTAAATCAGTTAAACATACGTTTTTGTGCAATGGTTTAGACTGAGGGGAATCGTGTCTTCCCTAAAATGCCATTTGGTATGAGTAGAAAATGGGCCGGGAGTCGGGGACAAGGATCAAACTATCTAGGAAGTAATTTCGGCCAAGTTTGCAGTTTTGGCCGAAGACATTTCTTTCGGTTACAAAGTTTTCGAAAACTACATCAGTAGATTATTTTTGTGATTTTAGAAACTGCAAGTATGCTGCTTTATATTAATGAGTAGTGAAATATTTAGACAAATTTTCAGTAAAAAGTAATGGTAGTAAATGTCCCAAAAAATATTATTCATTGTTCCTTTAGCTGTAGTATTCCTGGTTTCTTTACTGTTCCTGACAGAGTCACGTTCTGCATCTGAACGATCCCAGCTGTCCATGATTACTGCACTAATAACTGTTGAATGCGTGCCTTGTCGTATTTTCTAACTGCATGCCTTATTGACAAGCTTAGCGCAATGGTGAGTAAGGCAGTCAGAATTAGTGAAAGTAGGCTGCTGAAGATTAATAACCGGCGTTAGTGCGATGGAATTAAAATGACAAGAAAGGCTTGGGAAAGAAGGGGATGGAAGTTAGATGCATGCAAGTAATGACTAGTTGCCAGCACAGTATGTCAGAATAATTACGATGTATATAGGACAATGTTAGTAGAGCTCCCTTTGAAATCCCATAGAAATCTGGATGGTTAAAGTTAGAAATATCTGTGGAGCTAGGGGCTGGGTAGCAATGAAGTTATTAGTGTTAGTGTGATGTTTTCTGTTTTAACAACTAACCAAGAGCGTCTAGCTTGCACGTACCTGAGGTTATGAAACAGTCCTGTGTCACCGGTTCAAGTTGAGATTTTTTGGCTGGTGTCGAAGAGAACTGGCTGAAGCTTTGTGAACTGAAATGTTTGCGCATTTTTGGGATCTTTGTGCAGGGATACTAAATTATCCGTCGTGTTCGTGCTTGATGGTCAGAGTGTTTGCTTGTGATTTCATTGAATGCCTTGGTCTTTCTGCCTTTGAGAATTGGGACGCTAGCATCTTTAATTGGATGTGCATCGTGTTGTGGTTTCGGGGCCTGTGCTGCAACTCTGGTGCCCTTGAAAGTGCATGTGTCGATTTGGCCGTCGGGATCTTTGGACCTTTTATTTCTCTAACATCATCTCTCATGACAACGTCACCTGTTAGGTTGGGACATAAACTGATTTGAGGCATTGGCCATGAAAGGATGAGAGGGTTTCTGTTAAATTCAAAAGGCCCCTTATTTTATTCTGCTATCTACAGAATTACGAACATTTCCTCTTTGGGGTGAGGGGTAGCATCTTTTCGTTCAAGACCACTGGTTTCACCGTTGTTCTCATTTGCATGGTATTAGAAGGTAGAGGATGGAGTGATTTATAAACTCCTTGAAATTGACTGCCAAAAACTGGACTTAAAAATAATGTTGGTGCTGCTTTTTCTTTTTTTGACGAGGTTTTATTTTTATTATTGTCATTACATCTGCTTCTATGTGGTGTTGTCTGAACGCTGTACTTTGCCAAACGCCCCCACGTGTATCCATACTCAGTTTGACATTTGGCATGCATTGCAGCTGAAGTTACAAGCCTTTGTGCTCTGTGTGTCAGACTACCAGGTGATTTATTGGATATCACTAGGGTGTGTACTTTCCGGTGTTTATTTGTGAGAAAAATCGGCGGATGTTTTTCGGTGTTTATTTATTTTCAAAACACCGGTGTATTTCGGTGGAAGGTCTTACGACGAGGCTAAAATCGGTGAATATCGGTGAAAAAAAAGCGATTGATCACAGAAAGAGAGTTCCAATTTTATTCACATAGTTCATACACTTCTTCTCTAGGAAGCAACTATTTCTAACACTTGGTTATTATAGTAGATGCAAGCATACTTTTATGCTTGCATCTACACGCAAGGAACGTGCTGCCTTCATGGCACCACGTTCCTTGCGGTTCGCAACCCGCAATTATGAAAATGCACGCTCCTGTACGACACGGACGTTGGCAGTGTCTTCCAGGAGCCACAGCAACCTCTGAATACATGGCTTGCACCGACATCACTTGGTCAGACACAATGAGGAAAAGGCACGTGAGAGCCCACCCTCCACTGTGTTAATTTTTCCACAAAAGGGGGCCATGGGAGACACAATAGGGGAAAGGCGTATGAGAGCTTAGCTTCCACTGCGTTCACCAGACGCTTTTGACCCCCAGAAAGGAGGGCGGACGGCACGCCACCTGCAAGCCATGTATAAACACTGGAAGAATGCAGGATCCACGAGATAACACGTTTGACGAACCTGTACGGGGAAAGGGTTTCGCTAGGTCGGAAACTAGCAACGACCGGTGTTTTTCGGTTTTAATCAGGGCGAAAATATCCAACCACCGGTGTTTTTCGGTTTTAACCGATTTTATATTTTCGTCACCGACGGATGTTTATCGGTGTTTTTCGGTTAAAACCGGAAAATGCACACCCTAGATATCACACTGAACTTGTAAATTATATTTTCTAGTTGCGTAGGAGCGATTTCGTAGTGGCTATGTTGCCACCAGAAAATTTCACGAGTACCTGCCGAGGTGGTCTTTTGACTCTTCACATATGAAGAACACATCTAAAACAGAAGTTAGCATATTGGACTGGGAGCCACAGCCAATAGCAAAGCAGGACCCGAGTATTGCTTGCTCGGTGAAGCGTCTGCCATGAGCTTGCAAGTGCCCATTGCGAGCTGCATCACTGTATTTTTTTTTTTTACAGCATTCTCACTACTGTTTTTAAAATTGCCTTTCGAGCTAAGACTTTGTAATCACCGTAGTCTGACTTTTTTACTTCACCATGCCACACTGACTTGCAATCTCCCTAACTGCAGTTTTTCAGCTGGCTTTTCTATTCACTGCTGATGCAGTGAAACTGCACTAAAATGCCCTCCCTGCTTCAGTTGCTATAAATGCAGTGTGTGGAATAGCGTGTAGCTGAGTAACATTTTGTGGGCTACTACAGAGGCTATGTTGTAGTGTTTGATCATTGCTCTCGTGTAGTTTTTATATTCTTTTAGTACAGTTAGTAATTAATCTGATGCGTAGTAGCAGTACAATTCTTGCTGCAACTAGGGCTGTCTGACTGGTATTGCCTGCTATTGACTGTTCCCTTGGCGGACTTAGTACCGGATACTCAGTTGTGCAGTGCTTGTAAATCATCTGTGTCCACATCACTGCATGCATTGTTTGAAAGGTCGCCTAGGCAACGCGACTGTCAGTCCATCTTAGTCAATTGCCTAATGTTGCAGTCTTGCCTCCATTGTGCAGTGTGCATATGCTGTAACACAGTAGGTCCTACGGTATCTTTTTCATTGAAATACCGGTGCATTGGTCCTCGTCACATTACTTCCCCACTCCCCCAACGTCTCCACTAAGAAAATTGTTTGACAGCTTTTCCAGTTAAAGTTCTTTCTCGCATTCACTAAGTTAGATCCAATCACTGGTTTTGCCACCTTATTCGGTGAGCACAAGACCTGGTCGAGTCGTTCGCAATCCGACAAAGGTATACTGGTCATAACTTAGAGTTCCGTGTCAGCAGAAATCTAACTTTCACATACAGTAGGAACGTCCGTAAAGAGTCGCCGCGCATCGAATGCGAGAAACCACTGCACTGAGGGCCAATTCCAATCGTAAAGGCCGGTTCTCGCATACATTGTGGCGCTAAGTCAACACCAGGCACCGATGCAGTGCCGACTCGAACCTAACTTAGCACCGACGCAGCATTGTATCAGTGCTGTTTCACCATTACAGGGCAAAGTCAGCACTGCGCAGTGGTGCATGCGTGAACGGGGCTTAACGCTCTAGCCATCTAACCACGTCGTAGGCTGGCTTCCCGGACATGTCGTTGAGCCTAGTGTCTCGCTTTCTCCTTGCGTGCTGATCGTGGTAACCACTAATCTACGCCGCCGTGGGGACCGTGCATGGCTAATGCGGGCCCCGCCCCCACCCTCTCGCAGTTTGAGCTGAAGGAGATGAGGGCAAGGGAAGAGGAGCAGGAGCGACAGCGGCAGCAGGAGGAAATGGAAAGACTGGCCGCCCTGCAGCCCCCGCCCTCGCACGAGCCGTCTCAAGACAGGTGAGTGGCTGTGCCACTTCGTCCGTTCAGCAACGCGACGCTCGTGGGGGCTAGTACTACGTCCGCTCGGCAGTGCGTCGTCAGCGGGTGGGACTACGCTGTCCACTCGGTAACGAGTCATCTGCGGGTGGCAGCACTCTGTCTGCGCGGTAGCGTGTGATCCACGGTTATAAGTACTGTTTCGTCTGCTTGATGCTGAGTCATCTGTGGGTTGTGGTATTTCGTCTGCTGAGTAAGGAGTCATTCGTGGTCAGTGGTACAACCCCTCTGCTCGGTAGTGCCTGGCGGTAGTCTGCTCCGCACCAAGTCACACTGTGTTTTGTACGACATTCGTCTGTTTTGGAAAGCTTCTACAGATAACAAACAGCCCAGACCGCACCCAGACAAGCAGAAAAAACAAGCACCCGCAGTGCCAAGTTTCAACTAATAAACTATTTCCGAAAAAAAAAAATATAGAAAATGTTTATTTTCACATTTTGTAGAACTCAGAGCACCGAGTTTAGTTGAAAGTCGTTCTGCGTGCACCTATTTCTTCTAAATGTTCAGTGTTTTTTTGTTTTTTTTTTTGTTTTTTTTTACCTTTTTGGAGCTTGGGCTTTGAGCTTGTCTTCTGCACTGGATCCCCTGTGTTGTTGCACGTCCGAGTATATCTGACGAAGCGTAAGCCTCTCTTCTCTTATGGCGCATTCACACTGGAAGCGGATCCGCGTTCGCGAAGCGGTCGCGGATGCGGTTCGCGAGCGACCCCGTTCAGACACACCGAGAGGCGGTTCGCGGTTTCTCGGCGATCACGCGTGATCTTTTGAGACTTGCGTTTGGCAACCCTGTTTTACAATCCAAAATCCACTTTAATTCAATATCCAAAGCCAAAGTTTTGCTATTTTGGCACTCGGAATATTTTTCTCCGGGATGTTCGCGCGCATCACGAGTTCAGGCAGCGAAAAAAGAAGCATGGACCCTCCAAACTCGCCTGTGATTCCCTCGACTTCGTCCACAAGCAAAGCCCAGATAGGTGTTGGCTAGGCGTGCCATGCGCGCCATGCTGACTCAGAACAGGATGCCCCCGACCTTTTCTTCGAAGTCTTTGAAGTGGACCCTTCCCGCATGAATAGCTGACCTTGTTTTCGGGATAGAGGGCCAGTTTTTCCCTCTTGTTGTTCACTCTTATCGTTTTCGAAGTTGTGAGCGGTCGGGTGGACCGTGGTGCGGGGGAATGTGTTCGGTGCTAGCCGGTCGTGGCTTCGTTGGTGGCGGACTCTCCTCTCGTCACTCGCTCGTCGATCGAGTCTACTGTTTGTTCGACATTAAGCTCAAATAAACGCCGTATGGATTACCTCTGCATTGTCTGGTACGTACACTTTATTCCTTGAGTAGGTTCCCTTTATTTATTTTAGTTGTAGTCGCCAGGTCGAGCTAGCGCAGGTACCTTGTCCCCTCCGCGGTAGTGCGTTGGCTACGCAATCAAGCTCACGACGTCTCTATCGGCCTTCGTGGTGGTCATGCACGGTGTCGAAAGCTTTCAATAGTTCACGCGACTATCCTAGTGGGTAGAAAAGCTGACATTTCGGTCGATCAGGGGCGGGTTCTGACGTTCTACAGGCCGAGATTAACAAGGTAGCGAGCTTGGGCTGTGGCACCCGGAATAATCAACAAACTCTTACCCGAACCGAATCACCGGTGCGAAGCCCGTTAAAATCACGAGTCAATTCCTTTCCCGGCGGTTTCATGTGACGGACGTGGACATCAAGTTTCTCCGCTGATTTGTCGAAAGCTAAGACTACCGCGCTAGGACTACAGCGCCTTGGACGCCCCACCAGCGACAGGTGCCATCTTGTTTCGAAAGTCGCTGACATCACGTCAGCGTCGCGTTGTGATTTTCTGCCGCTTTGCGGTTCGTGAAAGCGGTTGGGAGAAATCGGTCCCGAAGCGGTTGGCAAAAACGCGCTCCAACCGCTCGATCCTATCCGCTTTGCGGTTGAGAACGCGCGGATCCGCTTCGCGAACGCGGATCCGCTTCCAGTGTGAACGCGCCATTAGAGATATAACCGCTAAAGTCACGTTCCTCGCAATTGCATTGGCTTTCGCGGAGCCGTGTCAGACCTGTATGTTGAGTTCTGTGCGGTTTTGGTTCTGCAGAGTTGACGCCGAAGCTTCCGCGGAAGCGGTCAGAGAACAACCTGTCCTGAACGGCGAGCAGGAACGTCACGTTGGTGAACAGCACGCAGAGGGTGAGTTTCCTTTCACAAACTTTTCGCGGAGTTACATAGTCTAAATAAAGGCGAACATGGTAATGTCGTTAAAATTGGCAAGAAACGCCTTTATGACACAAAAGTTTCGTCGGTGAAATCTGAGCCCGAAACCGGGTCCGGAGACTGCCAAGAACACCGGTATGGAGTCTTTCCCAAGATGCGCTCGGTACTGTTATGGGTCAGGAACCTAACACACCAGCATTGTGGCCTGCTTCTGAAGCTGAATGTTTTAAGTGGCCTGCCAAGATTGTGGTCTTGCTAGTTTTGATCGTTTGGTTGCTGTAGTCCCAGATGATAATCATACCTGCTGGGTCTGGATTGTGAAACTGGTCCCAGCTGGATCCAGCTGGAAATAAGACTTAACGCAGCTAGATCCAACAAGTTCCAGTTCCATAATCCAGCTAGATCCAACTTAGAGCAGTTTCATAATACGGCTTTAGCCGGACTGATTTTCACCTGGAACGTCTCTGTGCAGTAGTGCCTGTTCAGTTTGCATGGGTGGTTTGTGTCTGTTTTGAATCGTGGCGTTGCCTGGTGTTAGCTGCTAGAATCTTAACACCTGGGGTTGCATGTCGGTCCGGCTTTGTGATCGGAAGGGATTTTCCGGTAATCCGTGTTCTGTTGCCGTCGTCTTGGGAGCGGCGGTTACCGTTCGCCATTCTAATTCGTTAGAAGACTAGCTATAAATTAGTAGACCAAGTACATAGCTCAATTCAGAGAAAGGCAACAGTCTGGGCAGTTCCACCAGAGTTTAGTAGGAATGATTGCAGCGAGTTTGTCTCGACAGTTAAAGAACAAAGTAGCCCCCTTATATTGAGTCTCGCCGAAACTGAGCGTTGCCAGTACTGTATTTTCCGGTTTATAAGTCGTACTGTTGCATAAGTCACACCTCCTTTTATTATTTACCATTTTTATAAAAAAAAAATTGGTATGTAAGCCACACTTTTTCGTAAGTCACACTTCCGCGTACGGTCGGCATGGCTAAACTGCATTGGTAAACCCGCATACTCATATTTATTGTGATTGCAGTATGCTCAAGCTGAAGCCAGTTTTAGTATTGCCAACGATTTGAATGAAAAATATAACCACCACATCAAATTTGTAGTTAAGGCCCATACAACAACAAACCAAAAAAACACATAAATCGCACCGACGGAAAGTTGCGAGAAAAAAATGTGATTTATACACAGGAAAACACTGTAACTTTAGTTAGATCAGCGAGCCGTACGGTTCCGGGGAGGCTAGCAACAAGGTGGGAAACGTGGTGCAGGCTCGGAAAACTCTCGATGTTGCTAACAAAGACGGCGCGCCCGTTCTCTTCTGTGCTCCCTTCCGGGCCCTGCCCCGCATGTCGCATGGTCTGCGTCTGCCTGCTCCGGTCGTTCGTATGCCGGCAAACCCTTAGCGTCAGTCAAAAGACCGCGCGCCAGGACTCCGACGTCTCCGCCACCTCCAGTGCCATCGCCGCCAACGACGCCGCCAGCAACGGAAGGTACTGTCGCTTGCCAGTCTGGCCGTCACTCTTCGACGTGCGTCCGTGTGTCCTCGTGTTCGACTAGGTGTTCTCGAGCGCCGTTCGGTCGTAAGGAATGCGGGCTGGGACAGCTGCTCCAATTGCGCCATTTTGGTACATTTACAAGTGCCTGCGCCTAGAGGCGCTAAGAGCTTGAAAATTGACCGAAATCGGATCATGCTGCACCAAAGGTCACAGTGACACTAGATTTAGCGGAAGGTGAAAGCTCGGTCGACAACATTGGCTATTCCCTTGCCAGGTGGCGCAAGTCGCCGCTCGATTCCTTGGTTTAGCCGTGCTGTCCACTTATCCGTTCGTACGATGGATTCGATGTACACATCCACACATCCTATCGTACTGTTGCATCGTACATGCTGTGATGTGTGATGCAACATGGTATGTAGCATTAATGATCTCGAGTTGTGCCTCTTCATTTTTGATCAAAATTTGTTCCTAAAAAAATAAAATGTCTCTGTGGAATTTCAGGTATTTCTCAGTAAAGTTCTCTTCAATACTTTCCAACGCTTGTAGCACAAACCTACTTTGCTTGAATTGTAACACATGGTACAACTGGCTGAGATTCTTTCTTAAAATGACGTCACTGTTTTCTCCTAAGGCGCTCCAAGAAGAAAAAAATGTCAGCCTTAGTGCTTCGAAATGCAGATCTTTCTGCTTTAAAGTTGCTCCGCAACCAGTTTGGTCTGACCCACCCCTGGAAACGTATAAATGAGCCAATGAACAAAGCGCAAAGGCGGTGTCATTCACGAAACTTGAGTATGATGAAGTGCATTACCTATATACTGTTTTGTCAAAAGTTTTATTGCACTCCATTCATTGGCTCATTTATACAGATTTTTTTACGACCTAATAGCGCTCCAGAACATTCTGTTGTAAACGATGCAAAGTGTGTGTTGCTCGTCTGGCGTAGTTGAGTCCGGTTGAGTCAGAAAGTTGTAGAATTCCACGTGGGCTGCAAAGGTGAGGGCATGTATTTTCTCCTCTACGTCTTGCGGCGAGCGCATCAGAGGCAGTCTAAGCGCTCATTCGTCTTTGTGGTGCGAGGACAGGACACGTTTTTAAACGCCCCCTAAAAACGCACATTTTGTTGCTGCCCGCACGCCTTCCCACGGTGACATACTTGCGTTGCTTTCCCCAAATTTCTCCTGTTCATGCCTTTTTTTTTTTTTAAATTGGTCTTACTTGTAACAGTCAGTTACCTATTCTACGCCGCTTTCGACGCAGGCCCCACGCAGCACTTTTGCTTGCACCCGACTTGCACAAATTCACGACAAAACGATTGGCACATCAGTATTTGCACGCACCCGTCACTGTCTTGTCCTTCTGCTTCGAAGTCAACCAGCCTTTAGGAAGTCACGTGTTCTTGAAGACATGTCGCCGTCGTCTTGTCTTATTTGCCACTGTGCTTTTGAGCTGTAGCTGCCATTGAAACTGCTTCTGCTGCCGGCTTTGGCTGTGCTTGGCCGCCGGTTTACGTTTTTGTTTCTGCAACAGACCATGTGTGTGCACTAAAAGCAAAGGAGCCTATTTTGGTGTCTTGGTTTTGGGGTGAGGATCTGCGAGGCATGAGCCTTCTTTGCGATTGTTTCCATTCGGCGTCTGCGACTAACCTCTTAACCTGCGTCGCTTCTTAATGCATGTTCTACTAGCCTGCGACATTACTAACGCGCTCGAGCGTGTAGTTAATTTTAGAGGTGGAGGCTATGCGGTGTTCCTGCATCATCACACCTGTCGGGAAGCAAGTTGGGTTGAATGTGGGTTGCAACAGTTTCGAGGGTAATTGGTCACGAACGCAGCTTGTGCCCCGACGCATCGAGGTCAGCAACGCGACACGGATCACAGGGCTTTGGTGGTGGTAAATGTTGGAGTGGTGGTAGCATTTGCTTTTTGTATGCAGTCTGCAACACATAAGAAATTTATAAGAATTCACATATGACATAAGGGATGTCATTAGAATCGACATAACCTATCGGGGATTTAAAGAGTTTGCCTGCGGTGTGGTAGAGGTGTAGTTTGTGGTAATATGTGGTTGGAAGGGAAATGCTTACCTTACAAAATATACATATATTTACACTCTTATAAAAGTAACCTGTGCTTTTCAGGGCACATGTTATGTTATCTTTGTTGTGAAGCATCAATGCTCATCTATATTAGGTTCCCCGGGCATAGGTTGGTGATTTGGGATTTCTTTTTTACCAGATCAATACAGTCATATGTAGAAATGATCATCTATTGTTAAGGGTGAGGCAAAGCATTGAGTGTGCTTTATGGGAAGACTTTTTTTTTAGCACTTTTCACATTTTAAGCACCACCAAGATATTTTTTTCTAGCAGTTCTGCAAGGGCTATGTAATCTGAGCCAATCATGGCAATATAAAAGTTTGTTTGATGTAAAGATAGTTTTGTTTCAGGACTACAGTCGATCAGACACCTAATACGTGACGAAACTCGAACGAGGCAACACAAACCCTTAAACTGCAACAAACCGAAAATCCTCGTTTGATGCACTTTAGGCCATAACCACCGTATCTCGGGGGTCCGTTGCTCATCTCGTAGCCAGCAGGCAGCAGGTTCTGTTTCTTGGCGCCATGTGCACGGTGCAGGCAGGCGTGCCGTGTGCCCTCTCGGCGTGTGCGCACGTGCGCACGTTCTTTCCCTTGGCTAACCGCACGTTGTCGTTTTGCCAGTGAGTGGGAGCCGCTCTCCCGCACCGCACGCGACCCCTTCAGCGGCGACGGCGTCTCGTTCCGCTCCAAGCAGTAAGTCGTGGCCAGCATTTTCGGGGCTGGTGGCTTGCTTGGGCTGTCGACATCATTCCTTTTATCTTTTTCATCTTCACATTTTTTTTTTAAAGTTTGTTTACACTTTTGTGCAGATGACCTGCATCCACTTACCAGTCCCTTTGAGGGTGACGAATGTGTGTTCATCCACCGATGTAACATCAGGTGCTGAAGCCTAGACTGCTTTTGAATACCTTTATCACAAAGTTAATTTACAAAAAAAAAAAAAAAATGTTCTTGCTGCAAAAATATTTTTTTAGATCTTAAGCTGGAAGCAATACTGACATTACAAGCCCTCCACAGTATTTTTCGCAGCAGAGCATTTACAAGTTTCTATGTAATGCTTATTAGGCGTTCAAGCTACTGACATGGTAAAGGTACTGATGTTATCGTAATGATGTTTTGGTTGGTAAATTGTGGACAGTTCCCACTGCTCTAATGTATATTTTAACTCCTTGACGTATAGCCTGTTACACCCTTGGCAATCAGTATCACTAGTGCTTTGCACCTTGCAGCAAATATTACTGGAACTAGTTCCAATTCCAAGAAGCAGCACCTTTAACAAGCAAATTAAGCAACTGTCACTAGAGAGTTTTCGTCCCCTTTTTGTGCCCGGTAATTGCACTTGTACACTGCGTGACATGGTAGGGCCGAATGCGGCATTGTCTCTTATGTCGCAAGTTGCTCATACAAGTTGAGACATCAAACATTACCATCCAAGTTGGTGCTGCACGAGAGCATGTTCCAACACGCCAGTTGTTGTGATGGCAGCCTTTTAGTCACGTATAAAAAAAGCGGCTATCACATGCCCGAGCCTGCTGTGTCATGTTTCGTACGTGCACTATTCCCAAAAGAACTTCTTAAATAATTGCTAGCTTTTGTACCAAGCTTCATATTAACACAACTGTTCAAAGATTGTGCCTCATTCTGAGAAACTTGCTAGAGTTGTATCTGTAGCGGCTATTGTGAGAGATATGACTTTACATTAACATTTATTTTAGATTTTTATGTTTTGCGACGGCTCACAAATTTATTGCGCCACCTAGTGCTGTTGAGGTAGAGTGCGGTCATCTGCGCAAAAGTCTGAACACTGCAGGTGAAGGGGCTTGTGTGCCTGTCGCTTTGCCGCAGCCGAAAGCTTTGGCAAGCGCAGCGAGGCTGAGACTGCTCTGCGAGGAATTTATTTCTGGGCTTCATTGCAATGGGAAATTTTGAGCAGCTTTTATTTCGTTTTAACATTTTTTCCCTGGTTTACTGCGGTCCTTGCTGAAACATCGGTTGAACCTGTCAGTGGTTATTTGTGGTGCTTTTGACGGTAATGGTGCTAGTGTAACCTTTAAAGCTTGTCTTTAAAAGGGATGGTTGGTTTTGTCTGGGGCTTTTTTTTTTGTGGTGTTTCTTACGAAGATTGGGTATTTTTCATTTTCTTTAATTTACGGCGTCTAACTGAGCACAAGGTGGTTGTCGCCGTAAGTCGGGACACGTGGAACTTCTTTCGTGCTTGATCTCTCTCTCCTTTTATTTCTCTCTAAATCTTTTGTGGGAGTTCTCTCCTACCTGTGTCTGCTGGTATCAACGACCTGAACTTTGATTTTGCTTGCAGTATGGTCTTGGACTCTGTTTTTATTGGTTTTTTTTTTGCATGCCTTTCTGGATTTTGGATATTTGGTGGTGCCTGTGACTGTTTGATGACACTTTTCGGTTGCCTTGGCACAGTTTTGAATAGCCTGCGTTGAAAGAACAGCATGTGTCGCGCCACTAACTCTCACATTTAGTGTAGTCTTTTGATTTTAGAGTTGAGTTGTAGTCAAGTCGCCTTCCAGGCTCGCTCCCCACCGGCTTTACAATTGGCGCTGTCAATGAAGCTTTATTTCTTCGTCGTTGTCGAAGGCATTCGGTGTCCTTTGAATGGTTTTACCGATTGGTGGTGTCTCGAAGACTGGTGGCATCTTAAGACCATTAAAGAACCATCCTCCCTCCGTAGAAAATGTATTAAATGAAAGGGCACAACATTTGTTGCAAGTGGCAATCATAAAAGCTCCCCTTCTGCAACTGTTGGTAAGCTTGCCATCACGTGACTAAAACAAGTGAAGCTTGGCTGGCAAGTCTCTAAAATGCTTACAGACTTCAATAAAGAAACTTCGACAGGAACCTTTCGGTGAACCTCAGTATGTCAAAAGCCATTTCGCTAAAACAATTGATTTCTTTTGTTTTAAACGACATCCTGCCACTTTAATGCTTGTTTTACAAAATAAAGCTCTAAGTTCAAAGCTTGGGAAAGTGAGGCATCTAAGGTTAAAAGTGAAACGTGCCGCATTGTAAAGCCGGGGGCGGGAAAAAACATGGGAGCTCGACGAGGTTCATTTTGTTTCCGTCTTTTTCTCTTCTTTTTTTTTTTTTTGTTTTGTCTGCCGTTTTTTCTTCTTGCGTGTAGTGTCTGTGCCTTTTCCCCTGGCTAACGAAGCAGCATGCCCTCTCTCCCTCGACCCCGTGTTCTGTTGCTGCCTGCATGCGAAGCTCCGACGCCTCCCAAGGACAAGAAAAAGCGCTCTCGCTCAAAGTCGCCCTTTGGGAGCTGGCGCAGGAAGAAGTCGCCACTGGATGACTCTGACGAGGCCGCCTTCTCAGGTAGACACGCACCTAATGCGGGAGTTTGTTGGCATAATGTCGGCGTTTGTTGGCCAAATGTGGGCATTTGTTGTCCCTATGTGGACATTCGTCGGCATAGCACCGGGTTGTTGACCCGATGCTGGCACTCAATGGCCGAACGTCGACATTCATTGACCCGGTGCCATGGTCTGTCGGTTTATTGCCAGCATTCGTTGGCATAACACGGGCACCTGTCGACACAATACCGGCGATCGTCGGCATAGCGCCGGCATTAGTTGGCGTAATTCTGACATTCGTTGGTGTAATGCCGATGCTCATTGACCTATTCTCGACGTTCTTTGGTCTAGTCCAGCATTCGTTGGGTGCCTTATTTGAGAGTCTAACCAGGCCGGCAGTCAGATCTGGGTGTTGTGAGGTGGGGAGTCAGCGTTCACTTTATATTGCATTTTATATGTCCGCTACAATGGGGGAAAGGGTTTTTCTATGTCTATGTGTATCGTATGGTAGATATGATATTTTTTTATGTCGGTATGACACCTGTCTGCATCGAAGTTGGCTGCATGGGACTTGAACCAGGTGTATCTTTGAGGTGCGTCGGGTATGACAACATTGTGAGTTGTTACTGCTTCCTGGGGAGAGTTTGGGGCAAAAGGGTGTAGGGAGCATTTGCAGCTAGGAACGATGCGAGGGGTTAAGAAAAATTAATACTGCACGTTTTGACACTGGGGAAGAAGCTCGGGACCACCTGGTAGCGCTGTAGGCGTTTTTAAGTTCTGTACGCTAATCAAGCCCCCAAATCTACGTTGACGGAAAGAGGCATAGCCAAGGACTTTGGGGGGTGGAAAGTCTTTTCCAAAAGAACTCGGTATCAGTCATGTTTGAAAAAACGGTAGATGTCTAGGGGGTTTTCGATGAATTAGTAATTTGTGTTTAAACTTTTTTTAAATGAGTAATAGAAGGTGTCAGTCCACAAGACTTGTTCAAAACACCAATTATTTTTTTAGGGCAAGGAAAAAAAGGATGCACATGTAATTTTATTCATTGTTACATTTAATAGGTATGAAATGCTAGCAGTAAAATTAATCTACTCTGTATACTTAGGGCGATAGATGTTTTGGATTCAACTTGTCAAGTTGAGGTTTTGAGAGGAAAACTGACTTTGTGAAGTTGCTCATAAGAGAGGATGGACTTACTGGCTGTCTGACTGCCAACAAATGCCTGAATGACATATACTCTCAGTAGTTCTGCAGAATTTCGGGGTGTGCCTGTGCTTGAACCTTACCTGTAGAACACCTGGCATGATGATAGTTCTGCTTTATTTTTTGTTATTTGAGCATGGATTGTTTTACATACCCGTCATTTTTTTTCCTTGTTGCACATTGTTTATGCGAAGGAGTGGCATTGCATTGTGACTTTTGTAGCTGTTGCCATCCAGGAGAGTTGGAAGAGACTGAATTAAAGCGGTTATACCACAAGAAGGAGGCACATACTAATCGTTTGACGAAGCAGTAATTCCCGTGGAATCGCACGTGGTAGTACCACACAATTTTGGAGACGAGTCACGGTTGCTAATTTGCGTGAGAAGGGAAGTGCAGGAGGGAAGTTGCCTTACGTCGGCAGAAGCCAATTCTGATGCTGTTTCAGCTTATATTTTTGGAAGATGGCAGGGCGGCAAGCCCAAATATACACGCAGTGCAAGCCTTTGGTAGGATAATCAGTTGCAGCTCAAATAAACGGGGATTGGACTGGCCGTGCTTTTCATTCCGAAACTGTCAGCGGTGATAGGCACTACGTAACTGGCTCCCTGTCTCGTTTCCAGCCCTTGTAGAGCGCAGCTCTTAGGCGCCCAATTCCAGCTTGAGCGGCGCCGTAACCGCACTTTGCATTATGGGACATTTTCCAGAATGATGTCACAAAGGTCACGACCTTCAGTGTGAAGGTCACGACCTTCATGTGACCTTCACTCGTGAAGCTTCGCGAGGCCTTCACGAGTGACGTCTCGAGGGAGGAGGGAGGGGTGGGAGGAGGAGAGGGTACAGAGGAGGAGAGGCATACCCTCCTCTCCGTATCCTCTCCTCCTCCTCCTCAAGAGCTGCGCTCTAATTCAACATTACAAAGAGTTGTAAACACTTTTTTTTTTTTTGTTAAGTGACAGAATTGGCCGCATCGATTGGGTTTCAACTTGGTAACGTTTTTTGTACTAGAGACGAGAGGCTCGCAGCAGTTAGCCGTGATTACAACGGTACACCTTTGGTCCTCCTGGAGTCTCGGCGTCACAGTAATGTTGCGGTTTCCCGTTGCTCGGTGCAGAGAAGCTCAGCGCTCCGACTGATGAAGATGGCCAATTCGAGGGGCTGTTGCTGAGGAAGCACGAGTGGGAGTCGACCACCAAGAAGGCCTCTAACCGGTCAGTTCTTTCTCAGAGGGCCTTGATCAATACTATGCATCAGGGGCAGCTCCAACTTGACCCCAATGTGATGGTTGGGGATAGAAGTGCATGTTTCATATTGCACACGGTTGCCGGTTCAAAAGTCAGAAGTTGCCTTTAAGCATTTGTAATGAAAGAAATATCTCCCTTATTTGGCCACAAAAGCTCTCAGATGAAATCAGTCCAGCTAGAGCCTGGTTATGGAACTGTTCCCAGCTTGGACTGAGACTAACTACCAGCTGGATCTAGTTGAGATCAGCTTCATAATTCAGCTCTACGCTGGGGGGGGGGGGGGGGGGGGGGGGGGGGGGGCGGGGGCGGGGCGGGGGGGCGGGGGGGGCAATTTGGCTATTTCATTTAAAACTTAAAAATTATTCCAACTTTTAAAATGAATGATAGAGTGCTAGCTGGAGCGTTGTGTTCACAATGAAGCAATGTTTCTCTTTAATCTGTCGACTCATTCGTGCACCACCGTTTTGCCGATACGGACAGGTTTCGTGCCGCTGTTTAGTCATTGGCATTGACGGCGATTACAGGTCATGGGAGAAGGTCTACGTGGTGATCCGGGGAGCCGTGCTTGCTGCCTACAAGGACCAAAAGCATTATAAACAGGTGCGGACGGCGTGCCACTCTTTCAGCAGAATATGGTCGTCTTTGGGTGATGCAACGTGTAATCGAACCTCGTCTTTAAAAAATTTGGGTCACATCTAGTGCGTCTTTACAGTGTGAGAAAGACAACGAGCTTATTGCCTTCAATTTTCCAGGGTTGTCAGCTCTTTTGCCAATTTCATGGACATCACCTTTAGTAGTCAAAGAGAGAAATGGTGGTATTGACCGAAAAACAGCATGAATCCATTGCTCATGCTACTTTCTTTTCTAAACTTTTCACTTTTTACGAGGAATGAAGTATTACGATGTAAAAATACATTTTAACCGTGCAGTTTACTGGTGGCCTTTGGTCACCGTAACTAAACTCGTTTCCCGAAGCAGTCGTGCACATCCCAGTCTTGGCAACTCGCTGTAACTCTTTCGAAAGACGGTGCTCGCTGGAAAGGTTTTGAAGTCGTCTTTTGTAGGTTGATGATTGGTGGTAACTGGCGAGAGTGCAAGCGGCGTGGCGTGTAGGCGTCTCGAGCGACGGGTGCCTCTGGTAACTTTCGGTGACTGGGGTGCCCTCCGCCGACGCAGGAGCCCGAGAGTCACTACCGCAACGAACCTCCCATCGACCTGAGGACCGCCACTGCCGAGGTCGCCGCCGACTACACCAAAAAGAAGCACGTGTTCCGGTTGAAGTGAGTGCCAGCTTTTTTTCCTAATTGTTGCTTTGTGTGACTGGAGTTCCGAGGGTGACCAGGCTCTCAGGTCAGCTCTTTGCAGTGTTTGCAATGTTTTCGTACAGAAATGTGTGACGTGCCGGCGATGCCTCCACGATTGCTACTAAAAGAAGCAAAATTGTTGTTGAAACTTTTGACGGCAAGATTGGCGTCACAGGTTCGTGCTGTAGACGAGAGATTTGGCCGGTGCAGCACAACTGCTAGTTTTGGGTGTTCAATGTGCATCATGCTATTTGTGCGAACAAACACAATTTTTTTTTTCTTCTTTTTTTATGTAAGGTGTTGTAAATGTTTTTTTTCTTAATAGCTGGGAAAACGATCTTCGGGGGGGGGGGGGGGGGGGGGAGGAGAGCTTGTGGGAAGTGGCTGTGGGTTGATTTTGCACGTCTGTTGCATCCCGAAAGCATCGAACTCCCACCTTTGTTTCCTGTCCAATTACTGTGCTGTATAAGAGACACAAAGACTGTAGTCCACCCGCTGGAAATTGTGTTAGCTGGGTTCGTATGATCCGCAGGACTGTACAAGCACTGGGCTTTTAATAATGAGTTTCTTACAACGAATTAAAGGTTTGGCTCGCACGGCGAAGAATAACTCATGCGCTTCTTTTCTCTCTGGTGGTGTTGGCCACATTTTATGACATCAAAAATGGAACTCTTGATAATCGTGTCCATTTTCTTTCTCTTATTACAGACTTTCCAACGGAGGAGAATTTCTTTTCCAAGGAAGGGACGACGTAAGTTTGATCCCTGGTCTTGGCATTGTAGCATCGTTGTGGCAAAAGGTGCCGCAGAAATGCACCCTCTATGGTCCAGTGCAGTGACGTGGAAAATGCTGTTTCGATAGTTTCGTTTTATAGTATTGGTTCTCTATCTGGAATCCTGGGAACATTACAGTTCCCCAGAGTACCCCCGGGGGGGGGGGGGGGGGGTTCTCTCCAAACTCTTTTGACTGCCCCTGCCCCTAAGTGAAGCATTTTTCCTACGTTAGCGGGTTTGAGCCATTCATTGATGCATAGCTATGTGCCAAACATGTATGGGCATTGCTGCTTACCAGGGCTGTACGTATCTGCACCGCTTTATTGCGTCAATGCCCAGCCTGGGAGTTGGATCCAAAATTAGAGACCCAGATTGATACAGCAATTGCAGCTTGCGTCACGTGAGTCCCTCTGGTGGAGGATGTTCCTGTGGCCTCGACTAGAGTCGCTAGATATGCCACGCTTAGAGCATTCACACTCTATTCTTCGACTGTCTTGTGGGAGCTGCCATTTTGGTGCCTAGCGCAGAGCGGGCACAACTGCTGACGGTTACAGCGCAGAAATGCAACTTCCCAAACTTAAGATACGGTGTTGGGACGATCAAAAGACGTCATTCTTGGAGGGGAAGAAAGCGTTTTCCGCACATTCAGATCAAGTTTCGGATAACTGCAGTTGGTGATTTGAAGCGACATAATGGCCAAACTGGTACTACCCCGAAACGTGCCTTGTTCAGTAAATCTAGCCTCTACGTGCGACTTTTACTTTCAACCGTTTTCCGATCAGACGAGCACTATAGCGGTGTCTGTTCAATTCGTGTACGATACATGAAATAAATTATTGTTTGATTGATTGGTCGGTCGGTTGCGTGCACAGGAGGAGATGGGCCAGTGGCTGCAGAAGGTGCAGGCAGCCATTGGCGAGGCGGAAGGGTCGGCGGGGCCCTCGAGAGCGCAGACACTGCCAGCCGAGCGCAAGGACGAGCCCAAGAAGCGCAGCTTCTTCACCCTCAAGAAGAAGTGAGTGCCCTCCTCATCTCGCGGCAGCTCTCGGCGACGCACTTAGCACTGCCCGTTCCTGGCCGACCACCGCGGGAGCTATACGCTTACCGGTCTAATGAACCGTCTCGAGGGACCAGATGAAGAAGGAGACGGTGCTGTTTTTGTTCATACGGTTCCTTATCCTTTGCACAGATTTAATTCTCAAATATGTCGTACCAACTAGCCCAAGCCTCAACTTTAGCCTCTCTCTATGGGTGGGTATAGGAAAAGGTATGGCAATGTGGAAAAAAGCCGACAGTGCTTCCGTCGCACTGTCGGCTTGGAGGCTAACGGGGATGGCTTTTTGTGTTTTCGGTGCGTGTCGACGAACCCCGAAAAGTAACCGCCATGCCGGTTTTCTAGGAATTGTGGAAGACCTGCTCCGAGCAAATTGTTACAGAACGCCAGTGTCGACTTTGGGCCAACTGTGTCGGATGGCCTGTTTAAAGCCGATTAATGCTGCAAATAGGCCGTCAAGGTCATTCTATGTATACTGTGGGAAAATGGAGCTTTTGAAGAGTTTGTTTTGCCATTGATTCCGGCGTAAGCATGGGGATTTTTATTGTTTAGAAAGTTTATATAACATCTGCTCACGCCGTGCGCTTTGTTTGCATGCCACCCTAAACGTGACTTTGTCCTCTTCTACTTTGCAGTTGAAGTGGAGCGAGGGGAAGACAATAAAATGTAAGAAAAATTTCTGGGCTGCTACCGAGACAAGAAGAAGAAAAACTTTTTCCGTTCTTTTCCTCTTGGCGTTTTCTCCCTTACCACACATTTGTTCTCCGCCGTCTTCTGCCAAGCCTCGTTGGAACGAGCATCGCTGCCACTGCTGCTGCCGTCGCGGTGTTTCATCCCCGTCTCTTCTCCCCCTCGTCCGGGGAAACAGAATAACACTAAAAATCGACCCCCCCTACCTTTCCCCGATCTCCCCCCGACATTTGCCGACATCTACCCGGCGTCGCCCCGCCCGACGTCCTTGCATCGCCGCAAACGTGCAAGACGCGCGAGCCAAGCAACCAACCACCGCATCAGCACATTGACATCGTTGTTGTTTCTTCACACCGCACTGTCCGGGAAAAAAAAAACAAAGATTTTTTTCCTCTTCCGGTGTTGACGCTTGCGAGACAGAATGTCCGTAGTGTTGTTTCGAGAATCCGTTCCTTAAAAAGAAAAAAAAAAAAAAAGTTTTGAGCATTCCTTTTTTAACCATGCAGCTAAAGGAATGGTTTGGGCGGCGTTTTATCGGAGTTTCGTCTTAGTTTTAAAGCGTTTCATAGTGTTCTTCCCACCGGGCGCGAGCGGCGTTTTACGTGTCTTATCAGAATTTTCCTTTTTTTATTTTATGTACCTGGTTCAGCAGTATCTGGGGCTTCTTTTTGTTTCCTGTCTCAAAAGTAGATCATGTTTTTTTAAAACAAAAAAGAGAACGCGAAAGTGACGACAGATTTTTGCCGGCCAAGCGCCGGCTCTGTGTATGTTTGTTTGTGTTTAGCCTTCTTCACTTTGTTCGGTAGACCAGTTCTTTTTTGTTTGTTTTTTTCGTGCGCGTTTAATTGTTGGGTTTTCTCGTTCGTCTCGCTACTACTGCCTTTTTGGTTTCTTGCAATCTATTGTGAAATATATATATATAGCTTCTTCAGAGGATTAAGGAGACAAAAAAAAAAAAAAGCTTTCTTTAGCTTGCCTCTTTGTCGGTCATCAGTAACATAGCTCGTCGTTGCAAGCATACTCTTAGAGGTGCAGGTTTCCACCGTTTCGAGTAAACCGAACCACCCTGTAAAGCTTGAGTGACCACCGAGGCAGAAGCAGCAAAAACAAAAAAAAAGTGTGCGCTGTCGTTGTTGTGCTTTGTCAACGAGACGAGAAAGACTCGAAAGCAAGTTAGGGATCGCTTCAAAGACGCGTTATACCAATGTTCTTTTTGGGTTTTTTTTTTCTTGAACCATCTTTGCGTTATTGTCTTGTGTCGTCCTAACTGTAGCGGAAGATGACAGAGGCAAGTAATAAAGAATTGACGCCTTAGCGGCAGCTATGCTCTCTGTCGTTGTTTTTTTTCTCCGTTTGCGCTGTGGGGCCGAGCTCAAAGATTGCTGGCTCCGCTTGCAATACAAGTGCGGACGAAGTTTGCGCGACAGCAAAGTGTGGTACTGTTTAAAGGGGGGATGCAACAATTTTCTTTTTTTACTTTCAGTAAATTCTGCTTAGAATGATTCCTCAATATTGCTGACATTACAATTGCCGATAGAAAAAAAATGTCTACTTTTCCTCTTGAAATTGTATGGCGACAAAGAAGCTTCCTGGTCGGTGGGACCCTCTAGTGCCAGTAGGCTTGTGTAAAGTGAGAAACATTCTTATCTTTTATTGTTGCACTTGTTCCTCTCCAATATTGTTGCTTTAAAGCGGTACTGTAACACAATTTTAGCACCTATTGTCAAAACCAAAACATAACGAACAAACCGATTACCAGATTACACCTGGTAGATGTTTTCGAATGTCGTCGCGTCTCCCTTTTAAAAGCAGTGCCGCTCCGCGGGAGTATGGCGGGAAACTGAGCGGGTCCTGTCAAACCTGGCCAAACTGGATTTCTCTTCTCTCCCGCACCCCTCCTAAAAGGAAAGGAAAACTCGAAGCGGAGGCTAATCACTTTACCACTTCCGCTAGCATTGCCGACCCAGTCGTTGGCCATCTTGAATGGCCAGGTTTCAACGCATTCATTACCAAGTGGCGAAGCTCACACTCTCTCATGGCTGCTCTTCGAGCACTCGCCGGAATCGGCCATTTGGAACAAATACTATAGTCGTCCATTCAAAATACGAACGTGAGATTGTCATCATGTTTAACTTGTTTCTAAGTGTGAGAGGTATATTTGAATTTTCATTTCAGTGTGAAAATAGTTCTAGTGTAGTGTCTTTGCACCATAATCTGATATTTTGTCTGAAAAGAACATTTTGTTTGGGAGGTGGTGTCTCTATAAGAACAAAATAGGGACATTTAGTGAAACTGTCGAAAAAGTTTAGATCCACGTCCGATGGCAGTGCAAGTGAGGTGCTTTTCCTAAACAGTCGCTTTACACCGTTGCCTGGTGACGAAGGTAAACTTTCAACTTGGTCAACTGTTGCTTTTTGTCGGAATGCCTGCTTGTTGAAAAGTGAAGTATCTGCACATGCTGCATATGAAAGCAGTACTACTGCCATAATGTTGCCTCAGGAACATGAGTTCATAGATTTGTAGAAGTATATGCCAAAATGAATGCAATGCATACATTGTGTCCGCTAGCTCTTGCTGCCTCAGAAAAGGTAAGAAATCTTAAGGTCGCAGCATAGTAGCTCTATGCATCAAAGGGCACATGCAGGTATATATGAGTGCTCAGTATTAAATTATTATTAATAGGAATTTGTGCCAACATTGTGCTAGAAGTCTATTAACTTTCTCAATACTGAAACATAATAGATTGGGCACTAATGTCCCGGCAACCTGCACATACATTTTTTTTTTCTCGTATTCAAGTTGTAGAAGTAAAGGGATTTATAAATCTCGGTTCAATCTCCCTCTATGCAGGTACTGGACTCTTCAAGAGAACTCAAGACAAAACATATTTAGTTAAACAATTTGGCAGTAGATAAATGGAACTTTGCAATTTAACTTCTTCAAGCTATGTAGGAGTTTAGTTTAAGAAAACATTCTTCTTGCCCAGGGGCAAAATACTATTGTGCATAATTGAGTGATGGCCAAACTTCAATACTAACATTGTTTCAGTGGTACACTATTGGTTTACCCAATTTCATACCTAAAATTACCATTCATGTATGTTTAGGCTATGTTTCTCCAAGTCAACATGTGCTTAGAAAGAAGCAGCTGCATGGCATTGCATGACGACTGGTGCCTTTATGTACACCTAAATGGCCAATTGAGTATTTGGTGAAATTAAAACCTAAATGGCCAATTGAGTGTTTGGCGAAATTAAACCATCTGTTGTGATATGAGGAAAAGCAAAGGCATTGCATTTCAGTTGAATAGGCCATCTCCTAAATTTTTACATAGTATTTGCAGTCAAAAGAATGAGACTGAAAGGGCACCCAAAGATGAGTCTGACCAATCGCATAACTGCACATGCAAATGGTATGGAGTTCATTGAGTCCCCTTCAGATTTCTTGCACAATAAAGGTTCAACATGGCACCCAAAGATGATTCTGACCAATCGCATAACTGCACATGCAGATGGTATGGAGTTCATAGAGTCCCCTTCAGATTTCTCGCACAATAAAGGTTCAACATAATGTACATTTTATTGCTGTCAGTCTCAACCAAGTGCCGGCAAAAGTTTGCGCTCTTTTCTGACATTCTTCTTTCGTTTTTTCTCCAAGTACTTCTCCAACTTGCCAGCCTTCTTCAGTTCCTTGAACCTCTCGGCAAGCTCAATCTTGCGCTTCTCGGCTGAAAAAGAGATACGACTGAAGATGTGACGCTGGAAAAATGTCTAAATGAGCACGGATACATGGCAGAGCTCATAATCGTCAAGTTATGTGGACTATTGAACATTTTATGGGGCTGCAAAAAGTGAGCAGTTTGAACCCTGGATTGATGAAAGGGATCGTAGTAAATGTTCCTTTATGTTTCACAGTTTACTTTGTGCATTCCACCACCCTATAGACATGCCCGGTGTCTGTAGGGTGGTGTAAAGGTGGGAGGGTTTAAACCTCTACAAGCTGAGAGTTTGGTGTAGCAGTTGGGAGAACTGAGCAAAGTTTGGGTCTGGCGAGATTCAGTGTAAATTTGTCGGACGTGTACGCATGCACAAACTGGTTGGTGCACAGTGAGCACAGCTTTGTGTTGTCCCTTCCATTCCTCCTCTCCAGTCCACAATTTCTAGACTTTGAATGTTTTAAAACATGTAGATAAAACGAAAAAAAAAAAAAAAAAACTGCATGCTTTGTATTGATTGTTGAGTGCTATTATAGCATTCAAAACTGCTTGATTAAAGGAATGTTTCCCAGTCTGCATTGTAATACTAAAGTAACCTAACTGGAGCACTTGTGCAGCAGTTCTTTTTTGAGCTCTGATATTGTGTGGATGCCCAGCATATGAGCCCCATGGACCCATAAAACACACACTTGTGCAATACAGATAATACAGATCTGCAAGATTATATTATCAGTGCAGTGATAACACTATCATTCATGGGGAGGTTACCCACAGAGGAGTAGTATCATATTCCCAAAGAACAAGGTAATAGTTGACAGTTACATGTAACCTAACTTTAATCCAATTAAAAATTTATTTTGGCTAGAAAACGAATGCTGGTAGCATTAAAGTCTCAGGATGGCCTTTGTATGGCGGAAACACAATCTATACACTCAGAGTATCCTAGAAAATCCAAAATTACGATCATGCGTGGCCTTTTTACAGCGAAGCTGTATATTTCTACCAGCCAAGGAAATTTTCGTGTCGTTGGCGTTGTAAGCAAAAAACTTCCGGCGAACAATTGAAGGCAAAACAGCATGTCTCCTTTGAAATCAGGCATACAGCATACAGCTCGGTATCCGTTTCAATAAAGAAAACCACAAAACAAGCATCAAAACCACATGATGGATGATAAGGTGTGTGTGAACAATCCCACACGTTCCGGTAAAGATTAGGATTGCAGCTGCTTCGAAAGGGGTAGACGTCGTTCAAAGCCCTCATGTGAAGTGCAAACCGCATAATGGATGACGACGAAGCCTACGAACAATGCGAAGCACGTTCCTTCTCCCCACGTGTTTTTCCCGGTAAAGATTACGGTTGCGTAAGCTACTCCGAGTAGAAAAGTACCGAACAGCATAGAAATCACGTAGTGACGTCACCATGCTTTCATATATAATGTGCTTCACCAATGCAACTCAACCAACCACCATTCATGGATCATGCATTGATTTAACCTTAGCAAAGAACATCTCTACAGTGAGAACCGAAAATCTCAGTGTGCATCACACTGATCATAAAAGAGTCGTGAATGTCGTTGTGAAGTAATAAAGGATGTGGTTAAGTACTTTTCACTTGTCTCTGGTTTCACTTTTTGTAGAGCCATGTGCGTGGATTTTCAAGTGACGCCGCAATGGATAATCGTGGGTGTCATTTACAGCTTCGCTGTCCAGCCACCTCCACAGCATGGATTGGAGCCACAGCTATTTCTCAAGAACTCTGACCAAATACTGTGACACGCCCCTTTTTTTAAATGCAACATGTAAACTAACGCTTCCAAGGCACTTCAGACAGCCCGCAAAAATTGGTTTCTCAATGTATCACGCTGCAATCTACCACAAAGGTGCAAGCAGGTAGTGGAAGTTTACAGTAAAAAAAATCAAGGAATGAAAATAAACAAAAAAAAAAAACCTGTTTTGGGCAATTTACGACCACACACTGCAGACGGTGCACATGTAGGGAGAAGTGCTGCCGACATTCCGATTACGATAGCAGACGATCCTGCAAAAGAACCCGAATCAGCCGGCGCTTCCTCTATGCAGCGTAAGCCATCTGTTGGCAGCACTTCTCTCTATGCAGGCATTGTCGGCGATGTGGCAGCATAGATTGCCCAGAACAGGTTTCTTCTTTTTCTCTTCTTTAAACAAGGAAAGCTTTTTCTTCTTTTTTTTTTTTTTTCACTATAAATTTCTATTACCTGCTTGCGCCTCTGCAGTAAATTGCAGCACAATACGTTGAAAATTTGATTTTTGCAGGCCATGAAGAAACGATTTCATAAACCACTTTAGTGACCCTCCCACAATGTCATGCAAGCACTTCCGCTTACTCTTGTTGAGGTACAAGGGCTTGTTGTCGCCCTTGTGGCCCACGAGGAACTTGTGGTACTGCTTCTCCAGTTCCACCTTCTTGCTCTTGATTCTCTCACTGGCCTCTTGGTTTTGCTACGTGCAGGGAAACCAACAAAAAACGGACAACCTTAAGTTGTGCATCCTTGATCGGTTTGTGGAGCTGGACGGATGAGGTGCCTGTGCTAAGCCAGCGCTATAAAAATGGAAGACGTGCACAAAAATACCCGTATAATTATGCTTCCACGTTTTCAGAGTTCATCTTTGGTGCAAATCAGAGGGTGTTTTTCCGAATTTGTTTTTCATGGCAGATTCGGCATTGATTTCTGTTAGATCATTGATTCTCCGAAATTCTGCACTTCTTTTCTAAGTTTACTGTTTTTGGTTACGTTCCTGGTTTCCCATAGTTCTTCATGAAATGGAGTAGTATCAGCACACCAATGCATCAAAGGACAGAAAAAACCATCCCAACTGTGAGAAATATATATTAGAAATCTGAAGGATTATAGCTTCCACTTATATCAGAAATGCTCCAAACCCAGATGATGTTGTGGTCTAGATTGCGAACCAGAACAGATGCTAATGCAATCACATACATGATTGGCTTCTTTTGCAACCCAGAGACACAGCAACATTGACCAATTCGCTTGAATAGATGCTGATAACAAGCACCCTTTAAAATGTCAAAGTCTTTTAAACAGCGCAAATCTTACCAGCAAGTGTTTTTCTAGGTTTCACCGGTTTTATCCGAAAACACAGAACCCTAGTCATCCAAAATCTGGCTCTAGAATCTGGCTCAAAAATGTCCCTACCATTTTCTGGAGCAGGCCCCTGAGCGTCTTTCGACGGCTCGGATCTTTCTCGTTGCGGATCATTTCGGCCAGCTCTTCTCTCTCCTTGGCTTTGATGTCTTGCACAAAGGAATAAGTTTCTCTAAATACTCGCTCGTCGAAGTCGCCGGCCCTAGAACTGAACCGCGGATCTTGATGAACCTGGGAAAACACAAAAAAAAGTTGCCTGGCTTAGGCCTTCAATCAAATGGAATCAAGCTGCAATGGCACTTGATGGGCTTTTCATTGAACAGCACTTGCTATTGGAATGATCTGCAATGTGACATGAGGAAAAATAAACTGTGAATGTACAGTCATGTCTCATTAACACAAACATATCCGTTCCCCAGAAATAGTCGTAAATAGTGAGAGTCATCCATAATAACAAATCAAAGTCAAAACACACACATCAACAAGCGACATGGTCTCTGACCGCTTCTGCTTCTCGCCTAATCGTCTGCTCTGCCTTCCAAATGACCAGAGTAGCGTCCGGCCTTGCCTTTTACGCCAATGAGAGGCTTATGACCTAAGGGGGCTTTTGCTGTGAACCACTTCAAGGACAAACATTTCCCCCTACCCTTCATACTATACTCCGTTTGACCGCAACTTGGCAAAAAGTGAACGCTGCCCCGTCGGCCAATTGGAGTGACCGCGGCAAAGCACGTGACAGCCTTTACCAAAAGTGCGGGGGCAAAGTGTAGGTGGAACCCAAGCAGTTGGAGAAGAGGGGAAGGAAGCATTTTGCAAAAAATGCTTAACTCAGCTTTTGGGATTTTTTTAAAATTTTCTATTTGCTTTGTTCTATTAGTCCTTATCAAGTGCTACCAATCTCAATGTCTAGTTTTCTTTCGCCCATTTAGAATAGCTCATATGTATGTGCAAGCATTGCGCTACATGTTAAAATTGTCTTTAAGGAATCTGTATTTTGCGTGAAATGCTCAACTCCTCATCCGTGCTTGCCTTCTATTTTCTGCTTGGCTCTTGATATTGCTCTTACCAGAACCACCAATGACTATGTCTAGCTTTGTTCCGCCAGCCTAAATTTTGCTGAAGTATATTTGTGAACTTTCTTAGTATATTGCAAAAGTATTTCAAACTTTCTGTTCTTTTGCACTTCCCCTCATGTAACACATTCCTGGGAAAATGTCCTTGAGGGCAATGATCCTAAACTTGGACTTGGAACCTCTTTTATGTGTCCCGGATGTCGCTTTGTCCGCCCTGTCACTCAAAATTTGTGCAAAAGCGGCATTCTTCTCTCCTCTGCCCGTGTTTTCAACAGCACTGCGCTACCTAGTAAGTCACGTGTCTCTTTCAGACATGCTGATGGGCTCGCTTGGACTCTAGCCTTCGACGTTTGACGAGCTACATTGAAACGGAGTATAGGAGAAATCTGCTTCATGGGTCCAGGGCTTCTCTTCAGGTCCCCACTTGGGTACAGACCTATATGACAAATCAAAACGTGGCCAATTAGTTGTTCTTTCAAAAGAAACAGAGGTTGGTACAATGTGAAAAAAAGATTTTAAAATTTTATTTGTTGAAACTACAATGTATGTGTGGAAGGTATATAATAAACACTGAAACCTCCACAGCTATGTCAAATTAAATGACAAATAAATAAAATATATGACAAAATTTAAAAAAAAAAAATTCAGGCCATCCAAAATATGCACCATACCCACGGTTATCACTTCTGAAAGTTTGTGCACTCTAATTGACGTTGTCTATTTTTGGTTCGTCAGAGTTAGCCTCCGTAACATGTATGCTTTTCAACGAAGGAATGCTTATATTGGTGAAACACATATAGTACAATTCACATCTCCAGCAGAATGCTTTCTTAGTGTTCTACCTTGGTTTGGTTACAGCCTTGATTGCAGTTCCTTCATATTTAGCATTTCTGTCCGCCTTGTTGGGAACATAAAACATGCACGCCGGCTCACGAGAGCCTTGGAAATTATAGTGATGCTTACCAACTACCATCTGATAAGCGACGTCTATAACATCCTTTAAAGGTATACTTCAACGAAATTTGAAATATTCCCATCGTGTTCAAAAAAAGGTTGAATATGATTCACAATATCCGTAAATGACAATCGCACGTTTGTATTTTGAGCCTGGTGGCTGTATTTTTTGTTATAAACGGCCCACTCTGGCAAGCGCTCGGAGAAGGCCCAGCGGAGACCATGTGACATCCAACGCAATCGTGACGTAGGTCGTCTCAAGACGAGCAAATCTACGCCGAGGCTGACGTCGAGAGGATGGCCTAGTTGTTCCAGCCACCGAAGCGGCTGCTTTTGTACGAATTTTGAGTGACAGGTTAATCTTCTATAATCTTGTAGGGGGCAACAGCGACTTCTGCAACACACAAAAGGCATTCTCGGGAAGAGGGGAGTTCCTCCTTCCCCTCTTCTCTTGTCGTGGCCGGAGGCGAGACAACCTCCGTCACTAGCCGTCAAGGTTCCTAGACGGGCATTACAAACGAGGCGTTAGCGACATCAACCAGGTGCTCTTTGCTAATCGTTTAATTTGTTTTAAAATTCCTTTTCGAGACTTTTTTAACGATATATTGGTATGTTCGATGTGATACTGCTCCTTTGAACACATATAGACAAAAAAAAATGAGCGCCGAAATTTTGTTGTAGTATCTCTTTAAATGTCCCCAAAGCTCAAGGTCGAGAAAATATGCCACAGTACAGGTGAATTATGTAAATATCCCATCTTTGTTATGAAGACTGATGCAAGTTAGACAAATGCAACTACCGTTTCCAGGACTATTTCTAACGGCCCACCAGCTTGTGATAAAGCTCAAACCTACATTCAACATGAAACTACAGTTCTTCGGCTATCCACGAAATTGTGGAACATAATTCTTTGCACTAAATTTAATTTCTTGACGGCGCTTGGAAACCACCAATCACCGGTGATCGATGGCCTATGGGCGCGGTCAGGAAAGAGTGAAAATTGAAGTTGCTTAAGTATTCAACTAAACGAAGAACTTCGGAAAAATGTGCATGTGTAGTGAACTGAGTAGTAGCAGAGCTTGTTTTTGTTTTGTTTTTGGCCCCGTTTTCTACGCTGCAGATTATGGTTACCCTATGTATAAAGGACTTATCTTCTTCCTCATCTATGCACCTCTTCTTTGGGGCATTGCATCATTTTCTCTGAAATGTTGCCACATGTACAATCTGACCATGACATGCCTCTGCCTACTAGGTTATTCTGATAATAGGCAGTTGCTACCCTACTGCAGAATAGAAGGAAGAAATGGGGTGGGGGTGGGGGTGGGGTGGGGGGGTGTGGTATGCCGCTTACCTTACCTCACCTCACCCCTTCTCGACTCTGCATGACACTATGGCACTGGTCACGTGCAACATGCAGATTAACAGCAATTCAGAGGGGGAACACAGGAAATGTAAAGAAGAAGGCTTGGCAAAATTATAGCTTTTCGCGCGTAGGCTTGCGTATGAAACAAGCATTGCCTACCTTCTTCTTGACTTGGAAGACTTCTCTGTACACTGGGACCTGATGCTTTGCTGACTGTTCTCTCGGCCTTTGAAGAAAAGGTGGAAGTTGTAGGAACGAGATTCGAAGTAAGAATGCCTTACCTATTTTTGTTGTCTCGCTTGAAATTTTTCTTGGACTTCTTGCGGTCCACCCCAAAGACGGCTTCTTTGTACCTTTGGTTCGGAAGCGTGGGGGTGAGAGCTTTAGAAGGCGAGTCATATTAACGGCTAAGAGGAACGGGTTAAGGGGGGACATGGCCTGGGAGGGTCAACTTTTGAACCATTGTCTCAAAGTGATTCAAACTTTCAGGGTGAATTGAGCCCCTTTAGGATTGGTGACATCTAAAGTTTCAGCCTTATAGGCCAATTCTACAACATATTATGCTTAACAAGCTTTAGAAAAAAGTTACTTTATTAGGAAATGTATTTAAAAAAAATAATACTTGCAATCCACAAAATGTTTGGTTTAATGTGAAGTAGAATACCCACAGTGCAAGTTAAGGTAAAAATTAAATGTAGAAAATGCAATTCTAGAGAAAAACAATAACACCCAAAAAGAGCAAATGATTTTAACAAATTTCTGAGTTTTAAAATATTCACTTTTTGTCATGAAAAATTTAGCTTTTTCAGATTATGAGTACCTTAACATGTTCCTCAGGAAATTTCAGTCAAGGACACCACTGAATGAAATCTTTGCACTTTCAAAATGTCAAATGATACATTTCCTCGTACCACATTTCCTGCCAAAAAGTGAAACTGAGAAAAATGCATTTGAAGTTTCAACTTTGGGTTCTTTCTTTTCTGTGAGTCCGAGGTAGGCAAAATTCACCTGGTGCATTGTTAGCACCTTCCTCTTCGAGACTTCCCTGTTCCCCTGGCAATAGTTACCAGTTTGTGTCATTTGTAGGCTAGCTAACATTTGTAGCAGGCATTCGTTGACAAATAAACTGGCAAGAACTAAGAGGCAAATCATACTAAGGAAGAGCAGCAAAGCAGGAATAAGGTCTGAAGTGGACGATACTGTGAAAGGGTGTTACTGAAGATGGCACAATATCATGTCACCGGGCAGGGCCACTCGTAAACCCTGTTTCGGGTCTCAACCAATAAGATTGCTCATACCAAATTTTCAGAATTTTTTCTGTTTGGATGTATTGGGTCCTCCTAGCCATTGATACTTGTAAACTTGGAAAGCTTCTACGGGCTAAATCTAGAGTAAATAGCACTTCCAATGAGGGTGAGATGTTGCGGCTAGGTTAAAGGAGTATGAAGCAGTGCTAAATAAAAAACTCAAAAAGCTTGCTCCCTGCTGACTCAGAGGGCTGCCGACATGTCAAAAATAATTTATTCTGAGATAAATCCTGCATGTTTATAAATGAAAGTTTCTGAAACCATTCTTTGAAAGTTAATAAGCCTAAACATATCATTTTTGAAAAAAATGTTTTTCTCTGAAAATTTTGTATTCCGAGGCCATGTCCCCCCTTAAGCAACATTTACATACATTTTGAGGCCGATCTTCTCTTTGAGCGCGTGAAGCTCTTCAAATGACATAGAGGCAAGATCTGTAAAAACGTAATCAGTCGCATAAAAAAAAAAAAAAAAAGTCATACGATGAGTTTTTTGCGTGTAAAACCGTCTGTCTGTTCAAGGTTTGGGACGCAAACATTTTCGCCAGGTCACTTTCTTTGTTTTCCAAGACAACGAAAAAAGCGTGTGAGGATGAAGATACAGTTACACTTACCGTTCCTAATCTCGCCCTGGTCGAAACATGAAAATAAAAGTACGGTAGGTCAAAACGTGAGTGCGTTTTTACCCCAGAAAACGTTGACGAGACAATTGACACACCTCAGGTTTGTCTTCCAACTCGAAGTCATCGTCACCAGAAGCTTCGCTTGCTTCTGAATTTAGTTCATTGTCAGCCCCGTCAGCATCACTTCGATGAGAAAAGTCCACAGTAGGCTCGGCATCAGCGAACTCTTCGTCTTCGCTAGCAGAAGGTTGGGCAGCCTCCTTAGCTTTCACGCGTTTCGGCGGCTTCGTTTTCGTGGTTATTACAGTCTGCACAACTCCACGCTTGCTGCCAGCGTCCGCCTTCACTTTTCCCTTCTTCCGCATCATTTTCGTCGACTCAAATTATCCACAACTCGTAGAATTCAGTCACGTTTTTACGTACAACGACTTGTATGCGCCGCGAATCATGGAGAACGCCATGTTGGCCATGTTTACAGATTACGAAACGTTCGTTTATTCAAGCTTCAGAAACCCTGGAGTTAAACTTAGTGACACTCACAAGATGGAAACTACAACGTGACGTCATAAAGCGATGCGAACGGCACGGCGCAGGCGGCACACGGGTGCGAGGAGCAGACGGGAGCCACTCCCGTGTGGTTTCCTTTGATCACGTGGGTCTTCAAACACGTCACGCATTCTCTTTCACATATTTACTCGCCTACTTCCCCTCTTCCTTCAGTGACACATTTTTAACGGTATCACACGAAATGTGTCATGTCTGATGTTCGCATTTTTTCACCGAATGTACAGTCGCAACAGTTCAAAGTCTCTTACTCCCGTTATTGTCAATTGAGTTCAGATATCTAGATAATAAATGCCGGAGTTTGGCTCACCGATCTCCTCGGAGCTTCCAAAACGTCCGGTATAAAAGGCCGTGCGACCGCGAGTGTGTTTGGAAGCGTGTGTCTCTGACACATCTGAACATCGATCGCTCTTACCCAGCCGATCTGCTCTGATGATGTCGACCGAACACAGTCGGTGCTCCCGTTGCGCCCTTGGGTCGCACGGTCGAGCTCCGCCCGTTCCAAATTAGGCTGCTTTCTGCGGCTTCCTGGGTGTACAATCGGCACTTTCTCCTGTAGGTTACTAAAGTGGGGAGGGTAGCTACGTACAAACCTGCGCTTCCATGTGCTGGCACTGCTCGAGGCAGTCTGCCATATGTTTTCCTCTTTTGTTTCCCATCATTTTTTTGCTGGTATCTTCTCTTCGACGCACGTATCTTGAGCGCTTTTGGATCGCTCAAAATCCGCCAAGAGAATTCCAGATTATAAATTTGGAACTTCCCTACTTGCTGTTGTTGTTTTGCGCTGAACTCTGGTCATATTTGGCGCCGCTCGTAATATTGTTCTTGTCATCTTTCTTTTCGGCGGCGGCTGTCATATGACTTTCGTGGAATATTAATCAGACCACCGTTAGCTGAAAGTTTTTATTCGGTTCCACAAGAAAGGGGGTTGTAATCTCTCATTTGTTCTCTACACGTCCAAAAGTCATAAAATTTGCTTGAGACGAAAAAATAAATAAATAAAAACGGGAACAGATTTTAAAAATACTACTTATAATTACGTAGAGTTTGCTAATTTGGTTTTTAAGTATTGAAAATAAACACATGATTTTACTTAGTAACTTGCTGCCTGCGATCATCTTTCGAGCGAGGCGAAGTGTTTCTGCACGGTTGATTGCTTATCTTTAGGGTTCCGTGTTTTCGGAGTTTATTTTTCGTCAAATTCAGAGTGTTTTTCGGAGTTCATTTTTTGCCAGATTCGGAGCTTGTCGGAGTTTATATTTGTTTGATTCCAAATTATTCGAAATTCGGAGATTAATTTCGCAGTGTTCCGGATGCAAACGTATGCCAGATAAAAAAATAAAACGCGCTTGTATCAATTAAGATTTCTTCAGTTGAATTCGGTGTTGGTGTCATTGGCAATACTAATTTGTCTCACGACAAAAGTCGCACACAAGGGTGGCTTCGATAAACGTCGATACTTTAAAATCAATAAACTGCTGGAGGTAGCCGCAAGGAAGCTCGTAGTCATCCCATCAATCTCTCCCGCGGCCGCGCAAGGTAGAGTAACTAAGAAGTTTCAACTGCCCCTCTTCCCTATTTTGTACAATCTCTATGGTCCATAGCTTTCACTGTTACAGAAAGATACCCTCTCCTTTCTCTAAGTCCCATGGCCCAAACTGGAAACCAAAAGAGTGGCTTTTGTCGTGCTGCCCTGAACCAACCTTGACGAGACTTTTGACAACGGTCCGAGACTTGAAAGATAATTATGGTGTCATTTTCCCAAGACCTTTTTTTCTTTTTTTCTTGAGGGGGGGGGGGGGGGGGGAGGTGAGGGGAGGGGTAGCATGGCCATATTGTCATCCATTTTCATTTATTATATCTCTCATGGTCCGAAGGTATTACAAGGAGGTTCGGAGGCTCCTTGGTAATGACTCATAAGCAACGTAGCGTAGTAATGACTCATAAGCAACGTAGCAATTCGGATAAATCCGAACTGACAAAAATTTTACCGGCAAATGCTTTCCCGAAGCTTTTTTTTTTTTTTTTTCGGATTTATTCGAAAACACGGAGCCCTACATATCATATTTATTTATTTATTTATTTACCCTCAAGGTACATAGTACATTTCAGAGGGGAGGGAACACAAAAATTTTATAGCCATTAATTTTGATTTTTAAGTGGTAAAAACTACGTACCTAATCTACAATGTTTTCTTTTTTCTTTTTTTTTTTTTTTGCACGCAAAAATCATTTAAAACATTCTAAATGCTGCGTGAAAAAGCCGTTTACAACTCCCTGTAACACCGAATTAGAGCGCAGCTCTTGAGGAGGAGGAGGGAAGGGTACTGGGGGGTGAAGTGACCTGGGGGGGGTCACGTGACCATGCCGATGATGTCATCAGTGACGATGACGATGCGGACTCCGATGACGTCATCAGCGATTATGACGATGACGATGCGGATGTCGGTGACGTCACTGATGACCTCACCGGCATCCGCATCGTCATCGTCATCATCACTGATGACGTCATCAGTGACGTCACTGATGACGTCACCGACATCCGCATCGTCATCATCACTGATGACGTCATCAGTGACGTCACCGGCATCCGCATCGTCATCATCACAGATGACGTCATCAGTGACGTCACTGATGACGTCATCAGTGATGATGACGATGCGGATGCCGGTGACGTCATCGATGACGTCATTGGGGAGGTCACGTGACCCCGGCGGGGGTCACGTGACCCTGGGGGTGGTCACGTGACCTCGGGGGGGTCCGTGACCTCGTGGGGTCACCTGACTTCAGTGGGGTCACGTGACCTTGGGATGACCTTGGGGGCCACGTGACCTTGGGATGACCTTGGTAACGCCGACGCCGACGCCGACGGCGACGGCGACGCCGACGCCGCTCAAGCCGGGAACGGGCCCCTAAGAGCTGCGCTCTAAAAAATGATGGCAATTAAATCAGTCAACCAAGGGTGCTGTTACCAAGTGCTTGTTTAAAAAGAGAAACGTCAGTGATGGAGGCAATTGAAGCGGGAAGGCGGTTCCAATCTGCTGACGTACGAGGTATGAATGACATACTGAATGTGTTAGTGTTGTAACTTGGGATGCCAACCTTATGTGCACGATCAAGGCGAGCTGAGCGATAAGATGGTTCGAGCATGAGGCACTGGCGTAAAAGTGAGTTGTGATGGTAGATTTTAATTATGCAATAAGGAGAGACGAGCACATTTACGGCGGGAAGATAAGTCAGGTAATGACAGAGTTATTTTCATAGATGTTACACTGGAAGCACGATGATAGTTAGATAAGATAAATCGAGCTGCTCGATTCCGAATGCTTTCTAATGCAGTGACACGACAATGTTGGCCGGGATCCCACACAGATGAAGCGTCCTCCAATTTAGAGCGGACTAGACACTTGTACAGATAAGTTTTAGCGATGAAGGCGCTTGAGAAAAATTACGTTTTAAAGGGCCCATGAAACGATTTTTGGGTTGGGATAAATCATTTTAGATTGGGATTTTACTAATAGCACATCGTTCAGTGGACCAAAAGAAAAAGGTAGAAAGTCAAAAGCCTGACTTTCAGAGCGAAAATTTGAAAACAGAGCGGACTATTTCGTACCTCCTCCCCTTCGCAACCTCTCTGCCCTTTCACTGTGATACAACCGCGGTCCCAAAAGCGCGTTATCGGGTCCAAACTGACGTCACACGCAACCGGACCTCACTTATTCCCTTCACCCCTAAGCTGACATTGTGGTGGAAGCTACGCGCTTGCCAGACCAACCAGCCGCCTCCCTTTCATCACCTGACTTCATTCTCTGCAGCCACATTTGCCACGCTCACGTGGCAAGTGTGGCTGGCCCAACGAGCACGTAGCTTCAATAGCACTGTCAGCTTCGGAATGAACGTGGTGGGAAAAGCGACTTTTGTCTGAATTTTGAGCGACGGGCTAACCTTCTAGGGGGAGAATGGATGTGTCCGGGATTACACAAACAAGAGTGCGGGCAAGAGGGGACTCCCCCTTTTCGTCTTCTTTAACTGTTTGGTGGAATGCGCGATTTATGAGTTGAGGAGGAAAGCGAAACAGGAAAAAGTTGGAAAAGCTTTTCATGACCCCTTTAAGTATAGTTGTTGGTTGTTGGTAATGCCAACATACGGTTGGCATTACCAACAACATGCTCAATATGGGTATTCCATGAAAGATTAGAGGTGATATAGACGCCGAGGTACTTGTAACTGGAAACAGGTGATAGGGGCGCATTGTTGATATAGTATGTAGGACATGTAGTGTTAGAGCGCGATACTCTCATGGACTTGCATTTATTCGTATTTAATTCCATTAGCCAAGCATCGCACCAGCGAGCAATGTAGTTAAGATCTTTTTGAAGATGAACAATGTCAGATTGGTCAGTGATCTTGCGATAGAGAACGCAGTCATCAGCGAACAAGCAGACTTGTGAAGAAATGTTAGATACTAAATCATTAGTATAAATAAGAAACAATAAAGGACCAATTACGGAACCTTGAGGCACCCCTGAATGAACAGACACTACAGCAGAATTGTTGTTGTTAACACGTACAAACTGTAGACGATCAATTGTACGTGTTAACACGTACAAACTGTGGACGATCATATAAGTACGATCAAACGACCTTCACCGTACTCTGACTCGAAGAGTTCTTTGTACAAAGATAAGAAAACGTTTCATCTGTAAGGTACCATCCATACGCTTTTTTTATTGTTATTTATTTACGCTGGATTTTATGGTGTAGCAAGAATGCGCGTATTGCGAGTCTCATGCAGTTCTGAATTTTGCGGACACGGTTCGGATGCGTATACAATAATCTATGAACATTGCGGATGCGGTTACAAAGTCTGCGAGCCCGAATGACCAAACTGTTACCCGCGCATGGGTTATTTTAGGAAGACTCGAAGAACGTGGAAGCGCGGGGGTACTGCAGCAGGCGCAAGGTGGCGATTCGATACCTCAGATGAATGAATGAATGAATGAATGTTTTTTTTTTTCGGAATCAATTGAAATGGAGGCAGGGACTAAAGGCGTGAAGCCCGACAAGGTCTCTGTCCCCAGTGCAGCGCTTTCCAGCAGCACACAGTTTACAAAGTTAACGCTTATAGTAGTAAACAAAATATCCATTTTAAGACTATACCAGAAAAACAGCTAGTTATTATATACAGATTCATATAAGAAGGGGTTACCACTGCCCACCATGAGTGTCCCGACATCTTTTTTTTTAATTTACTAGAAGTGTTATTAAAATCTATGTGGTCTTTACGGTTATTGGGAGCTTTACTGACTTGATATTCCATTGTTTGTGTTCCATAATTCGTATGGGTATGAGGGGGCCGCTTATGTGCGTGTCGAAGAGGGTATGCATGCGTTACATCACTTATATCCGTCACATATAGTTTTTGTTTGTGAATCAGTTGTAATAACTTAAAGTCATAAATCTGATTGACCTTGAGAATGCCATATTTTTTTTAAAAAAAGTGGTGCAGTGTGCAGGTCTTGTAATTTACCCTTATAATTTTCAAATAGGCGCAACATTTTTTTCTGCAGTGTGAGCTGCGAGTTATAGTTTGTGGTCGATGTCGTTCGTGCCCCACACTGGAAGACAATACTCGAGTAAAAGAGCGAATAATATAAGTTTTTCTTTAGCCATGTTGGCATAAGGTTTCCTATTTTTTATAGACATCCAACCGACCGTGAAAGCTCGGAACTTAATTTATTCACATGTGTGTTCCAATTTAGCTCTTGATTAGACCTAACTCTCAAAAATTTTTGTTCGTAGACTCGTCCTATAATTTCATCTTTAAAATGTATAACTAAGTTGTTACTGTCGCGTTCGTTTTTAGGTGCAAATAGTATATACTTAGTTTTTTCGGTATTTAATTTTAGCTTGCTGGCTGTCATGAGTTCTAACTGGGCTTTGGATGAGTCTGCGAAGAATACACTGGTGTCATCCGGATACATAATAAGCTCATGAGATCCCGGAATTGCTGTAATATCGTTTATATAGAGAAGAAACAGGAAGGGACCTAGGATCGAACCTTGTGGAACTCCGCAGTTTATTTCGGATGTACTTGAGACAATGTTATTCATCTTAACAAACTGAAATCGATTTTGAACATAATTTTTTTACGAGAGCCAAAGCTATTCCACGTATTTCATATGTATGTAATTTTCTGAACAGTATGTCGTGTTGTATAGTGTCAAATGCTTTACTTAGGTCTAACAAAAATTCCTAGTGTATATAGTTTATTCACGATATTGTATATTATTTTGTCTTTTGCATCCACGAGTGCTTGTTCCGTGGATTTACCTTTCTGAAATCCATATTGTGATTTGTTAATCACATGATACTTAGATATAAATTGGTCTAGTTTGCTTTGTATAACGCCCTCAAATAATTTACATTCCCGCCCCTTTTGTAGACAGGTGTAACTTTGGCAATTTTAAGCTGCTCAGGAAATATACCCGTTTCTAACATGCAGTTTATGATGTGTGATGGGACGTTGCTAATATCTTGAGAAACGTATTTAATAGGAACTGGTTTAAGGTCATCGATGCCAGCAGCTACATTATTTTTTTGTTATTTTTGTTATTAGTAGTTCTATTTCCTGTGGGGTGACTGGTGATAACATTATCGAGTTCGTTAAGGAAGTCGTGCTAAATGTGTCGTTTTATGCTTGCGTATCTGCAGTACACTCGCCAACTTCTACGAAATATATGCTCCTTCATTGCGTTAGATAAGTCCAGCCCGCTTACGCGCTTGCCATCGACAATCACAGTTTGTATTTCCGTGGCGTGATTATTATTGTTTGTGAAGGCATTTACCGCTTCCCATACTTTTCTGGGCTCATTCTGGGCTCGCGCTCAAAATCTGCGACCGGGCACTTTATGGCTCCGTCGCCGAACCAGGAATTTCCTGAGGGGGGTAGTCAGGTGTTGGTCAGCGTACCATATGTTTAGGAACCCCCTCCCCTTCTCCTTTATTTTACGCCCTAAATTTTACACATGCAGAAATCAAGAGGGGGGTCAGGACATCCGGACCCCCCCTCTAAATCCGCCCCTGGGCCCAATGCAGGAGGCCTATTCGTGTTCGGCCAAATTACGTTCCATCTAATAACATGCTGTCTCCAGGGCCGAAGTCATCGGTTACAAGAAATAAGTGATCACAACCGAAGAAGACAGGACGACGGGCGCAATCCCCTCTTTGGGGAAGTGAGACATTGTCTGTTCCTGTTTATTTTTCTACTACTGTCAAAAAATTTTTTTTCTCCTTCTGCCCCAGAATTGGGTTAAAGTAATCGTTGTATGGTAAAAATTATCTTTCGGAATAACCAGAAGCAAAAACCTAAGCAGCGAACCAGAAGAGTTGGTTGAGTGCTGCTCACTCTGAAAATATCCCGGGCGACTATTTTCCCGTACAACTCCCGGAGAGCCAATTATCGCAACTTACGGAGGCAGCTCAGCGATATGACGATACCGAAACATATGTCTAGACAAAAAAAAACGCAGTCTGAGTTGCAACATTAAGCAATGCAAGATTGACGTTTTGCACAACTCGGACTGCGTTTGTCGGTTTAAGCATGTTTCGGCATCGTCATTCACTGGCTTTCTAGTGTTGCCCAGGAAAGTAGACGCACGGGCTTTTTAATCTCGGCGACAAAATGGTCAAAGTGTTCGCGTCGTTCGTGTGTTATCAGGATTAATTTCCTTCTTTTGCTAGCACATATGCGCCCGCAATCGAATTCTCACTGTGACGCCGTAGAGTCCGCCGATGGCAGAGCGACCGTCCCCGAGCGAAACGCCGGGACTAGGGAGCCTTCATAAAGGACACACCTTCGCCCGCCTCGCCCCTGGCAAAAACGCGAAACCTCTGGGCGAACCTAGGGAGCCTTCACAGCGCACATGCAGGCACCCTAGGCGAACCAGGCCAGCGCGTACCCGTACACAAACACGCCTGCGTACATACACACGCACGCGCAAGCAGTCCGTCCCGCAGTCGCCCCAGTCCCAAACTTCCCGAACGCCCGTAGCGCGCTCCCAAGGCCGGACGAAAAGATAAGCCCCTCAGTCGGACGAAAAGATAAGCCAAGCCCATGAAGGCACTCTAAGCGGAACAACACCCTCTCCCCGTTTTTTTTTCTATGCGTGGATTTGCTAAAAAAAACCAACAAAACAAACAAACAGAAATGCTGTCAGCCAGACAGGAACTGCCCTCCCTTCTAGCTTCTCTTGCACTTTAACCCCCCTTGCCCACGTGCAGGCGCTTTTCTTTCTTTTTTGTTCTTTCGTTTCCGGACGCCTCCTTGCGGAGTTTTAAGTTTTAATCGGCAGCTCCTTCATTTGTCTTTCTTCGTCAGGTTTTCTGCGTCGTTTAACCCCGTGTGAGTACCCCTATTTCGGTATGGCTGTAACGCGTGTGATATGGTTCAAATGTCGCGAACCGGGTGGTGTGTACATGTTTTGCGGCTGTCAGTGGTTTATGTTCAACGATGCGGTTGGACCCTTTAATGACGTTATCGTCTCTGTTTGATCGGTGGGATGATGACAGGTAGGCCTAATGACAGTCATTCCTTGTCGCCATGGCCGTCCGTCAGCCGTACTTTCGTGTACCCGGTAACGTCAGAATGCGAGCGTTTTTGTTGCCTCACGCACGCTTTTTCGAGATGTCGGGTTTCTTGTTTGTTTTTCAGCGTGGTTTTGGTGTTCTGCCGAAATTGCGTTCTTTCTTTGTGCACGCGCTCGTGTTCGGAAACCGTCACTTCCTTCGTCGGCTAGACTGCGTGTCACTTTTAAGTTTCATCGACGTTTAGGCTGAAACGTAGGTGTGTTTTTCTGCACGTGACAATTCTGTTTCCGCAATTTAAAGCGATTTACCCGCCTTTTAAAATTAGTCGGAAGAATCTGGACTGAATGGGGGACTAGGGCCATCTAGTGAATGAGCTGCGAACTAAAGCGATGGATGGATGGATGGATGAATACGGCTGAGCCCTTTGGATCGGGCGGTAGCTTACGCCACCTAGCCATTTTGTTTTACCATTTAAGCTTAGAATATTTAAATGTGAAATCTATATTCACTCCGCAGTGCAAAGAAAGTGAGGCTATGAAACCCCCTTGCCATCAGTGATTAAGAAAATACCTAGTTTTCTCTCGATTTCTGCCACCATTCACTTAATCTTTGCTTGGTAATCTCTACAGTCTTGAAATCCACTCTCCCTTCGCTGTCTCTAAAACCCAATGACTTTATTAAATCTATGTTGTCTTCGGTAGGCATAGGGTGAAGCCCTTTACAGTAGAGTATCAAGTGCTCAGCCGTCTCGTCCTCCTCTCCACAAGCAGTGCACACTGTATCAATTTCCTGGTACTTCACTCTGTATGTTCTGGTTCGCAGAACACCCGTTCTTGCCTCAAACAGCAATGAGCTTCCCCTAGAATTGTCATAAATGCTTTCTTTGGCAATAACTCTTTTGTTTAATCTATAGCTTTCCAGAGCAGTCTTTGTCTGCATTCCCTCTAGCCACCGATCTCTTTCTGTGGCCTTAACTTTCTTCTTAACTGAGACTTGCTCTTCCGTATCTTCGCTATAGAGATGGTGCCAGCGCCGAAACGACGCTGGCGCCATCTCGCGCAAGCCACTCACAACCGTCTTGGAACAGGAGTCCGCGTCGTCAAGGCGGCGTCGGCGGCGTCTTCACGGGCTTTCACGAGTGCTCTTCTCGATCAAGCAGGTTTCACTCGTTTCTCAGTTGCGATACCGACGCTTCGACGTTCTCAAATTGGATGCACATGTCTCGCCACATCTGCATTGCACGAAAATGTTCGAAATACTTTATTTAAAGTTCTCGTACTTTATTCAAAGTTCTCGTTATAAAAGTTACTTGGACGTGGAGTGACTACTTTTTGGGGGCAGAAGCTTTCCGTCAACTTCGGGATCCTCAGTTCACTTAATTTGTGTGTTTTCCCCTTGATGTATCTTACTAGATCTTTTCTCAAGTATTAGTATTTTGCAGTCGTGCTCTCGGTTTGTGGTGGTTCGTGGTCGAACGTGATCGTCTGCCATTTGTGATAGCAGACGACGTTTCGCCGGAAGCACTTTGAGACATCCGGATTTTGAACCTGTCGAATACATGTTGCGTTTGATTTTTATAGTGCTTCATATGTTATTCCGAATTGTTTTGCTCGCAGTTTTATGTGGGTTTCCTGTGATTTGCGGTGCACCTTTTGAGTTAGTTGGCGAGTCGAGAGATGGCGATGAGGTCTCTCGTACGACGTCGACGTCGTGTCTAGAGGGCTTATTTCAATTAATTCCTCATTAATTGAGACATTTCGAGATTGTACACTATAGGAGAGTTGTATTTGGATCGACGTCACATGGGAAAAGCGTACCGGTGTCCACTTTGGCGCTGGGAAGCCATGCGCGTTTGTTTACCTTTTTGCGGGGTGGTATGTGCTCTTGGGGTTCAAGCCCTGAAGGACTTGAAATTAAAAGCCAATTGGGGGTATCGCTTCTCGGCCTTTTGGCTAAGATCAAAGTGTAGTGCGTACGATCACAGTGCACTACCTTTGAGTCTTCAGCACGTTTGCGGCCTCCACGGAAGAATTATTGCTTTGTGGAAACATCGTTGGCCTGAGCTTTACCTCATCGGTGCCACGGGTTGGCCCAGCATTGCACTGCCTCCGGGACCTGCATCAGCCTCTGCCACTGGGACCTGCCTCTGCCACTGGGACCTGCCTCTGCCACTGGTACCTGCCACTCGGACCTGCCACTCGGATCTGCCACTGGAACCCTGCCACTGGAACCCTGCCACTGGGACCCTGCCACTGGGAACCTGCCGCTGGGAACCTGCCACTGGGAACCTGCCACTGGGAACCTGCCACTGGGAACCTGCCACTGGGAACCTGCCACTGGGAACCTGCCACTGGGAACCTGCCACTGGGAACCTGCCTCTGGGAACCTGCCCCTGAGACTTACCCGGTCAACCAGGAGCTGGATGGGGGACCTGCCCCACCATGGCAGACCCTGCAGCCTGCAGTCCAACGATGCCGCCCAACCAGATGTCGGGAACGAGGAGACGCAGCAGTGGCATCCCGGTACCATCGCCTCGGACGCCAACGGCACCGAACCCCCCAGGCCCACCCCAATCGGTGCTCAGTGAAGGTCAGCAGCCGCGCCGGGATGGAGAGATGCTTTTCGTCTCCTTCCCGGCTCCACACGTCTTCAAGTGCCCAGAGGAAGGCTGCTCAGCTGCTTACACTGCGGCTGCCTGGACTGCAAAACGACAATCCCTACAGCGGCACCTTGAGGGAGACCACGGCATGCGGATTCGCCGCACGGTCAACCTCTGCACCTTATGTGGGGCTACGCTGGGGACAAGGCCGACATCACACCCATGCCTGGCAAATGGCAGAGCAGCTGCTCAACCCACTCAGCAGCGGTATCAGTGCAACAAGTGTCCACAGTCCTTCCCCTCCAGGAAAGGGCTACACAACCACTTGCAGTGGCACGGCAAAGAGGAGGCGAAGCAACTGCGAGCAGCCAGCTCCCAGGCAAGCACCACCCCCACGGAAGAGGCGCAGCAACCGCCTGCAACACCAGCTGCCTCGGCAGTAAGCAGCGAGCCTGGGGAGCTCAACCAACAACCTCCGCCATGTACCAGCCCAGTACATGGTGCCGACTCGGAGCAGAGCCGCCGGCTTGCCACCCCCACCCCCGAGGACCAGAGCACCAAAGGCACCCTCGCAAGCAGCCCCATCATTCAGGCGACAGGCGAGACCCCTTCTGCTCTGGCAGAAAGCCCTTCAGCCAGCTCCCAGGCAAGCACTACCCCCATGGAAGAGGCGCAACAACCACCTGCAACGCCAGCTGCCTCGGCAGTAAGCGGCGAGCCTAAGACGCTCGAGCAACCTCTGCCATGCACCAGTCCAGTGCGTGGGGACGGCTCGGAGGAGAGTCGCCTGCTCGGCACCCCCACCCCCGAGGACTACAACACCAGAGCCACCCTCGTGAGCACCCCCATCACCCAGGCGACAGGCGAGACCCCCTCTACCCTGGCGGAAAGTCCGATGGACGCGATGGCCACTCCATCTCGCCTATTCACCCAGGACTGTCCCAGCCAAGGAGGGAGCCTGCAGAACAGCGACCAGCAGGAGGACGCCGTGGAGACTGCACCTGCCAAACTAGAAGATGACAGCTCAGTGCTCGCCGAGCACACCAAAAAACTCCGGCGACTACTGACAAGGGCCCCTAATGCAGACAACTGGGCCGAGTTCGGGAGCATCCTGGACGATGCCATCAGCGTGATAGCCACCACAGTGAAATTGCCTGGTGCCACTGCTGACGGACGACCGCGGCGAGAGGTCAACCCGCAGAACGCCCAGCAAATCCAGTCTCTCTACCGCCGCAACCGCCGCCGTGCGGTACGACTGATTGCGGAGGGCCCCTCAACACTGTGCCCCATCCCACCAGACGAACTAGAGGCGTATTTCAGCACCGTCTGGGCACCGAAGGAGGCCGACACGACGCTTCTAACACGGCGGATGCCTGCCCCTGGTGAGCTGAGCCTGGCGGCATTCACGGAGGATGAGGTGGCGGCGCGGCTGCGGCGGTGTGAGAACACTGCTCCTGGTGGCGACCGGCTCACCTACCACCACTGGAGGACCGTGGATCCGGAGGGGAGCTTCCTAGCGGCTGTCTTCAACTGTTGCCTACGACACCGGCGAGTTCCTGCATGCTGGAAGGCGTCCCGTACGGTGCTCATCCACAAAAAAGGCGAGAAGAGGGACCCCACAAACTGGCGCCCCATATCCCTTGGTAACACGATTGCCAAACTGTATGCTGGATGCCTGGCATCCCGGCTGCAGGGGTGGTTGTGCGATCACGGGATCCTGTCGCAATGCCAAAAGGGGTTCCTGCCGCACGACGGTGTGTTTGAACACAACTTCGTGCTGCAGGAGCGCCTTGACGCGGCGCGAACAGGTGGTGGTGACCTGTGCGTGGCGTTCCTCGACTACGCCAACGCCTTCGGGTCAGTGGCCCACAACGCACTCGTCGACTCGGTTCGAGGTGCGGGCACTGGGGACGCCTTCGCCAGCATCATCCAGGACCTGTACGAGGACAACACGACGGCCATCATCAGCGAGGGAGGCACAACAGAGCCGGTCGCCATCAAAGCAGGGATCCGGCAGGGCTGCCCGCTCAGCGGGCTCCTTTTCAACCTCGTGCTAGACCCAGTGATCCGGGCGGTGCAGGGAGGCCAACGGCAACACAAGATCCTGGCCTACGCCGACGACCTCACCCCCATGGGAGGCAGCCCTGCCGAGCTGCAAACAAGGATCAACGTCGTCACCGCGCTGTCCTCCGGGCTCGGGCTCCAGCTGAACCCATCTAAGTGTCGGACCCTTCACCTGACGGGGCGGCAGCCTGTGGGCACGAGGCCTACAACATTCTGCATCGGGGAAGCAGAAATCCCCCACATGACCGACTTCGAGGCGCACACTTTCCTGGGCCGCCCCGTGGGCTACAGGGTCCTGCCCGACACCGCCTGCGTGGACGACGCGATCGCCCTGGGGAGATGCCTGCTGTCCTCAATGCTGGCTCCCTGGCAGAGGCTGGACGCCATAAAAACATTCCTCTACCCGGCCCTGAACTTCGCCATGCGAGTTGGGGCTGTGGGAAAGGAAGAATGGCGCCGCCTGGACGACACCCTGCGACCCCTCATCAAACGAACGCTGTACCTGCCAGCAAACTCCTCAAACAAGTACCTCTACGGGAGTGCAGGTGCAGGAGTCGCAGGGATCCCGGAAGCAGCCGACATCAGCGACGCGTGCCGCATTGATGGTGCGTTCAAGCTGCTCTCGTCGCCAGACAGCGAGGTACGTGACCTGGCACTGCAGGCGGTGACCAGGGTGACGGAGAAGCGGCTCAGGAGACCAGTTGCAGCAGAAGACGTGGCGGCCTACCTATCCGGAGACACCGAAGGCGACTTCAGAGCAACGTCAACGCAGCTCCAGTCGGTGTGGACAGAGGCCCGCAAAGCCTCCCGACGCGCCGGCGTGACCTGGGAGCTGGTGCCTGAAGGAGCCAGGATCGCCTGTGGGGGAACTACCATCTCCCCCAAGCATCGCCACAAGGTGATCCGGACACTCCGAGGCATCTCGACAGCAGCAAACGACAGAGCGCTGCACCAACAACCCAGCCAGGGAAAGGCGATGGAGTGTGTCGCCGCTGATCGCGCCAGCTCTCACTTCATGCGGTCGGGGCGATACACCCGTTTCACCGACTGGCGGTTCATCCACCGGGCACGTCTCAACCTGCTGCCACTCAACGGAGCGCGTCCATGGGCCTCGGCCGTCGACCAACGATGCAGGGCGTGTGGCTACCAGCAAGAAACCTTGCCACACGTCGTCTGCCACTGCATGGTCCAGAGCCAGGCCCTGACGCGGCGTCACAACAACATCGTGAACCGCATCAAGGCAGCAGCGACGCCCAAGTTCACGGTGACGCATGAAAACCAGCCGGTCGGGGAGTCAAGCCTGCGTCCAGACCTAGTGCTGGCGAGGGGTGAGGAGGCCATTATCATTGACGTCACCTGCCCCTTTGACAACAGACGTGCAGCGCTGCTGGAGGCGCGGCAACAGAAAATTGAGAAATATGAGGCCATCAAGCAGTACCTGTGCCGCCGCTACCAGCGCGTGACTGTTGCTGCCGTAATCGTGGGTGCGTTAGGGTCCTGGGACCCAGACAATGATGCCACCCTCAGGAGACTATGCAGCAAATCATACTTACGACTAATGAAGAAACTCATTGTGAGTGAGACGATAGCAAGCTCCAGGGACATATATGCTAGTCACATTGCTGGGAAGCGCCTTTAGAATATGTATATTTTCTTCTTTTTAGCATTGTATTAGCATCTTTTTTTTCTTCTTCTCTCTTATAACCTGTGTATAATTTCCCTAGCTAGCCAATGTATAAAATTCCCACTAACATTACGACTTGTACAGCTTCCCATACTCCCTGTATATGTAAATAACATGCAATAAAATCTCTGTTCTTATCAGCTTAATATCTGATACGGGTCCTATTTGGACCCAAGATATTAATCTTATTTTTGGAATGCGGCGTAGTGCTTGAGGTTTACCTCACCTATGCCACGGGTTGGCCCGGTATTGCACTGCCTCCGGGATCGGCCCACCCCCTCACGGGGGGAAATCTATAAATCCAAAGGAAGAATCACATATCTCACACCGTTCCAGTGCTGCTGACGCATTCTCTGCATGATCGCACTCTGGTGTGCGACTGAGGCCAGTGCGCCGTGAATGATGCGGAATGATTGATATATTGGAAGTCTCATAATATCTGTGCTCTTCGCTCAATCTGAACAGGATCCTGGTGAGTGATGAAAAGGTCTTGCTGTTTTCAAGGGGCATTCCTTTGTGACCTCTGGCGAGCCAAATCTCCGTGGATGAGGAGGTCTTGCTGTTTTCAAGGGGCATTCCTTTGTGACCTCTGGCAAGCCAAATCTCCGTGGTCAGCAGAGTTGTGTGGATGTGGTGCGACGTGAAACACTGCAACAAGGCCCTTTTCGCAGTGTTGAAGTCTTGGTGCTCCGTGAAATGACTGTGAGGTGCCAGCTCTGGCGACAACGGCAGTAGTTGTGTGCCTTTGAACGCCTTCTTACGGTGTTGAAAGGTGCACAATCCTGTGAAATGTTAGCATTGACAAAGAGCAGTGGTGGTGTGCATTTGATTTTCTTTGTCTCAGCACTGAAAGTGTGGTGCTCCTGTAAGGTGTCAGTGTTGGTGACAAAAGCAGCAGCAACCTGTCTTTCGATGTCTTGTCACAGTGTTGAAAGCTTGGTGCTTCCTGAGAAGTGATTGTGAGGTGTTGGCATTGGCAAATGTACCAATATCTATGAGTAATAAGGTGAAACTTTGGAGGGGGTTCGGTTTTGAATTGTTTCAGAAGATTCCAAAACCCTATGGATGAAATTTCGGTTGTTTGAAGATTTGGCAGTTTTGTCGCAATCTAGCCAACATGGCATCATTCATTTTGGTTTTGTGGACGTTGCGAGTGTTTAAAGTCTTTAAACCTCGATACAGGTTGAAATCCGACCCGTTATTGGTTTATTTTCTGCGTTATAGCACGACATACCAGGTTGCCCGCAGTGTGTGTGTGTGGGTGTCTTCGTAGATCCTAGAACACCATGCCGAGGCCTGCAGGTGCATTGACCCATAAAGCACAGTATTGATCCGTGCTCGAAGTGATGGCCAAACTGACTACAGGAGCTCAAAAAGCAAAGCTCTATGGTAGCTTGTGCACGTCCAAGTCTCGGAGCTCTGGGTGCAGTCTGTGGCCTCAAAACGTTTTGGTCACGAATCACGGTTGACTAATCGGCGATTTCATTTCCACTGTGGAAACACGCTGCCAGTGGTCGTCAGCGAAGCATTCCGTGTGAAAAGTGCCAAACTTTCAAGCACAAGCAATAAACGTCTTTAGTTAAGCAGTGAATTTTTCTAAAATGTGTTTTGATGAAAAGTCCCGGGGCAGGACTTTGTAAAAAAGTCGTTCGACCAACTGAGTTCCACATGCCACCTGTGTTGTCAACGTAAACTAGCGTTCCCGGCGCTTGTAACGAACTCCACACATTGTCGAGCAATCGATGCGATGAAAACGAGCGTTGTGATTTGTGATCATCGATTTCACCTACCTGCCTTTGTTTTGGTCATGTGACGACATGACTATGAAAGTTGGTAAATTGAAACCATCGTGACAAAATCTCAATATTTTGTGTCGTGTTGTATGTTATTTTATTTTTCTGTATCTCGGGTTTGATCTGAACGAGCCTATTTTGTTAAATGGAGTATTTATATTTAAAATTGTAATTATTTAGTGTGGTTTATAATATTGCAATGTACTGAAACAATGCAAACTTATCTGAAATGCATTGAGGTTCAGCCGTTCTTGCTAAACTTTCCGAAACCCGTTTTGGAAAAAGTTGTGCCCCATCACTAATATCTATAAAGGATGAGAGAAGGCCATGTTCCATTGGGCTCTACACACAAAGCATGTGTCCTGTACACTTTGTCCTCTTTTATTATCTGGCCACATCTCCCCTTCTCGGATGGAGGACAGAATAGAGGACAAAATGACAGTTGTAAACGTATGGAAAACACGAGTACACACAAAATTTGCTAGCACAGCACATTTATACGCTATTTTTTCCCCTTCCCAAGCTCTCGGGCAAAGAGCAATTGCGGCTTATACCATCAGCACACATACGGTATTTACATCCCTGTTTTTCCCGTACCTGACTGTCTCCTTCCAAGGCAAAGCCCATCTCTGTCTAGGTGTAGACCTACTTATTTGACTGTCACCTTTGAAGCCAATGCTCTCCTTTGCACGAGTATAGACCTACCCCTCAAACATGTTGCTCCCGTTTAAACTCGAGTCTATGCCTGCGGTGTTTTTTTTTCGTCTGCGGCGTAAGCGCTGCACTGATGCGCCGTCCGAGCCGGTCACGTTGGCAGCCTCTTTTTACCAACGACTGTGTGGAACTGTACAGCCTCTACCTTGCTGACGCTGTGCATGATCCTCTGGATCCTCTGGTGGTTGTACTTCATGTAGGCGGTCCGGTGAATAAAGATACATCTTCCTGCGTTGTTGCAATTGATGACAATGGTATGATTCTGCTCTCTTTGGAGGAATATGCAGCAAAATTAGCAACAAGTACACTGATGACCTTGCCTCACTGTGGCAGTGGATCAACATTGTGTTGGCTCTGTCGTCTTCACCATCCGTGGTAACTTTGCAGCAGACTAATTTGGAAACTCAATAAGCAAGACTTCAAAAATGGAGGTCCACTTTGCCGGGAAATGATTGTCTATGAACCATTGTCTATTTATGGAGGAAGTGCCCACTATGGCCCATCATTCCCAACTGCGTGAAAATATCAAGACCACTTCTGCCCATTTCGCTTGCCTGCCCCTTTGATAATAAAGCTTCACAATTAAATCGCCGGGAATAGCGAAACATGCTTCAAACTTGTTTTGCATACCATCGAAGTCTTGGATTTTATTTTAATTCACTTCATGTATGCCAAAGCAGCTAATATCTGTCCCATAGAAAAAGTATATGAAGATGCTTTTAAGCAACGCTATAAACATTTTCTGCACAAATTACCCCTTGACCTAAAGCAGTGATTTATATTCGTGGAAATGGAGTGTGCTAATTAAGTTACAGTGCTTGAGGAGAATAACTTAAAGGACAAAAACCGCGAAAAGCGTGTCCAAAAAGGTTTATCCCGGGGTAAGGTTTAAATGAAATTTCAGCTGTACAACGGCAGGTGCTCTGCGGTTGCCCTGTGGCGTTGCAGCACGCAGTCCCGGTTTGTCTGCAAAATGAAGCCCACGCATGCAAAATCGTAGTTTTCCCGGCCTGTGTACCTAGAAAATACGCATACAAAGAAAAGAAAATGTTGAAATAAACGCGTCTGAACTCTGAAGGAAGTGTTCTAATTAAATCAGTATTTTTTCTATACATAGAAGGAAGGTGGCGCAGATTACCGCCCGATTTATTATATGTCGAACTGTATCCATTCGTTCACATTTACAATCGATAGAGATATGCGTACTCCAGGAGGTGCTGCCATCTATCGGGAATTTTTGAAGTTAGTTCTATATTATATGGATAAACAAATAAAAAGCCCAGCTCCGCTTTTCGAATCTGTCGGAACTTGCGCCACCTAGCTGAGTTTATAAAACTGAATACATATTGCCGCTCTTGCCCTTCGGTCTGTGCGTAAGTCGAGCGAACAACATCCCGTGGTTACATGAACACCATCGAGGCCACTAATTCGTCAGTAGTTCGTGAGGTTCTTACGAATAAATTACTCAATTGCAGAGTGGCTGAAAGGTAAAAGCTTTCTCTTTGGTCGATAGCGCTTGTCTACAAAAGGCTAAGACGCTACGCGAATCATCTGTTGAGAAGACTCCCGCTTCAAACGAGGGTTCACTTTTGGCACCATCAGGAACCCTTTTTTGAAACTTCGCGCCAAGAAGGAAATACCACCTCTGGGAGGTGCTGCCATCTAGTGGGTACATTTGAAGCACTGTGATTTGAAGTTAGTCTCTCTGTTCGAAATCTTGGATGCTATGCTCTTGGTCATGGCTATGCCGCCATAGTCATGGCCTCCAAGATCGTCGGGAGGGTCCACTTTTGGCAACATCAGTCTCAGATGAGAACGGAACCCTTGTTTGAAACTTCGTGCCCAAAAGGAAATAGTACCCTAAATACCACTTATGGGAGGTGCTGCCATATAGTGGGTACATTTGAAGTTAGTCTTTCGGTTCGAAATCTTGGAAATCTTGGATGCCATGCTCTTAATCATGGCTATGCGGCTATGCTGGCTATGCCGCCATAGTCATGGCCTCCGAGATCGTCGGGAGGGTCCACTTTTGGCAACATCAGTCTCCGCTGAGAACGGAACCCTTGTTTGAAACTTCGCGCGAGAAAGGAAATACCAGATCTGGAAAGTGCTGCCATCTTGTGGGTATTTTTCAAGTTAGTTTCTTGGTTCAAAATCTTGGTGCAGCGGTGCAAGGAGGGATTTCTAATTGAAAACGAGCGTGTTGGTTAATAGATACAAAACTTGAAAGTACAAAACAGCGAGGACGAGGACGGGAACAGGACATCTTTCAAACAGGGCTCGAAAAACGTTGGCAGTTACAATTGAAAACGAACGAATTAATGGAGAATTCCGCTCGCAGATCTCGAGCGCTCCAAAAGCGCTCCATTTGGAGCGCGCATATTCCGCTCGCAGATCTGGCTCAAGTTGGTCATCTTCCGCTCGTAGATCTCTGGCAGCGCCCGCTCCACGGAGCGCCCCAAACTCCGCCGAACTTGCTCTGCGAGGTTTCACGGATCTCTCCGGAAGCTGACAGAGCGGCCCACGTGACTTCCGTCTAAATCGGCGGTGCGCCTGCGCGGCGAGGTTGGAGAGATCGGCGGGCCCGGCGGGCCGGTCGGGTCGTGGAGTCGGATCTGTTCGGGTGCGTCGGTTGTTTACTCTGGATTGTGACGGCTCGAACGCTTCTACCTCGCGTAGATCAGGGATAAAAAGTCGGGAATGTGGAGCGTGGCAAATCGTAAGCGCTGACGTCTGTGATTGTGAGAGGGAGAACGAGAAAAAGAACAACAGAGAAGCCGGAGGCAGACGCAAGGTTAGGCCTATTCATTCTGCAGCCAGTGATTGTTTACCTTTTTACGCTGCATTCCGTCGGCGTTTTCCCGTGAAATAAAGCAAGAAGTGGTTAGGCAACGACCGCGCAAGTGATGGTTTGTTACATCTGTGTTTATTGAAGTCGTACTACAAATCTGAACTCCACGCTGGCAATCCCTGTCCGTGCCCGGGCCCGCCGCTTCGAGGCGGCCGAAAGGTATGTGACGGTGCCGAACGCGGACGTCTTCGTTATTTGTGACATGGGTGCCGCGGTACGTATAATTTCGCCCGGCCTGTTTCGCGTGTTACTTCTGCAGCTAAGCAGTGACAGTCGTCACTGGTCGTTGGAAAGATCCGCCGGCTGAGGCGTTGGTGGGCTGGTCAAGTTCAAGCAGCGGCCATTTTGTACGGCGGAGGGAGAAGGGGTGGAAGGGGTGTGGGGGAGGTCGCTCCAAAAATGCAAGTTTATCTTCCCCTCGTCGATTCGGAGCGGGTCCCACGGAGCGGAATTTTGCCTCCCTCGCGGATTTTGGAAAGCGCTCCAGATCTACGAGTGGAATTCACCATAAGTTACAGTGCTTGAGGAGAATAACTTAAAGGACAAAAACCGCGAAAAGCGTGTCTAAAAAGGTTTATCCCGGGGTAAGGTTTAAATGAAATTTCAGCTGTACAACGGCAGGTGCTCTGCGGTTGCCCTGTGGCGTTGCAGCACGCAGTCCCGGTTTGTCTGCAAAATGAAGCCCACGCATGCAAAATCGTAGTTTTCCCGGCCTGTGTACCTAGAAAATACGCATACAAAGAAAAGAAAATGTTGAAATAAACGCGTCTGAACTCTGGAGGAAGTGTTCTAATTAAATCAGTATTTTTTCTATACATA